CTATGCCCTCCCTGAACATAGCGATTTTCGAGTCAACATGAAGGGGAAGTGATTTTTCAGAAGAGTTTTGTTTGTGCGCTATAGCTGTATTTGCAAAACGCAGCCATTTGTATGCCCGAGCAGAACTTTGAATGAGATTTTAGTGAGCGAAAACTTGTGTGCGTTTGAACGTTTCTTACCATGTAAAAAATGGAAAACATACTGTCTGCTCTTGAGTACAGCTCAATTTATCAGCTGTAGCTGCCATTTCAAATTCGATTTGATCAGTCAGTTTGACTTGGTAGTGTATGTGGCTAAAGCACAGATTTTACCCCTGAGTTGAGAGAGAACCTTGTTGTTTTTCACCTAATAAGTAACTGGATCTGTAGTATAATCAGAAACTGAAAGGGTGATACCAGGTGCCGTGTGTAGGGATGGACACTGCAATAGTTCATTGTTTCTGAAAGTTTTACCTTGAACGGTGTCATGGAGGGAATGATAATAGCTTGCATGAGATTGATATCTTCTGAAATGCAGCTGTTGTACAGATATTCTCCAGTATTTCTGCACTTAGGTGCACAAAAGTGTTAAGTGTTTATTTTCACTGGTTCTCTCCAGTAACATCTGAGCAGTGTCTAGGTTATGGAACTCTCTGTAACAAAGGTTTCCCTGTTTCTCTTTGGTTTTGCTTCCCTAGATATTTTTTTTTTTTTTTAAGGTGATTGCTTTGACTGTTACAAGTTGCTGATGGCAGATCAGTAGAACATGGACTGTTAAAATGCGGTGTGCTGACACATTTCTCAAATAATATAGAAGGGGGTTTGGCGTTCTTTTGTTACACACTTGATGTTCATGAGAAGTCTGATCTCTTATGAGTATGTTGCATAGTTGTTTAAGATAGGATTTGTTTCACTGAATTGTGACTGTCTAAAATCTGGGTATTTAGTCTAAAGCTGTGATTTTGTGAACATCTGAGCTCTGTGCTGTGCCAGCTCTCTGCTCCTGAAAGGAGAAAGGCTTGCTCCTCCTCCTGTCTGTTTACTTGGCTCTTTGTTCCTTTCCCCTAGCCTGTACCAGCTGCCCACTTGCACTGATGGTGTCTCTTGCTGGATTTTTCCATGAGCTCGTGTGACTCACTGACCTCACAGAAAAACTATTGAGTGTCTTCTGCTTGTTTGAATGTGTTGGCTTCTTGAGTTAAAACAGTCCATGAAGGGGTCTGATGAATGACAAACACAGGAATGGGAATAAAGAAATGAGGAATGGAACCCTCCCATTCCTGGTGACAGTGAGCTTTTGTGTTGGATTACACTTTTGCATTAGTTCATTATCTGGTCTTACTGTGGACTCTTGAGCAGGGAGGAGAAGGGGGTGGTGTTTGAAGAGTTGTTTTCACGAGGCTGTGCTTTCCTTGAGTTTTTCACTCTTTCAGGCAAACAGTTCATTGTTTCAGAAGATCTTGGTTAATTCAATTAGAAAAAAAGGAGCAAATAAAGAGGTCTGGAGTTGTGGCAGAAGCAAGCAGAGGAATTAGACCATGAATTGTGTGAAGCAGCTCTTTGATTTCCAAAGATTTTACCAAGAATTTTACTGCATGAGCAAAACCTGGGACAAGGCTAAATACTGCCAGTTGTTTCATAGTTAGTTGCAAAATTATATTCATTGTATCATCTAGCTGCTTAAAACCGTGTTCAAACATGATAAATTTAAGTGTTTTGAGTATGGCTGTGGTATGGAAAAGAGAGCCATGTGTGAGTTATTTATGGCACTCAAGGGAATTACCAGTACATGGTGCAGTCATGTCATTTGGTTATGCCAGGTGAACAAGAAGGAAGCCTTGCTGTTGTAAACAAAATGCCATAAAAATCCATATAAAGAAAAAAATCATATTGATATATAATATTTTTCTCCAAATGCAAGTATTCTCATTTTTAAGAGCTTGTAGCAAAGAAAAAGCTAAAATAATATAGCTGAAAAAGTCTTCCAAAAGAAAAGCCCTTTCATGATGGGCAGCTATAAAGAGGAGAGATGGATAGTGGGTCATTCAGCAGTGTTCCTTTCTTTAGGAGGAGAAATAATTGGAGAAGAAAGGCAAAACAAAGGTGATTCTTGGAAATGTAATTTATTTACTCCACTTAGCTATTCTACAGTAAGTATTGCCATTTTATCTATAGAGTATGCATTTCTGAGGTTTCAGGACTCTGCACCAATGCCTTTATATTTATACCTGTGGAAAATTATGTTAAGGTTTCATAGTATGAATTTGGGGCGACTGATAGAAGTTTGCAGTTTGGCAGCTTGATAAAATTTGGCAAATAAGTAGATGTTGAATTAAGTTTAGATATGATGGTGGATTTAGTTTCTTTAAAGTATGTTTTATGCTTCTGCACTTCTTGAACACGTCTCCAAGAGAGGAAGAACCTAGTGTTCTTTTAAAGTATTTCTCAAAAATTATAGGAGTAGTCTTTGTGTAATTTTGAAGATTATTTAAGGCCTGCTCACTGACTGTGAGCAACTACTGATAGCCATTAGCACAGAAGAGATTCTGGTTGGTAATATACTTTAAGTATTTGTATCCCTAAATGTTGTTGACTATTGACAGTTTACTGCCAGAAATTATTTTATGTTGTGGGGAAAAGAACCCCAAAACAACAAAAGACTTTTTTACATGTGAATAGGTTAAATATTACAAATTGCTCTTTGTGTTTTTGAGGAAAGAGCTCTCACGAAGTAATGAAATCTCTGTTGTCTGTTTCAGTTGTCACGAGGAATGCAAATCATGACATTTGCCGCTAGATGTCCCTGCAAGCCAAAAGAGTTTTGTTTCCTTAAATGCAACTTAGGTTTTTCAGTCTGGGGCATTGTTTTGTCAGCTGTAATTATCTCCCTCTCTTTTCTCCTTTTATCTTTTTCATGAAATCTTCATGCATATTAATACATGGCCAGGTGTGTGTCTTGCTTTGTAATTTGTGCACTTTTTGATAGTAGCAAAAGCTGTGAGAAGAGAATATTTTTCTCACCTGCAGCAGCTTGGAATAGAGAGTACAACAGGCTGTGTTTCAGCTTATCTTTTGGCTGACATGCTCTCAGAACACATAGTGTTTTCTTGGTGTCTTTGACTTTGTCTCCATTATGCCACTTCAGAAATACTTCTTAGTCAAGTAAGAAGCAGAATTCAGACCTGACTTCAAATGCTGTCTTCCTAATTCTGAGCTTTGGTTTACAGTTTGATAGTTTCATTTAGTATCTGTAGCACATGAAAGCAAAATACTATTGCCTGGTTGTTGTGGTTTTTTTGTTGTTGTTTTGGTTTGTTCTTTTTGTTTTTGGGTGGGTTTTGTTTGTTTTTAATAGTGATCATGTTAACCCTGTTGATATGCTTAGAAATTCTTAGGGACATACTGCCTTTAGTTTTCCCTGTGTACCAGAGCTTTCTCTCCTCTCACGTGATTTATTGTCTTTAGCATCACTGACCTCTCCTCCTCATCCAGCTGTTGTTTTACCAATTAAAAATGTCTTTATATTGAGTTTAAAAATCGCTGTTTCCCTTTGTTTCTCAACAGCCAACAAAACTCAGGGATGAAAAAGAGATTGTATTGATTAGAAGGGTCTTGAGAACTTATGTCATTAATGTTTGATATTGGTTGTGCGTTTAGGACAGTCACAGAGGAAAATGTTCTTTCTTCTGATTCTCTCAGCAAATTTGGGTAAAGCAGAATACACACTTGCTGTTGCTTTTCCTACAGTAATGTTGTAAGTGGTAGATTTTTCTCTGACCTTTTCTCATTTCAGCAATAGAGGAAGAAAAAATGGGAAGAAAGTCTTGCATTTACATTTTCTTGACATTATCATGTCTTAGTGGAATGGGTGTTTTTTTCCTATATGGAAGACAGGTTTTCATCTTGCTTATAGTTCAGGGGTTTATAAAAATCAAATTATAAGTGTTTAAGATACAACCATGAAAGAGTGCAGTGGTAGAAAGTATACATGCAACTGTGCATGGCAAGAAGGTGAGGTATTTGTAGTGATGGTAGAGATTTGTCATTGTTTCTGTTTGAGTTTTACTTTGTACAAAGGTGCACTTTGCACACTGCAGACATGGACTTCTTAGGCATCAGTCCAGCTATGCAAAAAGTTAAAATGGCAGAGTAGTTGTTTTCAAAGCTTTGTAACTTCCCTAAAAGTCAGCTACAGTCCTCCCTCCCCCAGATCCTGTAGAAGTGTCAGTAGTGATCAGATTAATACCTATTGCTTCAGATATCAAAAATCACTAAGGAGGCATATTGGAATACTTAGTTATTTCTCAGGAACTCTTGATTTACAACTTTCCTCACACCAATCTGATATTATCACATTTTGCAAAAGTCTTTCTGGAAAGGTCACAATAAACCATGAGATAAGCTTTGAAAATAAGGAAATGATGTATTTCAGGACTGAACTGTGGGCAGCTGTCTTCCAGGCTGTCTCTGATACCTTAACTCTTTTCCAGAGAGGGCTTGATAGGAATTCAATAGAGAATTATCTGCTTTTCTTCCAGCTGAAATACTTGTGTATATTGATTAATACAGCTTGTTAGGATAGTGTAACAGACTTTGACTTTAATAAGTAGTAAGAAAAGCTGTGTGTCTGCTGTGACCTCTGCTTGAACTCTGATTAAAAAGGCATAATTAGGATATCATAGTTGGAGTCTCAGTGTATAGCATAAGTAAAAATAATGTAATCTTTCAGAAAATAGTGCTTGTTGTTATTTTGTATTGACTCAAGTGACCTTCATGTTTAAGTGTACTCTGCTCCAGGAAGGGCTATTACTTCTCAGGCAGGCTGCATTAACAGAGAAGAGTTACACTTTCAGTAAATGTTTATAACCTGTGTTACAGCAAAATCGGGATTCTTCTGTACTTAAAGCAAAAGCAGTGTGTGAAACCTTTGAACTGTGAATGTACTTGAATGCTAATTACATGTCCTTGTATTTGTTCAGGTGTCTTGATCTTCTGAGATGTCAGTGGAAGGAGTGGCTGGTCTTGTAGATTAGTTATACATCAATCTTCTCTTCTCCATACTCATCGTGAACAGTCATAATAAAATGGATGGTTTGGGCAGCCTTCTTCCTCCTGTGGGTGAAAGTGGTGATGCAGCTAATTCACAAGAAATACTGAAACTTTTGATGGATGAAAAAATGCGAAGTGAACACCATAAAGCAAATTATCAAACTCTAAGGGCAGAACATCTGAGGTACATCAATTTAAACAAGTTTCTCTCTTTAAGTTGTTAAAAGGCGCAGCTAAATATTGGAAGGGATTTATTTGTATGTGTGAGATGTGTGTTAGTTATTTCTGTGTGTAAGGACAGATTTGATTGTTGTTCATGTTAGAAAACAAACAATTCAAAGTACCTTAAGACATTGCAGATGATGTTTCCACAGTATTTTTATGCTTGTAAGTATGGGATAACTTTCTAATATATTACAGGAAGAGTATAGTAATAGCTTAGTTCTTATTTGGTATTAGTATGTTTGCTTCTGTATGTGAATCTTTTGAGCTTTTAAGGTCATACTTTAAAAGGTGAATATAAAGTAAATATGTATTTTATCTTTCAGATTACAAGAGGATTATACCAAATCACAAGATGAACTGAAACGATCGTTAGTTGAAAAACAGACTGTACATGACAAATTTCAGCAGCTTCTTGCTGACTTTCAGGAGCAGTTGCTGGCTAAAACACAAGAGCTGGAACAAGTGAAGCTGCAGGTGAGATAATTTACTGGAAGGACTTGGTATGTATTTCTATCCTGTAGTAGGGCCATGCATATTTTTTCTGTTAATGCAGCATGCATATACCCAGTTTGGATATATTTCAGATGTCTTGAAATTCACCCAATCCAAGTAATGGCTCTTCTCTAGAATGACTATGGGTTGAAATTACTGTTTCCTTGTTTAACTGAATCATCCAGATCCTGTTGTTAGTTGCTGTGTAAAACTCTCAGTCCCCATCTGTGCTTGCTCTGCTGTTAAGGGAGCAATCATCTGCATTGGAGGGTAGCTTAGGTGCCTAAACCTGTTAGGATAAGTGACTAAAAAAATAGATATTTGTTTCTCTTCATGATTACAGCTTTCTTCTTTCTTTTTCTTAAAAAATCCCAAACCGGAATCAAACAAAAAGACTCCTCAACATTTAAGATAACTTGGGTGTCACTCTATGTAACCACTTGTTTCCTTAAAGTAATGCAGGACATGTTCTTAGGAAATAAATAAAATCTCTAACCAAAGGTTCCCAAACTCTGAATGGAGGAGATGTGCCTCAGAACCATAACTAGAGCTAGTTTCCAGGGACTTCAGGATACAGATAAGTGAAAGAAAGGTAGAATAAATAAGAATATATCACAGTTGTGGATAAAATTTTTAGTTTTAAACTCTGTTTCTTAGTAGATAGTTTGCTGTGTGAACCATATCAAGAAATTTTAACAAAATACCATGCAGAATGGAGCTTAAGGCAAGGAATCTTTCTTGATTATTCTTTCTTTCATTTAAACCAGTACCCATGTATCCATTGGAGAGCACACATCTGTTTTGCAAATAATTCTTTGGTGTTGCTCATTTTGATCTTTTTGAGTCGGTTCACTTACTGTTTAAATTAGACACTAATTCTTTATCTTTTATGTGAGACTGCTTTCCTTTCCCCCATCCCCCACAAAGGAGATGAATCTCTTGGCAATTCAGCCTGAAATTTTTGTTGCTTCTACTGATAAATGCTGACATTCAAAATGCTTCTGTTATCTTCCCAGAATATTTTTAGTTCATTAATGCATTTTTTTTGCTTCTGTAATTACTATTGAAATTTCTTTAGAAAAACATAGAAAATTAAGTAGAATTCCTAAAATTGTATTTGAAATACTTTATTCCTGGCTGTGTTACCTATCACAGTGTAAATAACTGAACATGACTAATTATTTGTGATATTTTTCTCATTGAAGGTGCTAAGTCCTCAAAAATTAGAACTGTTAAAATCAAAAATTTATGAGGAATTGGAGTCTCCTATGAGAGAGCGTTATCAGAAACTCGAAAATGTAAGTCATAAATATTGAAATTTTATTTCATTTAGAGCAGTGATTGCTGCTTTATAGTTGCTCCTAAAACCTTAGGAAATTAAAACTGAAAGGGGATCAAAGTATGACATTATTTGTCTGGTACTGCTGTCCCAGGCAGGGAAGGTTGAAATCCTGGAAGAGGGAGGAGGTGGCACCCAATTCGTCAAAGATCACTTGTGAAACAATAGGAACATTGCATAGACATTTAAAGGAAATAAATTTGAAAACTTTTAATTTGGATTGTTTTGTTTGGTTCTTTTTTTTGTCTAACTTAGGAAGTAGAAAAATACAGAACACTATATAACAAACTTCGTTATGACCATACATTCCTGAAATCAGAATTTGAGCATCAAAAGGAAGAACATGCACATATTTTAGAAGAGAAGAAAATAAAATATGAGGCTGAGGTAGGTAGACTATTACAGTAGCTTAGAAAGTATCTCTGAGAAAGCTGCTTGAACATTGTGGAACTGTTGGTACTTGAAGGGTTGTCAGTTTGGCTCCATTTCATGTTTGTATCTATTCTCTTAATTCTCAAAGCACTTCTGTGACTTAGCCTAAGGCTGCCTCTGCAGATTTGTTCAGTGATGGCTTGCAATATTATTTGTGCTATTAAAAGTAAGAATAGCTTGCTTTCTGGTAAATGACTGCCAGTATATTTGCTTAATGCTATTTTTAATCACATTTGTGATGGAATTGGTGACATGATGCTAATTTGAAATTAATAAATTATCTGAGTAACTAATGTAAGTTTAGACTTTAAATTACTTATGTGACAACTTATTGAGGAAGATATTGTTAATGGCAGATAAAAGTACCTTTTGCAATGTACCTGTCATGATCTGAGTTTGGATCAAGATGGTGATAATCAAAAGGATACTGAAAACTTTGGTAAAATTATTCCAATTGCATTAGCTCTTGAAGAAACTATTCATTCATTTCTTTGGACTTTCAAAAGTGTATGTAGCTAAATAAATTGCCAGCTTATTTATGTTTTAAATATATACAGCATTGTAAATGAGTTGCAGATGTCATTTGCATATCCATTTAAGTATTTGTCTGGAAGCATATATTCTAAGATGCCAGATTTGAATGTATTACTCCAAACATCAGACACAAATCAAAGAAATCATCACTTTCAAAATCAATCCAAGTTTGCAAATGCAGTGCATTAAAAACAGAACAGTTGTCCTTCCTGGAGCTAAACCCACATGCTGCTTTACAGCCTGCCTCTCTCATGGGCTTGTTGAGTTTGTGCTAGTCCTGCAGCTAATTAGCACACTTACACAGAATGAAACTACCTTGAGCCCAGGGCACAGTGTGATCTGGTTTCTCTCAAAGGCTTTTTAACATTCCATGTCATTTTGCACAAGGAGGCTATAAAAACATCCTAATTCTTAAGTGATGGCTTGGGCATATCATGCAATTGAATTTCCTCATAAAAGGCATTTGCTGAAGAAATCAGGTTTGTTCGTAGAGAATGCTGGTGAAACTTTTAAAAGGACTGCAGCAGATCAAAGTTTGGACTCGTCTCCAAATATGGAGAGAATTCTTACATACCTTTCTCACTCTTTTGCACCCACTATTATATTCAGTTCATGTCACTAACTTTGAAAGATAACGATCTATGTATTTTTCTATGTATGGATCTATTCAGTCTGTGTCACTTATTTTGAAATATAACAATCTACAGTCTCCAGATTGGTATGTACCTTTTGTATTACCTTGTGAGAGAGAGTTGGAGGGTACTTTTGTTGTTGTTACTGGGTTTTGGTTTTGGATTTTGGTTTTGGTTTCTTTTGTTGTTGTAGTTGTTTTTGTTTGGTTTTGGTATTTTGTTTTGGGTTTTTTTTGGTTTATTGTGTGTTGAGGCACAGTCATGTTGGCTGTCCGGAGTTATTAGCAGATTCGAGTTCTGTTGTATTTATTATATAATTTATAATTACAAAATAGTGGAATCCTAAGGTAAGTTGGAAGAGACTCTTTCTAGTCCAAGATCCTGCTTAAAATACTGAAGTGTAATGAGACCAGTTTGCTCAGGTCCATGTCCAGCCAAGTATTGAACATTTTCAAGGACGGGGATTCCATAATTTCTCTGGCAAGACTCTTTCGGTATTTAACCATCTTCATGGTAAATTCTTTTCATAACACCTAATTGGAAATTCATGTGTTCCAAACTGTGCCTGTTGCCTCTCTTCCCATCACTGTGCATCTTCTCCTCTCCAAGCTGAGCCTTAGCTTTCTCACCTTGTCCTTATTTGTCATGTTCCCCAACCCTCTGAATACCTTAGTAGTCATCTGGACTTGACACAAACTCCAGATACAGCTTTACCAGTACTGGAGGGGGGACAAAGGATCACTTCCCTGGATCCGCTAGTTAGCCTTCTGCCAATCTGCCAGGATTGAATTGGGTGCTCTGCTGAGTAATGTTTAGCTTGTTGTCCACTAGGACCCCAGATCCTCTCCATGGAGATGCTTCCTAGACAGTTGCTACAGGCCTGTACTGTTGCATTGGATTGCTCCTTCTCAGATACATGACTTGTGCTTCTTGTTGAAGAGGACCCAGTTCTGTCCATTCCTTCAGCTTACCCAGACTCTTCTGGATAGCAGTTCTGCCTTCCAACAGATTGACCATTTCCCCCCAATTTGGTGTCCCACTCAAACTTCCTGAAATGAGGACAAGCTTGCTAATGAAGACATCAATCAGTATTGCACTCTGTAGTGCTCTCAAAAAGACCACACTAATTACAAGCATTCAGGTGGTATTGTTTTGAATTTCCTGCTCTAAGCAAATGAATGTTTAAATGTTCACTGCTGCTATTTTCTGAATTGTTAACTGCTGTAATTGTACACCTAACCAATTTAAGAACTTTTTATTTTTCTGATTAACAACTATCATCAGATTGCAAGACTGGATAAAGATAAGGAAGAACTCCATAATCAGCTGCTTAGCATTGATCCTACAAGGGATAGTAAACGTGTGGAAGCACTTTCTAGAGAAAAGGCGCAACTGTGTCAGAAATTAAAAGCTTTAGAAGCAGAAGTAGAAGAACTAAGAGCAGAAAGACACAACTGTGTTGTGCAAGCAGAAAATGTTCAAAGAGTACAAGCACGACAGTTAGCTGAGATGCAGACCATGATGAGATCTCTAGAGGTAAGACTTGGTTTTATTATTTTGCCTCCCTACAGAGTGTAGTAAGAATAACACTTGGCCTGACAGAACTGTCACTGAAATCACTGATAATCTTGCCATTGACTCCACAATTTGAATTTGTACATTTCAGATTTAAAATCAAATTGTAGTTGACTGGGAGTCATGCACTGCTAGTTCAGCTTTGGCAAGTCTCTCAACTGAGAGATTCTGCTGAATGATATCCTTCCCAAATAAGCAAGTCATGTCTGTATTTGTAGTCAGTAAGAAGGTCAGCACTTGCCACTTAGCTGGAGCTAGAAACCAGTATGTTAATAATCTGCTGCAGTAAATTCTTTATTCTTTTCAAAAATGTCACATGATGATGCTCTCTTTAATCCTTTACTCATCTGTCATCTTTTTTGCTTAGCTATGCCTCTTCTTTTTCCAACATGTTACTGCAGTTGTTTAGTACTTGGCTGTTGCTCTCCCTGTTGCTCTCCTTGGTATTTATGGCTTGTTGCACTTTTCCCAGGATTCCATTGTATTCCTCATCTCATTCTCAGATCTTCTGTCAGTTCTTGCTACCTCTCTAGGTAGCGAGCCTTTTCATCTACACTCTTTGCACAGTTGCAGCATGCAGATAGATGGTTCATTTTCTTTTTTACTATTATCAGTGCTGTATACCTTAGTTACAAAATGCTCTGATCTCAACTTAAGAAGTGCTGTAATCTTCTTAGACAGCTTTAAAGAGAGCCCCGCCGAAAATGAAAGTGTTCAGAAAAAGGAAGGTGACATCGTATATTAGATTACCTTTTTGGTATTCAGAAAAGATCAGGGTCTATAATAGAGTGATTGCATTTTATTTCCTCTCCAGGATGTTAATTCTTCTGTCAATATAACTGCATAGGCCAGCTGACTACACCTTTTTGAGCACCATTTGTAGTTACACTGTTTACAGCCCAGTAATTTACTGGTAAGCACACCTGCTGCCTCCTAACCAAGTCAGGTTACCATTATCCCTTATCAAGGAGGTTTGAAAATGGGAGTGATTTTGTGTAGGAAGTGTTAGTAAAAATAGTTGTAACTTTTGATTAAAATTCAAGACCCTTGTTGTATGGGAATATATGGTTGAGCAAAGATGAATATTTATATATCATATTATATATTTTAACAAGTCAATAATATCTGAAACCCCAGACCAATCAATCATTTCAGATGAGTAACAAGAGGCAACTCAGCTCCAAAAATCTTAAAAATACTTCCTTCATTCAAGGCAGAAAAGAAGTCTGCTGAACTACAGGTTGGTCGAATTGAGAAGGAACTGCAGACAAGTCATGAGCAAAACATTCTCTTAACTAGCAAACTTCACAAATCTGAACGAGAAGTCAATTCCTTAGCTGCTCAAGTAAGTACTTTTATGGTATCTGAAATATATTTTTCAGATCCTGTTATGGTTTTCTGTTTATATTTTACATTAAGAATAAAGTAATAATGTCTTCTGCTGTGACTTAAAATAGGTACGGAGTTTTTCCTTCAGTTTCAGTTGAAAGACAAAGAATATGTGACTTTACAGGAGAAATGTCATAACTAAAAGTATCTCTAAAGATTGAGGTTATGTTCTTATTATTCCATCTTCTAGATCTTTTTCCTGAACAGAATGAGATTTGAAGTGGTATCTTTATATTCATGTTTTTGATGTTTATGAATATAGCTAGCCTTTAGAGCTTTAAACTTATCTTACTACTTTTTTTTTTTTTTTTTTTTTTTTTGTAATGGACCTATGGCTTCTGCAGATCTTAAAAAGTATCCTCTAAATGGGCTGTGTTAGCTACAGGAAGCAAGCTGCATTGGAGTTACTTGTGGAGATTTAGGTTATATTAGAAGCGGGGTAGTGACATTAGCATAGCCTTTTTCTTGGGCTAATGCCAGCATAGCTTGTGCAGAAACATTTCGGTACAGAATTACATCACAGCATTTTAAGCTGACCATTGTCCTAAAATATATTTGAGTAACTTTGTTGGCATCAGTTCTTAGAGGTTTTGTTCCAAGTTTGTATGCTTTTCTTTTCTCTTGGGATCTTTTTACAGTGCATATTTGTGAGCTAAGTGTTTAATTTTGGTCATTCATTAAAAAAAAAAGTTCTAACTTACCATAGGAATAAGACATAGCTATACCACTATTTAAAGCCTCTTTATGTAATATGACATACTTGGCCCCCATGCTAAATAGGAGGGGAAAACTTCTGTTAAACATTTTTCAGTTGTCTCTCAGAATATATAGAAGATTGTTATGGTCTTTATTTTTTCTGTCAGCTGGTCTTCTTTGCTCCCCTCGAGAAGCAGAACAAAATAAAATGTTCCAGTGGTGTTTCTCAAAGGGGGGAAAATAGAAGCTTTACTATATTAACCTGCACCTACTTCTGTTCCCACTCAAACCTATTCCTGAACATGGTTTGTCTTAGGTGCATGTGTTTGTCTTCTGGATTTTTTGCCTTAAAAAAGCCACCTTAAATCTTTTCAAGTTGCCCTGAAATGTTATCAACGTCATACATAAGCAACTAAATCTTCTGTGTAGTTACATAATAAGCTACTGTGTCATTCTTAACCTTTTGCCACTTGTATATGCTAGCAGGTTGTAATTACATTTGTCATTGTGAATGGATTTTCATTATAAGTGCTTTCCTCCAGATACTTAATTCGCATTGACCGTGTAATTACTGCGTTCAAATGCCTAAACTATAGAAAGTTTCCATGCAAGCAGTAATTTTCTTTGGTTTGATGTTCTTAAAGCTCCTACTTTTATGAGGCCATTTGATGTGTCCATAGAGCAGTATTTGATTTAAAATGCACTTTAAAACTATGAAGAACCTGGGTTTTGAGAAGGTAATGTAGCACTCCAGGAGGCCGCGGGACTATAAGTAGTTACCAAATTGAAATTACTTGGGGAAGTAGTTGGTATTCTGGCTTTGTGTATCACTGTTTTGATTTATTTATGGAGATTAAATTAAATTTTATTTTAACTTGACTCTGCGGTACCTTTAGTCAGAAGTGAAGTAAATAAATAGAAATTTATTGTAGTTAATTTGATGTTGGTTTTTACTAATTCATAGGTAAAGGAACTAAAACATTCACATAAGTTGGAAGTAACAAATGTCAAACTGGAGGCAGCAAGAGCAAAGAGTGAAGTAGAAAGAGAGAGAAACAAGATTCAAAGTGAAATGGATGGTAAAGTACGAAATTATTTTGTAATTTCATCTGTTTACTTATAGTTAAAATAATACAATTCTTTTTTTCTCTGAACACTCTCCAGCAGCCTTCACCTTTGTCCTGGTTTAGGGCAAAATTTGGGAGAAAACCTCCAGTGGGGCTCCCCCCGGGAAGCAAACCCACATGGCCCCTTTTTTCCCACCCCCCAACCAGTTCGGGAAGAGATTTCTCTGAGAGAAGTGGAAAAAACCTGTTTATTTCACAGGCACAGCACTACCCAGCACAAACATGAATGATATCACATTACAAAACCTCTCGCCCTTCAGAAGAGATGACAAACTTCAGAGGGTCTCTTTCCTGTGGGTGTTCGCTCTGTTATCAGTCCCTCTGGCGCTGGAAAATGCCGCTGCCCAGGCTGGGCTCCCGGTAGTCCACGGGTGCAAGCTCCCGGTGCTCCCCCGAGTCCCCAGTCCAGAGCAGGTTCGATTCGTTTCAAAAAAGGGAAAGAAAACAGTCCGGGAAGACCTCTCTGCTCTGGCTAGTTGGAAAGCCAAGGCGATCTGTGTCTTGTTGTCTGTCTGTGCTGTAGTCAAAACTCCCGATGCGGGGGGAGCAAGTACAGTCTCTGATAACAGACTCGGTGCTTCTTTTCCACTCACTTTTACTCTGAGATGGAATTTTAAGAATACAAAACCTGTGTCTGGGTTAGGTGGACGAATGGGGATACAATTTAACATCATAATCAACCCAGGACAACCTTCTATTTCTGGTCTAGGTCATAGATCTGACAATTCACTTGGTATTTGAAATAATTGAGTTGTTTCACTTCATCTACTAGGCAAAGAACAATTGAGTGCAATTTTTCATTTATGTAAATTAGTGCATTTGTGACACAACTTGAGCATAATCTGTTTCAAATTATATACTTCATATGGTTATTTTTTCTAAATTCTTGAGTCTTTTATACTCTGCTTGAAACCTTATCATGCCACAGAGCTTCAGTGGTTGGGTTCTTTTTTTTTGATTTTGTGTCTGTGGAATTGGAATCAATTCCATAAGGCTGCCACATGAAACAAAATACAGTACCTAGTTCATTCTTTGAAGGAAATAGGCATTGCTCTAAGCCACCTGATGCAGCTGAGTATGTAGGCAACTTGAAATAGCCTTCTAGAGTGAAAAGGCCAAAACTTTCTAGTACTAGTTGTTTAAATTACTACACAGCTTTAAAGAAAACTGTCCTCAGTGATTTGCCATAGCCCCAAAATAGTACCTTTGTCTTCCTGAAATGTTTCTGTTCACTTACTTTAATTTACCAAGAGCAATTAAGAAGTGGTGTTTTCTGTATTGACAATATACTTACAGTGTATTGCAAGCTAAAAATGTTGAGCCCTATGAAATACAAAACTCAATATAGACAAGATTTAAGCTAATCTGAACATAATGTGGAATTCCATTTGCAACTCTGAATTAGCTAAATAATGAGGAGTCACTGTTAGAGAATGTTGGCTTATTTACCAGTGAACACAGGTGTCAGTTACAAGATTTTAGTTTGTGTCATTTGTCCCTGCCTATAGAGTCATAGTTTTAGAAATGCCTCACTTGGTAATATAGGTGGATTAAAATCAGATTTGTTGTAGCCCAGTTACTGATTTCACAGATAACCAGTTATTGCTTACTGTAAACTTTTCCAGAAAATGAAAATTTTCTTGCTTAACCTTTGCATAGCTATTGTGGAACACTTTTAAAAAATTTTAAATCCAGACACAATTTTTTTATAAATTGCTCTAGAGTTTAAATCTGTAATAATATAAACTGTTTAATTACTTTGGTTTGAAGTAAGAAACTCTCATAGACCGTGATTCCAGTATAATGGTTACTTTTCAAAAGTCTTGGAAATATAACTGTTACAGTAAGAAAGGCCTCTTCTGATTTTCTTGTGTTTTGTTTTTTCCCCTTCCCCCATTCATTCTGTCATTTGAATTGAGATTTTTAGTTCCCTTTTTTGAATTTAGAAAGTTATTTAAATATGGGATTTCAGCAGGTTCTTATCAATAATGATGTATTTAACTTTTTTAAATGTATAATGCAGGATTGCTGTCCGACAAGGAAATTCTTACTGCAGCTGTTGAACGTCATAAAGTGCTTTTAGTAGAAAAAGATCGGGAGCTAATTCGTAAAGTGCAAGCTGCCAAAGAGGAAGTTTTTGACAATATTGCAGCCTTACAAAATGAAAAGTATGTCTATTGATTTCCTCCTCAGCTTCTAAAAGAGGACTGTTTTGTGTTACTTTTTAAAATGTCAGTCTTAACTAAACACTTCTGGCATTTTGTAATGATTCTTGTGTGCATAATTGAATAATTTCTTAGGTTAGAACTCGAGAACAGACTAGCTGATCTAGAGAAGATGAAATTGGAACAAGATTCTTGGAGACAATCTGAAAAGGATCAGTATGAAGAGAAACTACGTGCTGTGCAGATGGCAGAAGAATCTAGCAAAAAGGAGCTTCAGCGTCTGCGGTAGTGTGGCTTTTCTAATCTTAGCACAAATTTCTCATTTTTCCCCCCTTAATGTCTTCACAGTAGACAGAATAGTATCTTCCTATTCATAGATACAGAAATCTTCATTATGAAATGTTTGTTATAGTAGATTAAACAAAATTATCTTTTGTACTATGTAAAAAAGAGCACAGAATTAAAAATTAATTGTTTGAAAAGATAACACTCTTTGTCCAAACCTTTAAGTGTTATTTTCAATGACCATTTTCAATGACCAATGAAGTAATAATTTGGCAATACACATTTGTTAGAACTGGTTTAATGCTGGCATAGCCCCAGTGTTAGAGTAAACCATTTCTCTTTTCACAATGGCACCATAGCAGCAATTGGCAAGCTGTGACCCTAATATGATGTCTCTGAGTTGGTTATTATGGCTGGGAATTTACTTGGCTTACTGTAGTTTTTATATGAGGGTCAGGATGATAAACTGAATCATACTCTAAAAATCTTATTCCTATGTGAATTCTAAGAATGAATAGAAATATATTTTTAATACTTTTTTAGTTAAATATTTATCAGCCCTGCAAATAATGCTATTTTTGTCAGGCTGATTTGTCCTTATTTATAGCATCTGTATTTTGATTAGATAAAAAATAAGAATGTCTTACACAATTTTAGATTAAAAATTCAACAGCAAGCTATGCAGACAGAAGAGCTGGAAGAAAAGAAACGTGAAAATGCTAATTTGAAACAGGTAAGGTTTATTGCATTGTAATGTTTTGTAGAGAAATACATTCTTTCCTGTAGTTACCATGTTCTGTGTTTGAAGATTAGATTGAATTTTTAAGGCGCCTTTTTTTTTTTTTCCCCTGAGGGACAAAATGTGTACTTCAGATATTTAAATGAGAAGTGTTCAGAAATCAATCGTGCTTTCCTGGACCTCTGTAAATGGATTACAGCTTTTTGCTTCATATGTTTTGTGGGTACCAGGAATTTCAAAGCTGAATGTTTATAGACTGGTATATTGAATATGGTTATGCACTATTTAACTGGAGATTCAGTTGCCATGGAGACTTATAAATTGTTTCTAGGTAATGCTTTGCATTTACACTGCATCTCTCATCTGAGTTTCTTCAAGTGTTTAACAGATGTTTCATAAATGAACAAACTAGTGTAAAGAGGTATATTTCGATTGCAGAGTCAATTGATGGCAGTGTTGAAAATCAAACTTTTTTTTAACTCCTGCTTGCCTATGATGTTATTTAGTAGGTAATAACAATAGCTGTGCATCAAAATACTCTGTAACCTGTGTGCATTTGAAGTTCAAGACAAATGTTTTTTTCCTCCAGAAATCAGAAATTAAGGGATATAAGTGTCCGTATGGGGGGACAAAAAGGGAAATGATCATTTCTGTAAGCTGGCTGCAGAGGTTTGACTTTTCAGTGCTTCCTTGTTTTGTGAACTGACTGGGGTGGTCACTGTAATGAAAATAACAGGCTGTAACATGCTGTATATTATGAGACAGAAGAGCCTGGATAGCTCCAGAGCTCGGCTACAAAGTATTTCATGGTCCTCCAGTTCTGTTCAGCCCTGGTGCTGAAGCGTAGGATTTCTGAAGTTCTGGGGACACTTCAGTGACAGAAGAGTTCTGCCTACCTTTCTCATTTTAACTACAATAGAAACCTTTTGTCTCATAGTGATTTACTGTCCGGAGTATCTCAAGCTTCTGCAGAAACTGTTGAGTAAAGAGAAAAGAAACAAGTAAAAAAGGCTAATGACAAGCTAAAGCTAGTTGATGTTTCCATTTTGCATTGTCTCAGTATCTCAAAAATCAATTGTTGCTTATTTGCATACCTTTGAAATGGAAAAAATATTTTTTGTTTTGGTAGCAAATAGATGATATCCAACTCCAGCTTGCCTCACTTTCTCAATCAGAAAATGATTTGCTGGAATCTAATCAGAAATTGAAGGAAATAATAGAGAGATTGAAACAAGAATGTCAACATGCAAGGGCTCAGGCAGAGAAAGCTCAACTGGAAACAGAGAAGTAATTTTTTTCTTTTGGCTTTGCTTTTCATGTTCCTTGTGTTCTGCTTATGTGGATTACTTAACTGTGGATTGTAGATCCTGAATAAAGTGAGAAAGTTAAAATGAACAGGAAATATTGGACAGTTGTAAAAAATGGCCGTATATTCTGTGGCATAGCATGTATAAAAGCTTTCCTCGTGTCAGCTTTAAAAAAAGGAGTTTGTTTCCATTCCTATCTGTTAAAATTAATTATTGATTAGTGAGATAAACTGCTTGCATAAAATGAAATTCTACTTATACTGAAGTAAGTGTCAAACTTCTATAGGTATAAATGGATCTAGAGTTTCAGACAGTTCTAAGAGTGTTTAAGCTGTGGAAAGCTTAAATGGATGTAAAGAGCATTCAAGCATTGTAATTGTGTGATAAGGTTCCATGGTCCCAGTCAGTATGTGTGAATACTTCTTTCCCTTTCCCACTAGCTACTTTTAGCTGATATGAGGTAAGTAAAAGGTTATGGACTATCTTCTTGTTCTTCTCATCAAAATTAAAAATAATCACTTTCCTTTTTTTGCATAAGCTTGACCACATACCATCAAAGTATGACAATAAATGGTGAAGGAAGCAAAGAAATGATGAAGGAAGCAAAATTTTATTCAGATTCCACATAGAAATGCACATTTTCCTGGAATTTAAAGATTAGTTTGTCAGTCTGAAATGGCTTTTCAGAATTTCCTAGTTTAGTAACCATATGTGTCTAACTTGTACTACATTATTGTGTAATGGGTGTTTTAAAAAGTCAGTGTTCCAGATTAAACATAAAACTTCCAAAGTGTATAATGTAACTTCTTTTTGTTTTAACATCTGTTTTGCTACTAATTGGTACTGCAATTGCTATGTTGTCATTAGTTTAAGCAGTGCTTTTCAATTTAACATTTGAAGATATTGCATTTGGACTGCTGAGTATGTCAGTAGCACATTAAATACTTTGGATGTTTGCTTTAGGGAGGTGTACTCACATGTGGAATGAGATCCTTGCTGTTACTTGAATGAGGCTGTCACTGTCATTTGCATATTTATGCATCACAAAACAGTCAGGACTAGGTTTTCCTGAGAAGGCAGTGGAAGGGACTTCTCAGTCCTCAGAGATCATTGTACAAGTATGTAGATACTGAGAGATGCACTAAGGCTGATACTGCAGAAATGAAGCAACATTGTAGCCTGCATGTAAGTCCTGCAGGTCTGTGCCACTGCTACCCTGGGAGCCTTGGATCATGTTTCCATTGTTTTTATGAATCTGTGTGATAGGACATCCTTCCTCTGTTCAGTAAAGTCTTATGAGCTTGAACACCAAAAAGCTAAGTTGCACCAAAGCAAGAGGAAGTGAAGTAGGGACTAAAAGATGAGAAAACATAAGATAAAAAGTTTCAGATAAATAAAGTAGTGCCATTGAGTATAAGTAGGCAAAGCAGCTGCATGTCTGGCTGTGTCAATCTTAAGCTTTAAATGAAAATGGGAAAGGAGAAAAAGAGCTGAAGGCAAACTCTGAGACTTACACAGATCAGAGATGGGCTCAAACAGGTACTAGTTCAGCATTTTGGGAACAATATTAGTGGCATTTAGACCAACCAAACAACAACAACTGAAAAACCCAAACAACCTCAAGAAATCCTCACACCCAACTCAAGCATTTTTTAACCATTTCCTTAGCTGAAATCCTTTTACTGCTAAGCAGTGCTTGTCCAAAGTGCTTTGGTTCCTGGGTACTAGTAGTTATTTACAGTCAAGAGTGAGGTATGAGCCATGCTGCATCAACTAAAAGAGCCATGACAGGTGACATGTGGGCCAGGACTCTGTTTCCCAAATGAGAGTGGATGACGTCCAGTACTTCTATTGTGGGGAAAGAAGAGGTGGTTTGGTGAGAAATTTAGGGAGATGCATTCAGAGTCCATGTAGGGAAACTGCATCTGCCCAGGACTGGAGTTCTGTGGATGCACTAATACTAAGCCTTGGTTTTATTAAAATCTGCTACACAGAATCTCACCATTTGATTTTAATTTTTAACAGTAATATAATTAAATGTGCCATTAGTTCTGCTCACAATGCAGGTAGCCCAAATGAACAAGGCAGCACAGAGAAAGTGGCTCCTTTCCTATACACTGCTAGAGAACACAGCCTAATTTTAGTGTGTTGTAACCGTGCAAAAGTCTAAACAGATAACATGTGCCATTGGTGTGTGTTCAGCTGGAGTATTGTCTTAAAACCATATTAGTGGGAGCTTCCTGATGAGCTGGTGTTTGTTCTGGTTGGGAGCATGTGCTAAGCAAGTCTGTTACAAAGACAGTAGACTCCATAGAGCAGCACCTTGCTTTCCCAAACAGAGAAGGTAGTTGTCAACTCTTCTGACAAATGACGTTTTGAATAGGTATCTGCTCTTGTGTTATAGTGTGATAGTCTGACCTGAACTGAGGAATTTTCTCTGGGTAGTTTATCAGCATGCCAATCCAACAAGGCACCAACAATTAGCTTCTTGGAATCAGTTTTCAAATTTTCAAAATTCAAAATTTGAGTTCAGTATTAGTTTGTTCAAAACACCTCATGGTTGAAGAAATCCTAGGATAATGCATAGGTTCAAATGTCATAGTCACAATTGGAATGTGAACGCAATCAAATTTACGTCAGATCGTTTAAGTATATAAAAGTAGGAGTTGTGAAAAGATGTGTCTATTTTAAGAAAGCCTTAAGGCAACTGAATGTGCTGCTTTGTTTGTATAACCTCATAATCTTTTAACCTGATGTTTCCAAAGGACTTCAGAATACCAACGTATGGAATGGCTGCAGGAGAAGCATATGCTTACTCAGCACCTCACAGAGTATGAAGAGAAATACAAGCAAATGAAGAACAAGCTATGTCGAGCTGCTGTTGCTCAGAAAAAGGCATACTGTCTCTTCCTTGTTGAATGATCTAGCCTGTGTAAAGTTTAACTTTGTTGGCCAGCTAGAATTGTTTCAATGTTAAGAGTTCATTTGCAGTTTACTGTATATAATAACTAAATATGTTGGGTTCTTCAAGATTAGCATAGAAATAGGTTGAAGTGACATGCCAAAGAATATTACAGCCGACAATTTTGTTATCAAAGTATGCCATCAAAGACTTTGTGAGGCTTTCTTTGCACACACGTGTGCATTGATGGTTATTTAACAAGTGGACCCCTTGATGATGGAGGATGATGTTTCAGATACTAGACAAATGATGTTCTGCTTTTCCTTGATGGAATATTAAAATTTTATTTCTTCTCCTAAGCTTACTTTTTATGAAATAATTTGAAAGGAAAGGCAGGTTGCTTGTAAAACCTCAAGATTAATTAGCATTGTTATACATTGAACATAGGTTATGAAATGTACCAGTATCTTTTAAGGTCATGAAAAGTTAAGATCAATATGAGGGGGAAAAACCCGCAAACAAACAAAACCAAAAAACCCCAATAAACAAACAAACAAACAAAAAAACCAAAGGAAGCATACTTTTTTGGTTATGCTTATATTCATTTATACATAGTCATTTAAAGGATGACTTGTGATTCTTAGATACCATTAACGTTTGTTAGTACAGCTGGTCACTAACGAGTGATTGGCAGCTGTGCCTCTTTCATTCAAAGCTAGGGAGCATTTCCCATCTCTTCTGCTTCCCAGCATGGCAATCTCAGCACCTTCAAACAACACAACATCTCTTAAGAAAATCCTATAAAGGGTCACAGCTTGAAACCACATAGATTATAGATTTAATTTTTACAGGATTTAATCTATTAAGGTATTACTTAGCTGTTTGAAACATCTCATTCACAGAGAAAGACTCTCAATGACAATAAACAAAGGAGGATGCGTGAGAAAATAGAACTTTTGGAAGCCAAGATGGAAGAACTAGAAAAAGAAAATCAAGTGTTAAATAGGTAATAAATTTGCTTTTTCTTAGCTTGAAAAATTACATAGGCTCAAGGTATGACTTACAAATATGAAGTATTTTTGAATACATGTTACCTAGATTAGTACCCAGAGTCCAGTCTAATAGCCTTTACAGCACTAGAATTCTTTAAATAGATTCTGTTTAGGATGGGCAGCTGAGAGCTTGTGAGACAACTGCAGGGCTGTCTCTTCAAGAAGAAAAAGAGAAAAAAATACCTGATAGGCACAGTTGCAGGAATCCCTTTAAAATAAGGAAGTGAACAAGACTTCAGGATTGCAAGAGAAAAAGACATGGCATCCTCTTTCAAAGATGAAGTCCTGGTTTTTCTCTCTTCATTGAACCCCTGTGGAGGGCTTGACTTGAATAATTAATTTACTGTGGCTTCTCTGACTCACTACTGTGAATGGTATTAAAAGCTTAATTTATTTTATGTAAACTCTAATCTGTAATAGAGCAGATAGCTAAATATGTAGAGGGACATTTAGACAGGTATTTAGGCAAAAAGAATATATACAGATCTACTTTCCAATTCTTCTGTGTAAGAATAGGTAGAAACTGGGGGTGTTAAACAGCAGAGCGCTCGTGGAGAGCTTTGCTGCTGTGTTGGGATAGCAAAGATCTTGAGCAATAAGAAATCTGTAATTTCCTAGACAGAATGTTTCCTCTGAAGAATATGCTCGCCTCCAGAAGAGGCTAAAGGACTTGCAGCGTCGGCATAATGAATTCCGGAGTATAATTCTGAATCCTGACATTCCGTCACTCAATCCAGTCAGTGTAGCGCCATCGTCTGCCTTGCCTCCTGGGCCTGCAGCGTCCTTCTCCTTTCTTCAGGTGGTGATATATTACACATTGTGAAAATAATGCAGCAAAAGAGGGTACTGAAACAGTTCTTTTTACTGACCTTAGTTTTAAGGAAGGTGTATTTCAGCTTTGAACAGAAGTAAGAAATATTGAGTTATCTAGAGATGTTCCCTTTGTCGCAATAGGAGGGTGTACTTGAAAAACAAAGGGTATGTTACAGAATGTAACAACTGGGTAGTTTTAAGGCAGTTCTCCATACTTTGTCCTTCCCCTCAGAGGCTTTAAATGGCTCCTTCTGAGCAAGAAATGCTAGTATTGTTCTCACACCATGGTTTCAGTATTAGAAAGCAGTATTGCTGCTCTTGATTTCTTGTGTGGTTAAAAGTGTCTTAGGCTGAGCTGCTGAGGGTGAAAATCTCTCTGGCTGAGGTTGACCAGGTTGACTTTACAGATTCATGATTACTGAGACCTCAGGTTTGTGTGCTCCTTCATCTGGGAGGAGGAACAGCTGCAGATGTATTTCTTCCTGATGCTGTTCGTCTAGAATGTCAGAACAATACCCACAAAACACTAATGAGTAAAATTTAACAAAAAAGGATGTTTTAGACTTTACAGTTTTAATTTTCCTTAAAGAAAATGAATGCATTGCTCATTTTGGTCCCTTGTAAGTGTGCAAAATGTAATAAAGCCACATTTTTATTCTTTTTAATTTAAAGGAGGAGCAGCATCAAAGAGAGCTTGCCCTGCTTGGCAAGCGGTTGGAAGAACTAGAAACCAGACAAAGAAAACAGCTGGAAGATCTTGGACCATCTAGAGAGCGGGTAATGGTGGGGAACGGGGACTTGGCAAGAAAAAAGATCACTGGAGAAGATGAAGCACAAAGTGAGGACTCTAAATAAAATCTGCACACTCTTGATGCTGTTAGCTTTCAATAACTTATCCTTTGTACATGCTTTTCATATTTTGCCAAAAATATGGTTGTATGTGCCTGAATAGCATAAAATATATTCTGCATAGTTACCCCTTTGTGGCTCAACTTGTTTAACTGCTGGGTCTAAGGACAAAAGTAACTTTTCTCACTGGGAATCATAAAAAGAATATGCAGGGTTGCTTTTCATGAGGGGGCTGTACCCTGAATATGTGTTACCAGTGAAGTGATACTTAGCATAGCAGCAGTTACAGGCTCAATATTAGGACTCAATTGCAGTTTGTTTCTGGTCCACTAGACTTCCACTAGACTTCTCTCAATTGCCTGCTCCTATGGGTGTGTGTGGGGGAAGTGAAGTCCCTTCCACTATAAGCCAAGAGCAGATTTGGGATGATGTGATGAAGCTGAATAGCCATAAGTCTGTGGGACCTAATAATGTGCATCTCAGGATCCTGAGGAAACTGGCTGATGGTGTTGCTGTGTTTAGAAGCCATGGCAGTCAGTGACTGGGGAAAGGGAAACATTGCTCCCATTTTTAAAAAGGGGAGAAAGGATGAACCATGAAACTCCAGATGGGTATGCCTCACCTTTGGGTCTGGGATGATCATGGAGCACATCCTTCTAGAAGATGTGCTGAGGCAAGTAAAAGAGAAGGAGGGCAGCCAAGGCAGCCGTCATGGCTCTGGTATGGGCAAATTGTGCCTGAGCAATATGGCCTTTTATGATGGAGTGACAGCAATGGTTGACGGGGGAACACCAACAAATGTCACATTTAGACTTCTATAAGTCCTTTGATATGGTCCCACATGACATGCTGATCTCCAGATTGAAGAGACACAGATTTGATGGATGACTAGCCATTCAATGGATAAGGAATTTGCTGGATGGACACAGCCAGAGAGGGCTCTATGTCCAGGTAGTGGATGGTGATGAGTGGGGTCCCTTAGAGCTCACTTTTGGGACTGATGCTCTTCAGTACCTTCAGTGATGACAGTGAGATGGAGTGCAGCCTCAGCAGCTTTGATGACAGGAATCTGAGCTCTGCAGTTGGCACATCAGAAGGAAAGGATGTCACACAGAAGTGGGCCCATGGGGACATCATGTAGTTCAGCAAGTCCCAAGTGCAAGGTGCTGCATCTGGGTGGGGAAAATCCTAAATGTGAGTGTAGACTGGGAAAAGAAGTCACTTGAGAGCAGCCCTGCAGAGGAGTTGGGAGTTCTCATGGATGAAGGGCTGGTCATGAGCTGGCAGTATGCATTCGCAGCCCAGAAGGCCAGTCAGCCTGGGCTGCAGCAAAAGCAGCATGGCCAGCAGGGCAAGGGAAGCTTCAGGAAGACATTTATTCTTCCAGCACCTAAAGGGGCCTATAAAATGGAGAGGAACTTTTTCTGTGTCCAGAGAATGTCAGGACAAGGGGCATTCATTTTGAACTGAAGGAAGGGCAGGCTTAAATATTACGAAGAAATCCTTTACTGTGGGGGCGGTGAAGCACTGTAACAGGTTGTCCAGAGAAGTTGTGGATGCCCCTTTCCTGGAAGTGTTCAAGGCCAGGTTGGATGGGGCTTTGAGCAACCTGTACTAGTGGAAGTTGTGCCTGCCCATGGCATGGGGGGGATTGGAACCAGATGATCTTTGGTCCCTTCCAACACAAACCATTCTGTGAACTATTGCTAAGGCTCCTTGTCAATAAGGTTTGTTTTTCAGTATTTTTCCATAAAGTCAAAACTTTAAATAATCTCAGCACAAGAAACTTCGAAAATTGTTTTTCAAGGTTTGAGTTGTTTAAAATAAAACTGACATTTAATACAAAAATTTAAAACTGTTTTATAAATCCTTTACCACTTACTTGATATTATCTTCTTACTCCTTCAATGTAAAAGTTAATGTATGCTGCTCTGGGTTGCAGTTTTGATCACTAACAATGCTGTAGTCCACATCTAGATTGTTATTTTGATGCAGATAAAAGGATAAAATGAAATTTGAAAAGCTCTGAAAACTTCTATTTGCTACCCTTGACAATGTGCCCCTTGTATTTCTATAATGGGAATAGGCAATAATTGTTTTTTCAATATATTATAGCAGAGATTAGTATAACAAATTGCCTTCACCTTATGTAAATGTAAGTCTGTATTTGTTCCTACTCTAATTTATCTACAACAAAAATATTTATTCTAGGTTAAATATATTTTTTTTTCAGTTCATTATCAGTCCACTAAAAGAAATTTTTGAATGATAAATTATTTATCTAAATTTTTTTACTCAATAATCCAATAATGATGACTTTCCTGGAATTGCAGGAACTTTTCATCTGGGTTTTCTTTGTTTGTATTTGGGTTGTTGTTTTCAAAATAGTGTAACAAAAATGTGGGACAGTGCAAATACACTGCAATCTCTTGTGATAGGTTATTTAGTATTGTTAGACTGAAAGAATAGCAAAAGAATGACACTGGTGTTGTCTTAACTCTTCTCTCAGAGGCTGCATTTTTTCATTTTCCACAGTGTGTAAGTATAAGGCTTTGTCTTGGCTCCAGCCAGGACAGGGTTAATTTTTGCAGTTGGGGGGGGGGGGTCGGGGCGGGCCATGACTGGGAGCTGGGGTTATTCTACACCACCTCATTTTCCTGGGTCAGGGGGAGGAGATCCTTCTGGAAGGAGCATGCCAGGCTCCATGTAGTGAGCAACCATGTGGGAGTCCGCCTCCCTTTTACCCTCTGTCATTAGTATTGTTGCTGTTACTGATCATTTTCTTATCTCATGGCTGTTTCCAGTAAGGTGTTCTTATCTCAACCCATGATCTTTACTTTTTCTGCCTTCAATTCTGCTCTCCACCCCGTCCGAGGGGAGGTGAGGAGGTGAGGCAGTGGGACAGCAGAGCATGGTTTCCAGTGTGTCAGAGGGAGAACTAAATTGGGGAATACCATTCCCGAATCAGGGCTGCACATTCTTGGGGGAATTTGTTAAACTTCTCTGAGGAAAACAGTGTAGCTATTGGAAGTAACAGAAGCTATTTCTGCTGCCTCCTGCAGTATGAACTTGTACAAAGTAACTCTCTGTGCCTGAGCCAACTTTGCCAAATGGGATGGTCACCAGCATCTACCAGCATGGAATGGTTGCAAAGAGCAGCTGTCGGCAGCTTCATGTTTCTGTCCCCAGGTACAGCCGTGTCAGCAAGGTGCTCTCTGCTGTCAGGGGGCAGGGGATGTTTATACAAACCAGGTAAGATTTGCAGGGCAGAAAAAGGGTAATGGCAGGAGTAAGAATGATGGTCAGTACTAGGTCTAGTTGGTGAACTTTCCCAGTTGGTCTCAGGCTTTTTGTGTGAAAGCTTATTTTCTGTCCCTTAAGCACCTTCTCCTGAAAGAGGGATTATTGGGTTATCATACTTTGTAACACTTTCAGTTTTTTTAAAGTATTATCACCATCAGTCTTTAAGCAGTGCAGTTGAAGTGCAAATCCTGAAGGCTGTGTTGGAGGTGTGGCAGGCACTGCACCATCAGCCTGTCCCTGGCCTGTTGCTGCTTCCCACAGGTGGGAAGGCAGCTGGGAATCCTCCAGCCCAGGGAATCCCCCTCCATTCAGACTGCAGGAGGTAGGTCACTACTCAGCAGCTGCTGGAGTTTAGACCAGTGTCTCCCCTCCCCAGCATCACCAGATGCTGTACTGTACCTTGCCGTTCCTCTTCCCAGTTTCAGTGTGATGAAAGTGTGCTGTGCTGACCTGCATGGTTCTGTCCTGGAGCCTGGCAGGGCTGGAGCTGCAGCACTTTTTTCTCACCTGATGCCATTCCTTGTCTTACACTCCATTCCTTGCATGACCTTGCATTGTTACCAGCTGTGTTTGCTTTCTTGTAACCATTTTAAAGTACAGAATCAAACTAACCTCCAAATGCTTTTATTCTAGATAAACCCATACAAACACCAACATGTATTTGTCATTTGCACTTTTTTTAACCATTCATTTTAAACAACAGATTAACTTCTGTACAACAGGAATTACTTTACACATTAGTAAGATTTGACTTCAAACTAGATGACTGCAAAATAATGCTCTGTAAGCTAGTGTTAGAAACACGCTGTTTGCCATAGCAGTTTGCCTGTAAACATGGGAAAGTAAATTGAAGAGAAGTTTGCTTTTCATTTCTGAGGATGCGATTAGAACTGTTGTGTTGCTGTAATACCCATAAGAGTCAGAGGTGGTTATTTTTCTCTGTGTAACAGTAATGGCAAATTGCTGATACGGAAGGTGTGCCAATGTTTTGTGTGCTGACCCAAACCTACCAAAAGAGCCACAATCACTTAATTATACTTCACATCACTTTGTGAGATCCACTTGATGGGTTACAAAGTCCCAGTATGACTTAAAAATGGTTTACTAACAGAGTGACACTGTTTAGGAGGCTTGAATAAAAGGCAATAATCCTATTCCAGGCTGTAGGTAAAGCTACAGGGCCTGCTTCAACACATACTTAATCTCTAGAAATCATTAAAGCTAGTGTAGCAAACAAGCAGTAGTACAAATACAGAATAGGACTGATTTTCATTTCCTCATCAATATAAACACATATAGTGAAGTTCACAGGATCAGACCCACGCAAACAGATTATATTTTACAGCTTTTCAAGCAGAAATGTTGGAGTTGTTTTTTCTGCCTGTACAGAAGGTTACTGTTGAACAAAACTATCACAGTTCATTTGAATGCACTGCCAGCAAACACCTGAAGTAGAAGAGAACTAACTGGAAAGTGTAATCCGCTCCTGCCTCTCCTTCAATATCAATTACTGTGCTTTTTCCATTTATTTGATGCTGCCTTAAAAGGTAAGATTAAGAACAGTAAAAATCAAGCCCTTACGTGCAGGTATTCCAAGCTTAAGTGCTAGTCAAGCCACAGTCCACTCCTTTAGGACAGAGGGCAAGATAGGGTAGAGGTGGGTGGGTTTTTTTCCAATTAAAATTGAACTTATCAAAATACATTGTGCCAGGCAGAGAACTGCTGAAAGTACTGCAACATTGTAGTGCAGTGTCCTGAACAAAGCCATACATTCCATCAAGTATAAAGTGTAAACTCAATAGCAAGTGTAAGACTTGAATTAAAAAAAAAAAACAAAGCCATCACAGTATGGGTTGGTTGGTGGCTGCCCTCCTCTGATACGCAGGAGGAACAACTTGTGCAATCACATGGTAGGGAGGAGGCAGACCAGCAGGACCGTGTTTTTGGGTTTGCTTTTCTCCACATTAACAGCCCGCACTGCTTCTGCCACAGGTGGTTGGCGTGTGCTGGCACTGGCTGGCCATGGGATTGTGACCAGAGCAGGCAGCATTAGCACCGATGCCTGAGCCCTGGGACTCCTCCAACGCAGCACGGTGTGACCTTCCGCTGCCTGGGAGCCCTGCGCAGCTGCCTCCGGCTGCTCACAGCCCCAGCCCTGGCTTTCTGTACCAAACCTGGGCCATCTGTGCCATTCGCAGCCTATGGCACCTTTCCCACTGCCAAGGCAGGTGACAGCTCTTCCCTCTCCTGTGGGCCACTGTGCCAGACCACTCACCTCCAATGGTATGGAAATGTATCTCCTTGTCATGAGTGCCTTACCTCAAATCTAAGGGCACGTGACAGCCTCAGAATGTGCCTCCTGTGACTGAATCAGAGTCCATGGTGACAAACCATTTCAGCTCTGTCGTAGAGGGTAGGGTTGTGCTGGTGCTGTAGCAGAGTTGGAGCCACAGCTGCTCCTCTGTGGCTTTGCTCAGTAGCCACTGCACCAGCCTCATCCCAGCAGCACAGCCATGCCCTTGCTTTCCAGCTGGGCCCACTTTAGCCACCAGTGCAAATGTAATGGGCCCCTTCCTTCCAAAATGGCCAAGCCTCAAAATACCCCAGCCAGACTAAGGCAGACAGTTACCCACCCCAACCCCAGCACGTTTATATCAGTGTCTCAAACACCAGTCTTTCTGTTCTTAAATCTTATTAAACCAACCTTTGACCTGACCCCCATATGCTGGCTTTAGGTCTGTGAGGCCCTTGTACACAGATGGCAAGGCTGGCCAGGACTGTCAGCGCTGATGCATGGGCTGATCATGCACCTGAGTACAGGTTTGTGCACCAAAGTGCAGCCATCGTCAGCTGCTTCATCAAATCACAACAGTGTCCTGATGCAGTGCATTTTCAGCTGTGAAGCTGCTCCCAAGTGTTTCACAGCTTATTTAAGGATGGAAAGGTCAAAAATGTAAACACAGACTGATGGTGGCTGAATGCCCTTCTCCAAAAGCCTCCCCTTATCTCTTCCCCTCAGTGGTTCGCTTCACTTCGGACATGGAATTTCTAACCTAACAAAGGGAAGTCCTGCCATGTGGCATTTGGCTCTCCAACCTCAGACCCACTGTGTATACTAAACACATTTATCCTAAGTGCCACTTTGGTGCCAGGTTGTTGTTGGGTTGTTTTTATCTCGTGGTGGTTTTTTTTTTGTTTTGTTTTGTTTTTTTTTTTAGGTTTTTTTTTTTTTCTGAACAGGAACCAGCGAACATTTGACTGGAAGGAAGGAAACTGCAGCTGACCCGTATTCTGAAGCCGGAGCTCACTCTCACAGTTTGCCAAGCTGCTGAAAGGATGTGGCGAAACATCAGCCTTTTCTCTTACAAAAAAGAGGTAAGCAACGTGCAAGTTCATGTGGGCAACTCTGAACTTACAGTGTATTTTGCACATCTCCTATGACCTTATTTTAAAGTAAGCAAAAAGCTTACTAGACGGTATTTTTGACCAAAAGGCTATGTGTGTTCAAGTACCTAAAATTGCTGACCCTGCCAACATTAGGTCACTTTCACATGCCCCAGTGTGAATATGTAACCCTGCCCATATTTCATTCCCAATCGTAGATTACTTGGAATGGTCAGAGTGGAGAAGAGTGTCCAAACATTTCAAACCCTGTACATATAGTCAGTCAAAACAGTTTTGGGAGCAGTAGCGCTAATATAAAATCCCCCACAGTGATGCTGTGAGTCAGTGCTCCGCTCAATGCCATTTGCATTTTTTCTTTTCATCAAATAAGGCTTTTACTTGCTGGAGCTGTTTCTGGACTTCTTCAAACCCCCGTTCTCGCTCAAGTTTGCTGACAATCTGTTAACAATTAGCAAAAGAGAGAATAATTTTTTTAATGCTTATTTTACTTACTATTTTTTAAAGCCTGCTTTTCTTTACTCTAACAACTACTGACAGAAAAATCCACTCAGTGCCTGCCTATCTGTAAACATTCTTTTCCGACTTTAACACTTTATTTTGGTAGTTTTCCTTTCAAGTCATTCTGATCACAGGATTTGCAACACTTCCACAAAAGAATGACTGAGCCAAGCAAAAAAACTCAAAACAAATTCAACACATGCTCATCTCCCAGAGCGTGAGGCAAGGCCAGTGCTCCAGTTTTTACCCTAGAGAAGATTTGCAAGTGATATTTTATTTCTCTTCCTCTGCCCTATAAGCTGAAGGCAATAAACTGTCTCTTTTCCTCTAACTCACCCACTTGGCTCCAGCCCAGGTGATAGAATGGAGCTGTCTGAAATCTCTGCTGGCAACGCTATGCAGGAACAGGTCTCAGTAAACAATGAAAGAGGTTTAGCTACTCCCAGTCAAAAGCCAGAGTGGGAAGAGCAGAGGGAAGATTTCCTTCTAAGGATGGCCTAAGTTTAGCCAGTACTAGCTTCAAAAAAGCAAAAATGGGGACTTAAGACTAGACAGTACACTGAATTCTCCTGTATCAATCATTTAAATGAGATTAATTAAGGGTGATACCATTTTGAGTATCATCCCAAGCTTGTGTCAATAGGTGAATATTTGATGCTGAAGCCAGATAATTTGAGATGTTAGAGATCAGAAGTGGTAAGCCAGCTAACAGGTGACTGAGAGCTGGATGACTACAGCAAACGCTGGTGCTGTGCTGCTGAGGATGAAAGAGAGAAAGGCCTGGTTGCTGGGAAACCCAGACAACCTGCTGGAAGCATAAGGAGGCCTTCAGGCAACACACCCCAGCTGGCTCTTATCTGAGTCCCTGCACAGGCACACGCGGCCTCTGTTAAGGATGCTGAGCAAAATGGAGTGGAGAATCCTATCATGCAAAGTGGAGGACGGGAATTTTCTTAGAAAGCAGTTTAGAGGTAGCCTGTGACTAAGTACTTTCAGCTGAGAAAAGATTTCTTTTGTTTGTAATAGCAGGGACTGGAAACTATAGCTGCTTCTTTTTAAGAGAAAGACTATTAGAGCAGAGCATTAAGAGGGCTATGATGGGAAAGAAGCAGACACCTCTTGCTGTAAGGCTGTGTGCTCCACGGAGGTGTTTGCACTGACTGTTAAACTGAGAACCCTGGTGCTACAGTCTAATCTGATTTCTGAACCTCCAGGGAAATGGAGCGTGTGCACAGGAGTTGTGACAGGCATTTGCAGAGACTCTGCAAACACAGTAAAACAAGAAGTCTCGACTATATAGGAACTTCCTCAAAACTGCAGGGATAATGTTATTGCTATTGTCTCTGTGCAATACAGCATTGACAGTACAGGTGCACTAACAAACCTTTGGCCTGTGCCCTCTTGGATGGGTGGGGGCTCCAGCCCCTCACAGCTCAGCAGAAGCAACAGCCTTGGCTGCATTAAGGAGGGGCTGCCTCTGGAATGGTACCCAGCAGGTCACACAGCCCTTGGTTACTGTGTCAAGTCCCACATTAAAGATTAAGCAGAAATTACAGATGTGCTTACCTCATCATAGTATTTCACTATGTATTTGTAGATTTCAAACAAGGCCACTTTCTCATTAAATTCATTTTCATGTTTCTAAAACAGACACAGTTCTGGTCAGATATTTCTCCTTTAAAAAAACAAAACTTAACATGAAAGCAAATGAAGTTGTTGCCTCTCAACCATACCTTAGATTCCTGAGCTAGAAATTCTTCAACCTCTGCAGTGGTCAATGGAGGCAGATCCCGGATGGCTTTGTAATATGCTTTCACCTCCTTCTTGTAGAGTGGAATGTCTTTAGCATAGAGAAGTTTATTTGTTGGTGCTTCCTTAAAAGAAAAAATTTGAAGCCTCGTAACTTTTCGCAGCACAGATTTCCTAAGGTTCCACCTCCACATGGTTAATTGCATCTAATTGTGTCTGTGTGACTCATTTTTCTTTGCTGTGGTTATATGCAAGGAACCAAGGCTATGAAACAAAGATGCAAACCAGAGGCAGGACCTCACTAAGTGTCTTGTGTTTCATGACAGTTGCTGTGTAATTATTTCTATTGACATCATCAGTTCCTCCTTACAGATCCCTAGACCTGAAAGATTGTGAAAGCTGAACCAAAGGGCCTGAGGCTGATACCCTATTTACATACAGGATTCAGCAGTACTGCTGAAAGGGAAGTTCCCCAGCAGTGACACACCAGAATGTCTTGATAGCTGCTGTCCTGGCAGATGTTCCCCTAAATCTCTTTGGTCCCTTCTACTCTTTTCCCTCTAGGGTTTGAGAGCATGGAGAGCTGACTGCCAGACATGCACAGCCAAACAGATTTTTTTTTTTCATGCCAGGACTTCAACAATCCAGGTCAGCACTGACCTACCTGGGAGTTTTAGGCTCATTTGAGGAAATAAGTGATGCTTGTGATAGGAGCCAAAGCCTCACCTGGAAAACTGATTTTCAGAATGTAAAAGTGGGGGTTGGTAGTTTCTTGTTTAAGTTCTGGGCAATAAATGACACAACCATGTGATATCTTGTCACCACTGTTTCCAGTGTGTCGAATGAAGTAACTTAAATGTTTGTTTTATAAATGGCTAAAAGATGCTTCAAGATAAAAACCTAAAAATCATAAAAGTAAATATGATTTAGTACTAAAAGGTCACATGATGTTTACTGCATTGCAAACCTTTAGCAGGTTTCAGCACCCCTTTTCAAATACCTTACAGGAGCTATTGTTTCAACAATACTGCACAGTGTGTTTTAAGTACAGAAACCTAACAACAGCTCATTTGCAGTTTTTCCATCAATGAAGTGATGTGATTAGCTTTAATTTATGGTACTTCACTCCTAAAGTAAGATAAATAAGCACAAATTTTCTATTTACCTTTAACAGATGAGCAGTTGGATTAGATCACATAGGATATTAGTCCATTTTTATATAAATTCTTTTAGGCTAAAAAGTCTCTAGCCTGTTTTTTTTTGGTAGTATGAGCCTGAACAAAAGCTTTCTGCTTTGGTCCAAACAAAAGGAAAATACCCTGGGAAAAAATGAAGTATTTCTGATCCCCAGAGTTCTGGACACTATACTAAAGAATTTTTGAATGTAAGATTCCTGAATTTGTTGTTCCAGCAAGTAATTTTGCAAACAAAAAGGGAGCAGCTAATATATGTGAAAGGAAATGTTTCAAACTTCAGAGGTCTTTCAGTATTCTTACAGTTTCCACTAGCTTATTGTGTGAGTTTTCTGCACACTGCTGTGTGGCAGACAAAATTTGGACTACTTATCAAATAATTTTAATACTTTTAAGGCCTTTGTTTAAAACTACATTAAAACCTTAAAATTTCCACCTTCTGCCACCTATTGTGTAAACACACTGTGCAGAACTGAACTGCAGAGAAAACAAGCAGCAGTTAGCTATAAATAAAGCATTCTCATAGCTTTATCTGTCTACTGGTGAATTCTTCAAAATCTCAGGAGACAGAGCAACGAGGAATAAAAACCCAGCTTAATTAGGCCCCTGACAATTCTGCCCCCAATATCAGCAGATCCAGGATTTCATCATCTTAATCATTATACAGTTGAAAAAGAGATCGGTTGAGAAAGTAGAAGAAGACTGGAGGGGCAGCGTTACCTTCCCCAGTGTCTGTTCTGCAAGAGAAAAGGCATCCATGAAAGCTTGTGCGATTACAGACAAACAGCCATCTATGTGAGAAGTCTTCTTAATATCAAAGACAAACTGGGGATTCTTCAGTATGTTCACCCAGAAGCGAAGAGGAAGACTAGACAGGAGGAAGAACAAACATCTTTAAAATCAACCACTCAAGTAGCACAACTGCTTTAAAATGGTCCTTGATTGCAGCTGCACTCATGGAACAAAGCACAAACCTGGCTGCTTCTTCACGCTAACAAAAGGGGTCAGAGAACAAAGGCTACAGAGCAAACACATCTGTCAGGCACCCAGCTTCAAATAATGCTCTCAATCTGCAGCTACTTCTTTCAGAGTGTGAAGTCGATGTACAGACTGCACAGACCTGGAAGCTCTGGTGGTTTGTGTTGTATTAAATCAATACACTAAAATTACTGTTAACCACAAAGCCAGACCACATCTTATTCCCAGTCATGCCCAAATCTTACTCTTCTGATCACACGTGACACATTCCATTTTTGCAAGTACATTTTCAGAAAGCACACACACCCCTGCATAGATGCCATGGGTATACCTGTTAGTTTTCCATATGTGGACCACATCAGGATCAGTAATTTTTTTGCTCTCAGCCTGGGCATCCAAAAAGTCAAAAAAGTACTTGATGGCAACTGGTGCTTTATTGTTGGGTAAACTCCAAATGCTCCTGAAGAGCTTTTCAACAACTGAATGAATTGCAACCTGAAAAGTAACAAGTTAATATTTTGTTACTATTACACGAGAAAAGAACAGGATATTTTACCTCAAAAAGCTGTGTGCCCAGACACATAGAAATTACAATGTGCTTGTGGCAAACATCAAAGCCATAGGTTATTGGCAAACAAGACAGTAACAAAAATGAAATTAAAATACACCACAATGAGCTCCTTCCATGTCTCACATGTCCTGTTGCTCTGCTTACAGGAGAATCATGGTGAACTCTGTAATAAATCACAGGTGGGAAGAACCACTTGGGCTAATAAAGACAACATCAACTCTTGGGATCCTGTTGCCACTGTTGCTAAAAGTATTTGGAATTTGTGACTGGAATTAAGAGGGAGGTGAGAAAAAGCTGTTTAGCCAGTTTCCTAGGGCACTGGTCTTCTAGGTGCCATCTGTGACACACGCTCAACACATGTGCTTATCAACACTTCACAGCCAAGTGGCTCTGGCACTTCATCTAATTCTAGGATAACAGCTTTGGGTGCTACAAGACACTAATATTAGAGAGAAGAACTGAAAACTGGGTATTTCTGATACAAAAGTGAAGATATTTGGCTCACTAAAGGAAGGGTTTGGTTGCTGCTGCACTCACTGACATAATCAGAGAGTATTCATAACTAAAGGCAAACAACACACTGTTTTGTGCTTTTTTTCTTCACATCTGTTCTGAAGCTCCTTCAGCCCAATCTTCTCTTGACAAGGATTTAAGCATATCCCAGGGCCTTGATGAACAGGGCCAGTTCATTTCATGCGGTAAACTCTGCAGTTGGGTCTGTGTGCATGTATGGGAGAAAGGGGAGCCGAGACAGAGATGGTGAGATGTAATTTCCTTTAGTGCACAGCCTCTAATGAGAGGAATTTCACAGCAAAGGATATCACAGCTCTCTTGTTCAGGGAAGTGTCCTGCTTCGGAGAAGGAGATGATTAATTTAAAGCCCTTTAAAATAATTGTTTCTAAAAAGCCTGATCTTTTCTTCTATGCCTTAGTCTTCCACCATAAGACATTTACGGTTTACTCCAGCATTTCCTGAGGGCTCATGATAGTTTTCACAGGTAATGAGAAATGACCAGTCTTCAATCTCATTTTGGGGACTGTCCCAAATTACTTCAGATGCTACTGACAACCTAATTAAATAATGATTTTTAGATTTTTAAATGCAAGAAGGTTATCATCATCATCCCTTCAGGCCTCTTGCACAATTCTCAGTGTTGTGCACCCATTAATATTTTATGCAATATGCTGTTGGTAAAAGTTTTCTAGCCATTTTGAGTAAGTCAGAAACGAGATGACAGTACCAGAGGGAGTGGGCAGGACTTATTCCTAAGCAATGCACATTGTAAAAATTAGGTAGTTATATTATAAATCCTAAGGACCTTTCTTTAAAAATTAATCTAAAATTAAAAAATAATTAAAAATTAATATTAATATTATAATAATTAAAAATATTTTGAATGCCTAATCTAAAACCTTAACAGATTATATCATTTTGTGGGCATTATCTTGTGAAACTCGGGCTTCATAAATTGTCTCTAAGCTGGAGTGAGAAGATTGTTAACTGAAAGCTGTCATTCCAGAGGGGTTTTATTCTCACTCTATGGAACTCTGGTAAAACTCACTTTCCATAAGCTAAGTAACAACATTTTTTTTTAAACCTGAGAAAAAGGTTGTGCTTACTGAGGAGATACCATGTGAAATCAGACAATTTTAGAACTCTAGTATTAGAAAACCTGAAATGTGCCTGTCTTTGCAAGTGGTCATACCCCATAGTTAGCACAGTGATTTTTATATGCTATCTTTTAATTTAACATTTGATTTACACACAGGAAGTCTTGTACAATTTCTGGTTTAATTTGTGTTTCTGTTATGCCGAACTAGCCAAGCCAACATCAGCCCTCCCGCAAAATACAGCCTTTACAGTTTACCTTAGTTGACAAAAGTTTTGTGAGATACATTTCTTTCACTTTGAATTTTTGCTTTCCTTTGTGACCTGCTCCCTTCACATCTTTATTTGCTTCTGAGTCTGGTAAAATCTGTCATGAAGAGATTAGAGAGATTACACAGATCCAAATACAGCTCAGTATTAAATCTACCATTAGCAGTGTAATGATTCAACTCACCAAATGACAGTGTTCATCTGAGTAGTCCACATCTAAACAACAAAAGCAGAGAGCAAACAGCCATTAATAAAACACACAGCTACAAGCTTGTGAGTTCTGCTGAGCTCTGGGCTGTGCAGCAGGGTGCATCCAGGATGCCAAGCAAACAGTCAGTGTCATCCTTTCCTGCCTGCAGTGTGGGGGAAGCCTCTGAGAAATGCACAGACCCTGTGCACCTCTCTAGTGCCAACCTGTAGTTTGGACCACTACGCTACGGCATCCTATCTGCTGCTGGGGTAAGCTGGCAGCAATCACAGCTCCTCTGAAAGGAGGACAAGATGAGATGATTGCAGTGGTTTAAGTCTCTGAGAGTGCTGAGTGCAGGTGGGCTGAGGTCAGGCTTGAACACAACGGCTGGGAACAGACAATCTCAGTTTTGCTGAGGGAGAGGCCACCCCAGTGAGATACACATTTCTCCTACTTTGATAATAAGGAAACACATGTTAGGAGTGTGTTTCTTCACAGGGGCTACAGAAAGCTCTCTCCTCATGCACCATCTGGGTGGGAGCAACCTGCATCACAGGGCTAGGTGAGATGAACTGGCCTCCTGTAAGCACCCTTTATCTCCTGACATGTTGTCGAGACAGCCAAGTCAAAACTTTCAGAAACAGTCAAGAGAATAAGGACAATTACCAAACAGTGGGGGTTTTATCATTCATGTTTCTGGACAGTGCAGCACTATGTCTGTGATGCACAGTTCTGGCCACCAGGGAGAAAAAGACATACTCCCTCTCTTTGTGTCACCTGGGCTTCCCTGTCCTGCTTTCCTGCCTATGAGCCTGTATCTCTAAGCATTCATTTGCTGGTGACTGTAAGCCCTTCTGTCCTTCTTTCCTTTGCCTTCTTTCCTCCTTTTAGGCCCACTGTGCCTGCCAGAGGCCCAGAGCCAGGGCTCTTAATTTGGCTCAACAGTATCAAAGCACCAATTTCTCTGACCTCCTATTGACCAAGATCTCACAGCTCAGTTCTCTGCATTCCCAACCATTCTGCACTGAAGTTTAAATAGGTCGCAGTCCCTTTGTTACCTGATCGGGTATTTGCCTTCTTTTTGAAGACTTTTATGGTTGCTCCATTTGAAATCTGAAAGAAAAAACAAACAAATCATGCTGAAACAAAAGTGCTTAGAACTCACAAAAGCTTCAGTTTCATTTCCTCTGTCCCTCATCCTATGGCAGTGCAGGACAGCTCTCTACTCTCACCACAGTGTGCACGGCCTTCAGCAGGCAGCCAGTGCTGGGCTTTCAAGCACAGGCAGTAGCTGAACTTTCTCAGCATTACCCAGCCAGATGAGAAGGCACCTCTTCCAGTGCACCAACCTTGAAGATCTTTTCCTTCCTTCAATTTTTCTGGTTCAGCCCATATGTGGACATTTTCATTTTCATGTACTGCTCTGTGCTGTTTCTTGCATCCATTTTTTTACAGAATGCTCAGACTAAATTCTCTGCATCCACTGCCATAGGATCCCATGGGAAAGTGAGGCAGAGAGGTGCACACAAAGGTGAATTCTCTTCTGGCCCCCTTTCTTTCAGCTCAGTCTGTTCTACCCATGTCCTGTGGAGGGGGCACTTTGAGGGTTTAGCCTGGTGCTCCCAAGAACTATTTTCAAACTGAGCAAAATATTTATACACCGTAAGATCAAGATCTGTAGCTTACCATCTTGGGATTTCTAGGAAAAAGGTATCTCCTCTTTCCCTGAATTTATAGTGTTGCCAGGATGTTACACATTATCTTTAAAACAAACTGGCAAGCCATGCTTTTATTGTCAAAGAGTAACTAAAAAATGGCTCCCACTGAGAACTACACCACTGCTCTGCAATCAAATGTTGAGTCTTGCCAAGTTCTAGTGTACTTGCCTCTATAATTACAAAAACAACCGGCCAGTTCTAGGAAGGGATCTCTGCCAAAATAATTTAAGTGTTTTTTAAACCTTGGCAGCCAGCCTGGTGTGAGAAACCAGTTTAAACATTAAGATACTCTATCAAAAGCTGTGTCTTGTGCCAAAAAAATCTGCACTTACATTTGCTCCTGGAAAGTAAATGCAATCTATTTTATGATTTTTTTGCAGAGCTTCCATCTATCATACAGACTTTCAGAACTATTTTAGACAGCACAGAACACTTGAAAAACACACTACAAATAGGAATATGCTCTAAGGCTAGCTTGTGAGGGGATACAAACACCCAGACAGTCCTCCTACTTGGCCCTGAAGACAGATAAACAAGAACAGTGCTACCCAGCAACTTACCCCCCTCCCGGAGCAATGTGGGCCACATGCTGCCTCCATTCCCTCCCCAAGAAGTAGGAGGGCAGCTCAGTGCTGAAATGTGTTGAGTTCTGTCCTGAGGGAGATGGGCAGAGCTCAGAGGGAGAACTGTGCTTCCCTCCAGGAATCGGAGGCATTGCTGCAGAGCAGCCACGACCAAAGCCTGCACACTAGGTTTTATTTTTGGGACAAATTATGCTTTTAGCAGTGAGTAGACTATGCTTTTTCCCTTCTTTGTCATTACTGCAGCAGGCATACTTGCTGTTTTTTTCAGTGTGATCCAATAAAAAAAAACAAACAAAAAACCCTTATTTTTGCATCTTGCTGTCTACATCACTTGGTCCTATGGACACCTCAAAAAATCTTTGCTTTGTCAGGTGTGTTATTGAGGGGGACACACAGGGAGAGGAGAGATCTCTTCCAATCCAGACAACATGGAACACAGCTACTTTTCAAAACAGAAGACACGGTAGTGTGGCTCTATGCCTCTTGTTCCCCAGGCCTCCTGTCCTCATTGTAATCCAGTCCTTGCCAGTGAGCTTCCAGGATCACACTCAGTTTCACTCCATGGGGCCCTGCCTGCTCCGGGAACGTGTGATACTTGTATCAGTTGGGAAACTGGAGATCTGTGACTGGACAGCAGATCTGAGAGTGACTTCCCAGCTCTCTTTTGTGGGGAATAAGATGTCAAGATAATGAGTAACTTTCTTGTCACGGCTTGTGGTTATTCTCATGGATGTGATAGTACAGACCACATAAATAAACCTATCAATAAACCTCCTAGGAACCAAAAAATTAGAGCAAAAGTAGCACACAGGCCAGAGGCATAGGAGAGTCTAACAGTACAGTGGATTTTTTCTCTTCACAAACATTACACAGAAGTGCATTCTTGTAGAAACTAAAACTACATTTTCAAGATCGATTGGTGACTCTGGGACCTTCAGAACACAATCCTCGTGCTTCAATGTCTTAAAAAGATTTGATGGCACTTCCCAATTTTGAACATCTGGTTGCTTTCCAGCATTTAAGGCTGGCAAACAGAAAGAAAAATTCAGGCTCATTCCAAAACTCGAGGCATTGTTGAAATATAAGTAGGAATTTCTCAGGCAATGTTACTGCCCTCACAGAATGTATGTAACGTTCCTTTTTCTTGCTATCTAGACACTTTTGATTCCTTTTTGCATCAATATGCATACAAGAAAACAAAGGAGATATGCTAATGGCTAATACTTGCCACTAAGCCACTGCCTAAAACACCACTGAGTTTTTGCCTAAAATGTACATTATTTTGTCAGTGCCAGAAAATGTGAACTAAAATACTGAAGAGACATGCAGTGCAATTTCCATAAGGCAGCTGCTAAGCTATAATTAGTGTAGTTATAGCTTTGCAAAAACAACTGAGCCTCCTACCTAACTTGCATCTGCAAGAAACCCTTGCCTGCAGAAACCTCAGACAAAACAAGGGCTGGGACAAAGATACCCAGGGATGACAGAGACCACTGGAGCAGACTTATTTGCCACGAGGTCTGACATCCATGAGCCACAGCATGCCATAAGCTCCAGACATGCAAAAGGCGGCTGGGAAAAGCAGAGAGCACCTGCAATAGCTGCCTGTGGTAAAGCGGGCAGGTACACATTAGACAGAAGTTCAAACACCTAATCTAATTCAAATCTAAGCTGACCTTTGCTGCACAGGTTCAAACTGCAACACTACAATGTCCTAATTTGTACAAAATCTCTACAAGTGCAGTGGAGGAGGTCACATGTTCATCTATAGATTCAAGACAGGCACAGGAAAAGCCACTGGATGATGACTCGGGACATCTGCGACCCCTGTGAGGTAAAGAGAGCAACAAATGCCTACAGAAATCTGTAAAGTGACTCCAGATGAGCTTGCTTTGCATCTAAGCAGCCTTGTTCTCTGCCCAGGATACAAAGTCCTGCTAGGGATCCTTGTTTCTCTATGGATGGCACAGTATTTGCTCATGCATACAGCAACATGTTCCATGTTGGCTCAAGTTCCTCAGCACCATACTGCACTGCACAGCACAGACCTACAGCAGCAAAACTTTTAAATAAATAAAAATTTATGAACATGTTAAGAGCCAGACTTTCAAATACAACGAGGCATGAGGAAAGATCTGTAAAAGCACTCAGCACGATAACATCAATTTCCAGAATCTATCTGTAAGCATCACGTGTGAACTTTCATATCACCTGAGGCAAATCACCTGCTGCACATTTCCCTCCAACATTTCACTTTCTATTTTGACTGGTGTCACTGAAAACTCCTTAGAGGAGTAATGCTGCTTGCTATGCTTTCCCAGTGTGCTACACCCAGGAGGGTTCTGCCACCAATTGCAGTTTTGTGTGTTGTTGCAATGATGGACAGATTATTGCAGCATTGCAAACAACTGCTTTATAGGTGCAACTGGAAGCAGAGGGGAAGACTTATGGTACAAGTGCCAACAGCAGATGGAAGCAGAAACAGAGAGAGAAAAAGGCAAGGAGATTGACACAGGAGGTATCAAGAAAAGAGGGAGAAAAGCCATCAATCCTTTTTATTCTGACTTGCAATGAGATTTCAGTAGAAATTTCAGAGAAGTATCAATACTGCCTGTTCAGATAATCAAAATATGAGGTGGGATGAGGTAAACAGTTGCTCATGGTGCAACAAAAACTCAACAGTAGAGACTCAAAAAGACCCAAGGCAACGTTCATAGCTGGAAATCAGATTCTGTTTTAAATTACATGCTTGACAGAAGTAACAGTTTACCTGATATGTTTGAACCAAGCAACCCTGCAACAAGGAAACCTCTGAAAAGTAACAGAAATCATGACTCATTGGCAAGAAAGTTGTTTGCCACACAATTCTTTCCTTCTGTTGATGCTCAGCTATGACTTCAAGCTGTGCAGATCACATTTGAGAGAGCTGTGGAGAAACATCATCTCAACTCATTGGTGTGGCTTCAGTGCTTACCTCATAGTGACCGATGGTATTTAGTTTCCTTATCCCATCCTCCATCACCTCTGAGGAACCATCAATATCTAACAACTCTCTTTGCTGCTCCTCAGACACAAGTTCTGCAGTATGACAGCAACAGAAAACAATTACACCCCAATGGCATTCTCACTGTACAGATATTTGTAAAGAAAAACAACACCTAACTATTTTGGACCAGTGACTCCCAAATGAGCTGCTTCTCTGTATCCTTGTGTTAGGTCATGTGAAAGTGCACTCCCACACTTCTGATTCCTTTTCTGGGGTGACAGCCTGGGTGGCTTCCCTTTCAGCAGGTTTTGGTGCTTTAAGGCAGCTTTCAGAAGTGCTTTCACCTAATCACTATTCTGTCGCACAAGCCTGACTAGAAGACTAGAAGAAAGGCTCCACATCTAAGAGATCACTAAAATGAGCTGTACAAGATTGACATAGTATTTGTGAAGGGTGGTCAGGCACTTGTAAAGTATATAGACATCAAGACATCAGATATGAAAGTAAATTATGAGCAATTTCCAACACAGAGTCTGAGAAGGTGAGGAAGTATAGGCATCTTGGGGAGCAAGTCCAGGAGGTGACAAATGCCTACAATATAGAGTTTGTTAGGTTTCCCACTAGGATACGTAGGAAGTGGTATGGTGGTGATAGCTACAGACCTTGGGCTCTTGAAAACCCAACAAGGAAAGGTGGTTTGATTCATCTACTGGAACAGCCTTATTTACATCTGTAGATACTGTAGGTGACTTTGTGAGTCACAGGCGAACTATTATATAAATCTAATCTGACTATAAATAAGATTTATTTGAAGGCTCTTCTGATCAAGGGTAATGTAGGCCTGTAGGAAGGAAGGAAGGGAGGTAGGAGGAATAGTAGATCGGGACTAAAATACTCGATAATCATGATGTCATCTTTTCCACTGATAAAATGCGACAATCAGCTGTGCTTAGGTGGACAGGCCAGCCCCAGAAAAGGAAGTGAAGCAGTGTTCTAACTGGTAACATAAATGATCTAGTTTTTGCCTCAAAATTCCTCATGAAAGCTACGTTCTGTATGAACTCTGAAAAGAAACAAAGCCAAAGGTAGGCATTCCTAATAAGAAAACTCCACAACAGACCAGTAAACTACATGAAAATACAACATAGTGACATTCTCTTACCAAGACCAATTTCATCCAGCTGAAGACCATAGAGAAAGCCATTCTTATTAAAGAAAGCCTGAAGACTCTTCTCCTTGGCTTGGCCTATGGTGTCGCAGTCCAGAACATTAACTTGAATAGTTTGACAGGCATCTCCACTCTCGTTTTCTGGGATTTTTTCAAAGATAATGTTCACTGTCTGGGGAAAGAAATGTTATTCTGATTTACAGGGAACACCTGGCAAAGGAAATCTACAAACTCCTGACAGATTTTCAGCGCCTGAGAGATTTTCAGCATATTTATTAATAAAGCTGTTTCAAATAAAGATTGTTTGAAGGAATTACACAAAGAAGCATTTAGAATTATTCCTGTTCAAAAAAATGAAAAAAGAAAGATATATAGCAATATATTTCCAAGAGTGTATTTTGTCTTCTGTTTTTGTGCAAATGTATTTCAGTGAATTACAAAAAAAAAAACAAGAGAAGAGGAAGAATTACAATGCATGTTCTAAAAAAAGCAGTTCTTTTATGTAAAATGAAAGCCTTAACAGCAAAACTGTAAGTGACAAGAGATCTGATAAGGTTGCTGAGTAAGTAGTCATGGTAAGCATGATTGATTCTGAGTGGATAGAAAGCAGTGTTAAAATGCATATTTACACCAGCAGATTATGCTGAGTGCCTTATATCACACAGAAATACACCTTCCCTGGAGGTGTCAGCATCTGTCTACGTACAGCCCTGTCTCTGGAGGCAGCACAGACAGGGCTGCCACAGAAGCAGTGAAAAGAGAGCATGTTGCAGCAGATAGACTCCAAAGTGGTACAGAGCTGCACAGAAAAGTGCATAGTGTTCTGTTAGTTGTTATTTCAGGTCAAATACCTATGTCTGGTTACAGTACCTCTATCCTTTAGCTCACAGCTACTCTTGGCTGGGACACAACTCCTCTGCTAGGCTGCACAGGAGCTGAGTAGGGGCTGGAAGGAGGTGCCAGTGACACTGAGTGACCATCTCCAGGGAATGTTTTTTTTTGTCAGGTCGTATTTCTGATCAGGTCAAGCAGATTAACTGCTAGAAGGCAGGGAATCAGGGACGAGCACAGAATTGCTACTGCCAAGCAATAACATCGAAAATTTCCAGTGCCACAGCCTGCTCTGTGCAGTGAAATCACTGTCCAGCTACATGGATACAGATGTTCTGCTGGAGATGTCTTGGGACAGAATTAAAACCAGTGTTTTAGGTGCCAGCACTTAACTGCAAGTGGCATAGGAAAATAAATGTACCCAAACCATTCTGGCTGCTGAATGGTTCTGGTATAACATTTATCTTCTGACTAAAATGAGAGGTCTGCAGGTGTGACTCTGTGAAGGACTGAGCATTAAAACAGGAAGCAAGTAAACCATTTTTCTTCTCTGCTGTCATGTGAAGGAAAGAACTTCTGTCCATGTTGTTGCAGGGACAACTTTTCTATCTTCTTAGAAAAATAGGTAGTTATTAATAGTTCTAGAATAGTATTTTCTGCTTATTGCACAGCAAGAGCTGTGTAATGTGTAATTACAACAGGTTGCTGGTAAAAAAAAATTAGTCCAACGCAACAAAAATTGACTTTACTGTCTCTACAGAAGCAAAGGGAGTATTAAAAACAGGGTTGCATAACTATGAACATCATGATTTAAGAAAGACTAGGATGTAACTGAAGTAATAGGGAACAACTTGATCAGGACACTGAGACGTTTAATTGTGAGGAAAATGAGTCCATGGAAAGGACAGATGGAACAAGAGACAAGAATATGTGGGAATTGCAGACGGAGAAGCAGACTGGACACCATGCCTCAGGTTGGGATTTCATGCAGAAAATTAGTAAAAAATATATTGGCACAGCAATGAGGGAGTCATGCTTGGTTAGGCCCACAGACCTACTGAACAGACAGCAGTCCTTGACTCTGACTGCCCTGAGGTCATGGTCTTGTAGGATTAAAATGCGGACAGGGACTAACTGTATTTTGTCCTTGGAAAACTCATTTTAATCAGTCTTTGCCCCTTCTAGTCTCTGAACTGATCTTTCTGAACTAGCTTCTCACACTTAAACTGACATTGATTTGGCTCTATGCCCTTGGAAGCATTCATACCTTCAAATGATCCTTTCCTTCTACATGGTTCTTACACTGCAATATTCATGTTCCTGCTCCTGCTTCATTTCCCACTCCTTTCAGACCATCAAGAGGAACTGTCTTATTTCTCTTCCTCCTTTCCTTTTCAGCACATGCTCTTACACAAGCTCCACAGGAATGTGCAGCCTTTTCAGTCATTAGCACATGAGAGCCCTCCCATTCCTGCTCCATTTGCTGTAGGATGACAAGACTGTAAAAAGAGAGTAGTCATCCTTCATGTAGGTGGAATACAAGTCATGTACGGACTCCTTAAGTGAAAGTGTGAGGATAATAGGAATGCTTTATAACTCAAAAGAGTGGTCAGATGGGAAGGAATATTTAAACACATAAAAGTCTCTAAGCCATGAGAGCCACATGGATTTGCTGATATGATTTCCTGCAGAAGTTAATCTTAAGTGATGAAGCAATTGATGGGGAGCTAGGAAAGCCAATTATTATTAAGTTGTCCCTCTGCAGCTGAAGTTTTCATAAATCAGATTCAACCTGTCTGACAGCACAATCCCTGGCTTTAGAAACCATTAATCAGAAGCTGACAGTCACAATCACTATATTTAGACACATAGTGTAGAACTAGAAAAAGAAACAGAAGTTATTGTAAAATTATGAAAGCCCTTTTATGATCAGCTCTGGAGGTCAGAAAATACCTGAGAAACCACAGGACATGTGAAAGTCACAAGATAATATCATCAAGCCTTTTTCTAAGCTCTCTCACTTTGCAGAGGAAACAAAAATACTATTAATTTAGGGAAAGGTTCAGGAGAAAATTATAGGACCTGGTTCAAGCTAATAATATCTAGAGATGAGACTTCATGCACTAGAAATTATGACAGCAAGACAAAATCACAGTACTCTTCAGAAAAGCTTTAACAAGGGTTGCAAGAATTGTTAAAGGCTACTTAAGGAGAAGGTGGCACCTGCAACTACGTGTAGAGGAACTAGCTTGGAACCTAGCTACAAGACAGGAACTAACTTAAAAAAATATATTTTCACCCATGCAGTCACAGAAATATTGACATTTGAAGACAGTGTTTGCAGGTGGCTTTTCAGATTTCTAGTTTCCTTGAAAATTAATTTCACACAATGAATTATTTAGCAGAGCTATTAATAAACATAGCAGATAATAAATGAGATCTGGCTTAATAAAGTAATGTGACAATATCATATTTTCTTAGAAATAAGAAACAATAATTTGGGCTATGCAAGGACTCTTATTCATTACCCCATGCATCAGCATTATTATCAGCATTGCATCTGAACAAATCATATTTCCTTTTAGCAGACAGATGGAAAAAACCAAAAAATCCCCTTTTGATTGGTGAAAGGTAATTTAAGAGTCTACCAGGATGTGCCACGTAACAAAACTGCCTTAAAACTACTCCTGTCTCCCAGACTATGAAATACAATCAACAGGAAAAATCAGATTGATTGCATGATCCTTCTGCAGCAACCAGAACAGTCACCTGTGAAGAGGTTATAGAACAGTTATACAAGGGTTAGCCAACTGGCATAAAAAATGGTGCAGGAGTTACATTTAGGCTAGAGGGGCACTACACAAAGGAAGGGTTGTGCTGTTGATGCTGCAGTCTGTCTCTAATCCAGAGGACTCTCCTGCAGCCAACATCTGCACTGCTCACAATAGTGAGGGCTGCTGTGTTCTTTTCTGCTGACAAAAATCCACATATGTGTATGTAACACACTTTTAATAGCTTCCTTATCTCTCACAAAGTGTGACTAATAATACCACAACGATGATGTCTTATTAGGAAATTGGTTTCCTTGTCTCTGCTTTACTCCCTTACAGCCCACCCACTTTTTTTTAACACCCCTCTTTTAACTGATAAAGCAGTTGAACACTTTAAGCAACCCTCCACTACATGGCTTTGCTTCACTTTTAATAAAAGGCAATTGTATGAACAGGTGAATTAGGTAATTTCTTCCCATCTAAAAATGCAAATACATTTCAGCAAAGCATTCAACAGCCCAAATGCATTTTTTAAAATATTTTTTTAAAATAAGCAGTGACTACTCAAAGGAATGCTGAAGCACCAAGTCCACCACGAGAAGTCTCCCCTGGTTTCTCACAGGAGATATATCACTGAGAACATCTCCACGTCCTCTAACAGGCTTCCTTCCTGGAGATCTGCCCCCTAAGACAAGACAAAACTACCTAGGCATGGTGACTAAGCTGTGGACCCCTCCCTGCCTCAGGATCCCATGTTATCTCCTTGTTAACTATTGGTCATCTTACTCCGGTCTCAGACCATTGGTCCCTTTTCCAATTCTCCCCTTCCCTATAAAAACCCCAGCCTTTTGCCCATATCAGGGGTAGATCATCAATGGCCCCCTTTGCTGAAGCCTGCATTAAAGAACTGGAACGCCACATGATCTCCTGTTTGTCTACACACAGCTGGGGTAACCCATAAACAGAGCTGGCTGGGCTGATCTAAGCTGATCACTGCAAGACCAGAAATCACTTCTGAAAGAGCTGTTCACTTAAGCCTCTGCTCACGCTCCTGAGGGTTACCCCTGGGTGGAAACTGCCTGGAACCCCAGACAGTGGCTCCTTCCCTGGGACGTCTATCTGGGTTTGCTGCTGGCAGAACCAGGGGTCGGACAGATCCCCAGACCCAGCCGCAACAGCCTCCCATTCCAGGCTGGCATTTTCTATTCAAAATGAAACTCTTCAGTGAAATGCTAACACTCAGCTGTGGAGTGCACTTCTTCATCAGTCATTGAGCAAATTATCTGCCGAGGGGTGCAGCTGCTTGTCTGCCTGTGAGAAAGCAGACTTGCTTCCTCAGCCTGAGAAAAGGATCCATGACACATCCAAGTCTCTTTCAAGGCAGCTTTATTTCTCAGTACTCAAATATAAGCACAGCACGAAAGAACACAGATTCTCAGCCCATACTTGACCAATGCTTTTAGAAGCATCTTTCCTTCAATTCCTCCACTTGAGCATGTACTTCAGCAGCCTATCTCTGTTCAATGCCTTTCCCTTTCTAGCAGAGATGGTTAACAGTAGGGTGTTGGGTGATCCAAGGTCTGTGGCCTTTTTAAAAAGGCATGGGGCCCTGCCAGGAAACAGCTCTAACGCTGTAATTCAAACACTACATGTTTCTAGGTTCTCTTTTTTTTCTGGTTACAAATGGCCTGAATTTTAAAAAAAATCTCTCTTGGATCTGTAGAGCTCACCCTTATTTTTAGGAGGCTGTCTGTGTCCTGCTTTTACTGGTTTGGAACTCCCAAATCCTGAAAGGAGAGATTCTCATGCAGAGCACCTACACCTTTGTTTGTACCCTGTTACTGATTTGAAAATTGAACTGTCTACCAGATGTATCCCTGTATCTTCAAGGGCCTACACAGCTTAAAAAAGTCTGGACACCAAATGTCTTCAGATTTTCTTCACCATCTGTATATCACCCTCTTTTTGGCTGTATTTTTAGGCTTTGCTCTGGAGAGGTAGATTTTAATGTACTGCTATTGTAGGGCTGGAGAAAGGAGCAAACCAAAATACCAACAAAATACTGCATGACTCAGAATGTAACTGCAGTCAGCAACTGTACAAATGTACTTGAAAACTCAGATCAGGATTTATTCCATTTAGAAAACAAAACCTCCAATCCTTTAGGCAGAAATGTTTTTCCACAGTACGGAGAAAACACTTGGTTGCCAGTCTGTAAGCTCACAGGTCCTGCATGTCAGTGCAGTGCATCTGAAATGGTGTTAGAGAAGAAAACTGACTACTTTCTCTTTAGCCTCCTGTTAAATGCTATTTTTGAAGGGAAAATGTGCACAGCTGGCTTGCTTGCTTCCTCAGCCCAGAAAGCCTCACCACTCCACCTAAGTCTCTTTCACAGCACCATTTTAGCTTCCAGCATAAATCTCAGATAAACCACCAAACAAAACCATTTCCCAGTCCAGCCAGAAATAGTCCTTAACTTCATCTCTACAATTTTATTGAAGGATTCCTCTCTCCTTTTGTGATGGTTTTAAAGGGAACATTCAGCACTTCTCAGCTAAGCCCAAGGAATGCTGCACCTAAATGAGGAAAGCTGATCTATATTAACCTTATAGCTGTATCATTATCTCCTATTCAAAAGCAGGAATACAAAGTACAAAGGCAGGAAACAAGGTTCAAGAAGGGCTGTGGGCTCTCACTTCCTCATCCATCTGCAGTGCTCCCCAGTGATAACAAGTCCTTCAGACCACTTACCTTCTCTCCTCTTCACTGCAGGCTGACCACAAGACCCTATCACTGACTGCATGCATAGAAGTAGCTCTAGAAAAAGTATTCAAGGTTCTTCAGCAGTTTCAGAGTCATTAATCCCCCCCAATTTGAATGTGTGCTCTCAATTTGAATGTGTGCTATAAATAAGAGAAGTCAACTAATTCCACAGGACCAGATGTTTCTGTGCAGTCTACTAGTAACAGGCATACTGAGCTTGCTTGAAAATTGTTGCTCTGCATCACTACTGCGTTTTGCATCCTATGGGTACATACAGCAATATATTTAAATTTACTCTGGATCTCAAATACATGTCAGAATGCAGCATACAAACAAGGAAACCAAAGATCTTGGATTATGTGTTTGATTTTTACTCACAAACTTCCTTTCCAAATGCACACTCTGGCAACTTAGCTTGAAGTACCTTCAAATGCAGTCTCTAACAACAGCTTTGTAAGAGGAAGATTTGACTATTACTTTATCAGCTTGAAGCTTTCAGTAGAAAATGACAATTCAGAAATGATTCACAGAAATGTTGCCATTTCAGTGAGTTTCCTACGTGGCCCAGTGAGATAAGTCCAATGGACTGCTGACCAGCCAAATTTTCCAGGGTCATGTAGCCTATTCCAGTATATGGCATCTTAGCACCTCCAAGTTCTGCCTCAAAACAGAAGACAGGCAGACCTGGAAACTTCAGCCCTACCAGAAACTGAGCATATGGGCTCTGAAAAGGACTGAGTTCTCCCCCAAAGCCACCAGCACTTGAATTGTCCTTGCCATGGTCATCACTGCCTGCCAATTTCTGCTCCCAAGGTGTGAAGCCCACTATTCAGCAGCACTTCTCATACTCCTCATTATGTCAGGTAACTGACCAGAAACCAGGAGTTAAGAAGCAAGGAAGCTACAAAAATGACTGGAAATAAACATTTTTAAGTTCTCAGACCTAAAATCACCAGGAAATTCTGGAGCAGAAGAGTGCTCTGAAAACCTTTTTCCGACCTCCTACTCTAAAAATCACAATTTTTACATGCTCCAAAGTGCAATAATCCTGTTATCCCTTCTCATCTCAGTGCCACAATGACAATCAGTAAGGGAACTCCAGCTTTCAAAGATGTTTGGGTGCAACTGGAAAACACGAAGTACTTCTTAGGTGCTTTGAGAAAGGCAAAAAATCTATGATAAAGTTCAGAAGCTTAGCTAGACTTCTCAGATAAGCAACTAAGTAAAATCCACCATGTTATAACCTTGCTAATTTGAGAATGATTTGGTGCTAATAATATGGAAACCCACAGCAAATCATTGCCTGAAGATTAGCCACAAGTAAACACAAAAAAGAAAAGAAAAAGAAAAGCTCTGAATTCCATTCTTTCAACCATTCCTGAAGTGTAGTTTAGTTTAAATTCTAAGCATGTTTATATTTTTGTAGTATACTTTAAAATAAGAAGTATTTTTTAATACCCTGAGACTTCATTTAACCTACTCTTTGGTGATTAATGCATGCTGTGAAGTGAGGAGTAAGTGCTATTTGTGAAACATATATCAGTGAAACACCAGCTAGTTAAACTCTTAGCATGTTTGGAAACTTTGTCAGCAATAACATTTTTACTATCTGGGTGCTTAACCACTACCTTAGTATCTTAAGAGTCTTATTTTAGCTTCTTAGAAACAGAGAAAACATTACAGCTGCCCTTCCTGGAGAGAACACAAGCTGGCAAACATACCACTGTTTTGAATTCAGACACTTGCCACAGCAGCCAGTCTTCATTAAGAGTGTAGAGGGCTTTGCAAGTTATTGCATCAACAGGTCCTTTGTTTATCCTCTGATTGAGGGTTGTCACCAGCAAATAAAAAGGCTCACCAATTGTCTCCTAGGACAGGAAAAAAATGCAAGAAACGTTTACTTTTGTAATCATTAAATGAGCATGAATAACTAGGAAAAAATCAAGTGTAACAAATGGTGTTATTTCCTTTTAAGTAACTCATTATCTTGCAATTAGAAAAGAAAATCCCTCCAAGCAGATTTATCTAGTTATTTGTTTAACCTCCATCTTTTGCTTTTCAGTGTGAGTCTCATGCAAATAGCAAGGGACATCTGGAGTGAGTGGCAAGATAGCTCATAGCCCCTTGCTGTGCACAAGCACACTACAGACAAGCTGCTCCTACTCCACCTGGCAGACACTTCCTAGTTCCACCGAAGAGTGGGTGGGGGGGTGAGACACGCACATGTTCACATGCCTACTTCAGCTACTTCTTCCATTTTCAGTCTCGTGAGAAAACAAGCTAACAACTAGTTTCCTTTCAAACTGGTGTCAGAAAGGGGTTTCTGTCTCTGAAAAATGTCTTGGGAGCAAGCTGGTGGGACTTACCCTGGTGCATCAGCAAAAGAGGAAATGAACCGAGGCTTTGCTCTCCTGCCTAAACCCCAGGGCTCAGGAGAGCACCTGAGAAAGGAAAGATGTATCTCTATTTCCACGTGACACCATTCCTGCAGCCCAGCTAAGGCATCTCACTAGCACAGCTCTGTAAAAATAAGTGTCTGGTGTATTGAGAACATATCTCTGACAGTTCCTTGGCACTCTCCTTGGCTCCAGCAAACTGCTGTGAGCTGCTGAGCCTCAAACAATTCTGCTGCTGTATTAATGCAAGCACTGATGAGAGTGATACCAAGTGTGATAGAATCACATTGATAAGAGAGACAGGAAGAGTAACCAAGCACTGAAACCAAGAACAAAGTTTTATCAAGTTACTAAAAGAAACAAACATTAAAACGAAACTAAATGCATATTTTGTTTTCATTTGAAGTAATTTAGGTCTTGAAATCTGCAATACTGCTTGGAGGTTGAAAAGTTTGGAAAGAAGTTTAGTTTTCCAAAGGATGGCATTCCTTAAATCTCCATTTCTTGGTAGCTTTCCAACAATTTGCAGAGGGCTACAGCTGCATTTTAACAAGTGTATCAGTCTTTTAATACGATCACAATACATCTCACTGGGCTGAAATGTCTGGTGTGAGAAAAAGATATGCTGGAATTACAAAATTACCCAAATCTTGGCCAAATACATGACACGATCATTGCTTGGTGATGTGCTCTTTTCCTGCATTGCACTGATGGCAGCCAGCTAAGCCACCTAAACTAGAAGAGTGCACACTCATAATGTTAAATGCTAGACTGATTCCTTTAAACTGATCCCTGTGACAGCTCCTATGGAAAAAAAATCAATTAAAGAAATTCTCTGCATATCTTAATGGAGTGAAAAGATGAACACGTACCCGGAGAAATCCAGAAAGGCAGACAGACATCCAGTTTGTCAGCAATTTTTCCACCACAGATTCAGTTCGTCTGAGCAGGAGCTTAGGCTGTACATTGCTCGACTGCTCCATCAAGTCCCTTGTCAATACTTCCAAAATATGGGTCAGATAAACTAGCTTAGTTTGTAATGCAATAGTCAAGAAAGATGCAAACAAGCACCTGTGGGGGAAAAAAAAACCACAATGCTTTAATTCCGGAATTTCTCTTCCCAGTTATCTTTAATAAATGAAACACACTTTAGTGCAGTTCATATCCTAAGTTTTCACTCCTCAGGCACATAAACTGTCCACTGTTCTCTACAAAAATATAAAAAATGCAAGTCCATCTGCTTTTGTGACTATTTTTTAAACACAGAACGTGTGTCTCTAAATTTAATTTTGCAGAACAACACCTGCTCCAGTGACAGAACATTTCTAAACTGTAGAACTGTTGATCTAACTGCAGGAAGTGTTTACAGTTTTGAACTGAGCTTTCCTGCTCCTTTACCTCTTTGTTTATATGTACAAACATTCCAATTTCTCTTTAATTGCTTCTTTTAATGGCAATGTTTTTTCTTCCTCAGTGTGTGCAGATGGAGAAGGAAAAATACTCCAGAGTGCTCTAAGTTTGTTTTGCAAAAAACAGAAAATACATTTGTGTGCTACAACCCATGTTGTTTTTTCCTGATAATTCTTTTTCTTGAAGATGATAAGCATAATCATACTATACCTGTCTTTCACTGAGAAATTTTTCTGCTTTTCAAGGGTGTGAATGAGAGTAACAAGAAAGTTCTTGTTACAAATTAAAGCATGCAACATGTTGAAGCTTTCATCCTTGCTCGTTTGGTCTCTGCTCTGGAATAGTTAAACAAAAATAAGCAAACTGTAGTTTGGCTATGATGGATTCTTAATGCTCAGAAAAAATGGAAAGCAACATATGGGATAAGATTCTGGCCTTATTCAAGTTAGTGGGAATTTTGCATTTATTTAAAGGGTCTTAGGATTTTACCAAAAATGCACTTGTGTTTGTGTACAACATAGAATATACACATGCAGAGCATTCATTTTCTGCCCTATACACAAAGCAATGTCAATAGTTAAGTTTGACCATCATTTCCCATTATGAGATTCTGTTTTATTTAAGTCAAATACACACTGGATGACAGCATCTTACACTTCAAGCTCTTTGTACATATAAATTGACATAACCCTCCTCATGGAGAAAAGGGAACATACTGAAAATGCAAGCTGACGTGTTCAAGAACAACACTGAGAGAAGGGATACAATCACTCTTGAAAAAAAATAAATTAAGGCATAGCACACTACATCAGCTTACCTGTGGCATTTCTTCACTGAAGATGGATGCAAAGCCTCCTGACTAAAATATAAGGGGATATTTATCATTCATAAGTACACCAAAAGTTTCTAACACATGTATGTTTAACACACCAAGCATGTTCTTAATACTACTTGAAATAAAACAATGGAAATGCCGACTTCTAGAGCAGATACAATATAAAAACTCTACACAGTAACTTCTGCAAAGGTGCTGCTAAAGCTCACTGGAAAGTGAACTCTCAAAAAATGACCTGGTATCAGTGTGCTGTGTGTGTTACTTGATGCTGCTGAGCTGCACTAGCATGGCAGTCAATCAATGCTCCCCAGGAAGTGAGAGCTGTGTGTCACTGTCATCTGCAAATGTGCTGGTGTGCAAAGGGTGCTGCAGGCTGCATCCTTCCTGGGTGGCAGCAATAGCCTTTGCTGTACAGGGCTGCTGGTAACGAAGTGACACTTGAGCTCATCTGCTTCCATTCATTTCAAGGCACTCCATGAATATTCACTGATGAAATCTCCAGGAGGTCCATGCTGGCAGTTTCCACTGAAGCACAGGTGCTATCACACATCCAGTCCTAGGAAAAGCTTTCCCACAAAAGGAAGCCCACAGTTCTCAAACACCTTGTCAATGCCTCTTGAGCAACAATATACACTATTTACTGACATCTGTTTTAACTGTCATGCTGGCAGCCTCTAGTTTCCTTACAGATCACAGAATGGTTTGGCTTATAAGGGACATTAATGATCATCTAGTTCCAACCCCACTGCCATGGGTAGGGTTATCTTCTACTGGACCAGCCTACTTAAATCCCAGTCCCATCAAGCATTGAACATTTCCAGGGATGGGGCACCTACAACTGCTCTGGACAATCTGTTCCAGGGTCTCATCATCCTCAGTGTAAGAAATTTCTTCCTTATGTCCAATTTAAATTTATCCTCTTTCAGTTTAAAACCATTAACCTTTGTCCTGTCACTACAGGCCCTGGTAAAAAGTCTGTCTCCATCCTTCTTATAAGCCCCATTTTAACTGAAAGGCTGCCTTCCTTTCTGAAGGCTGAACAATCACAGCTGGCCCAGACATTCTTCATAGAAGAGGTGTCCCAACCTTCTGAGCATTTTCATTGCCCTCCTCTGGACTTGCTCTAAAAAGTCCATCTTCTTCTTGTGCTGGGGAACCTCAGAGCTGGATACAGTGCTCCAGGTGGGGTCTCAGAGGGGGAGAGAGGGAGAGTCACTTCCCTCAGCCTGCTGGCGATGCAGCCCAGTGTATGACTGACTTTGGGCTGTGAGCACACACTGGCATTTCACAACTCATTTTTCCTCTACATACCTGATTGTTCATCCCTCCCTTTCCTCATTCCTCCTGTTCTACTCTACCCTACCAAACTCTTCTTCCTCTTTCTCCACTGGCTATTCCCATTTCTCCAGAACTTCTTCAGCAACCCTAACACCAACTACCAATAAAAGACAAATGCACGCGTGCGTGCACACAGAGTAAAAGAACCAGAACGGTGTTAAAGGTTAAAAATGTGTGTGAACAGGGAGCAAACATCAGAGCATTACACCATACAATCTGTGAAACTGAAGGAAAACAGAAATAATAAGACAAATTTAACATGCAAAGCAAAAATCAGGCTTAGCACCAAGAATATTTTGATATAATGTCCATTTAACACCTACAAGCATTAAAAACTATTAAGCCATATTAAATATAGAAAACTGATGCAGTGGGAAGCAAGACTCTTAAAACAAAGATGGGGTCTATCACTCTTAATTTTAGGTTTTGGAGTCCCTCTTTAAGCAACTTTTCCCATCCTAAGGGAGATGCCTCAGACAAATGGGATGAATCGCTTTCCTGAGCTGCCCATCTCTGCACTGACTAAAGAAGATGCTCAATGAACAACTTCAATTTCCATGCTTAAACAGCTTAGATTAGATGATACAAAGCCCATCAATCACACTGGGGGCCACAAAGAGTGCAATATGGACATAATTCAAACACATGTGGTTAGTGAAGGAAGTGGTGGTTTGACACTTCGACCCTTCTGTCAACCCTTCTGACACACTCAGTTGCAATATATACCCCACTGGCTTTTCTGTTCATCTATAATATTTGTTCAGTGGAACACTGCTTTTCTGCCACATTCATACAGCGCTAGGCATGTTTGGACACTCCTGCAATGTAAACAGTAACTACTTAGCAGAAAAAATTGGCATACAACACATTAAGTAACTTGCCTGACACTGTATGTTTGTAGAGAGCTAAGAGTAGCAAGTGTACCTTCGTGGGATAAGTATTTCAAACTGAGACAAAATCCAACTGAAATATTTCCAGGGCGTGCAGCGGCATGAGACTCACCAAAGCAAAACAGAAACCCTTCCCATTTTTACTTTACAGAATGCAGCAGAGTGGAAAATTTTGCCTTTTCTTCTTTTCATTTGTAGAGAGCACAGCATTTAGGTTGAGTCAGCTTCTACAGACTATTACTGTTTTGACATGGGAAAGTATAGGAAAAGGTATATTCTTAAGAATAAAACTGCTATTGTAATGCTAATATGCCTGACAACAAAACAAACAGAATGGAAAGAGATGCAGGAAGTAAAGTTTCCTTTCTACTTTCTTCAGACCACTTGGTGACCCTCTAAAAATCAGTCTGGGGGCATAACAGTAACACCAGCAGAGATATTCCCAGTGTTCTTTTGTGTGAGGACTGGACTCAAAGCATACAAGGATTTTGCATTATGCAATTGCTAAATATTATTCTGACTTAGTGTCTGGTATTTGGTGTTTTACAAAAATCAAAGGCCCCGATTCTGCACTGTCACATGTATTTATCACAATGAGTTTTTACTAGGATCACAAACAGCAATAAAGTGAAGCAGTGTGCAGACAAGAGTGCAAGACTTGGCTGCAGCAGTGATGAGAAATACATTAAGCCTGGTGGGTAATTCACATCCATACCAGTTATGACCTAAACCAACCAAGTTTCTACTTACTGGTGTCAGTCATGCAGGAAAATATCACCAGTTGAGAACACAGCTTCTGCCAATTGGATAAATGCTCATAAGCACTGGTTAACATCACAATATAATATTGAAAGCTGTGGCAAAGGCACTTATCAGCATCATAATGTGCCACACATGCAAAAAAAAAATTAGTAAGAGAAGTAAAACATTCAAGAGAACACCTCTTTGGTCATCTGATGCAGTGGCACAAGCTGCTTCAATGAACACTGAAAGTACCTGCCTCTAAACTGGAAAACCTTAAGTACTTATGTCATTTCTAAGCATTTGAGCTGCACCCCTTTGAATCAACATCTTACCATTTCTGTCAGCACCTTGGTGTAAAAAGCCAGCACCATCTTAGAGCCATTTCTTCATCCCAGAAGTTTAATTAGGAAGTGTCTTGATGTTAGCTAGTATGTTAGCTAGCCTGACTGTTACTTTAATTAGCTACACCATTGGAAGTGAAAGCATGGCAACAAAAAAAGCAATGGATAAATTATAGTTTAGTTAGAGATGGCCTGAAAGGAAAGCAGCTCAGTGAGGCTGAATAAAAAGAAATGGATACACACACAACCCTTGAAAATTCAAGAATGTTGCTTTATCTGCAGCATAAAGGCTTGGCTAAATATAGAGATAAACAGCTTTAAGTGTTCTTTGGTAATTCTTGATTTAAGAAAAGTTTCCTGTGTGAATGAAGTGCAATTACTGCATAGTATTTTCTTTAGTTATTTGATCCTGACCTTCCTCATTTTTTTGACTATTAGACAGGGCTGACAACTGAAAGACTTGTAAATATTTACCTCTGGAAAGAAAGTTCTAAGAGCGAAGTGTTTGTAGTCAAGGAAGGGAACTGTTCCAAAACTATCCACCACATCTAACTCATCCATCTGCAGCTCAGCAAATCCTGAAAAAGCACCCCCCATCAACCCCAGAGAGTTAGTTTAGTTGACACAAAATCAGCTTCACGATTATAACTTGGCCCAAGTAGATATTCCTTAAAAAACAATTTTCAGGGAAGAGGGGTTGTTTTTATAGCTGATGCTCTTACGAGATGGAAAGTAGCAATCTACTTTTTTGTTGAAGGAAATACTACATGCAATCCTATTAACTCAGCTCTATCTGCTACTGCAGTGCACACAATATTGAAGAGGAACTCTGATACAGCACAAAAATATTCTAGCAGCTACAAAATGAAAATGTTTATATAATGTGAGCATCTTGACAGTTTCAGTTCAGAAAATATGCTGCACACCTACCCTCGCGTATTTCCTTACGAATTTCATATTCCAGCAGTTCAAGTTGCTGACTCTGTTTACGAGTTAACTCTTTGGATTTGTATCTAGTAACTATGAATGCCGCTAAAAAGGTAGAAAAAGAGGCTCTGAGTACAGAAATCACAGAACAGAAAACTCCTATACAAGACATATTTTATTATCAAGAAACAAAAAGATTAATGTACATTTGCACCATTAGTTGTCCCTGTGCTAGTACCCATCAGCCCTAGTTATCTGGATCTATACCTCAACATTTAGTAAAAATTGCTCCTTTTAACAAGGTCTTGAATTGTCAACCCAACTTTATTTGAAAGTGCAGCACACCCTGCTATATACAGCATGCACAGTGAGACACAGACTCTAACAACCACTTCTACTAATAGCAACCTACTTAAGGTAGCACTGATTAAACAGAAAAAACAGTTTTTATGAACAGAACATCCAGTTACAAATTGTTAACTTTTATAAAGCTTATTTAGCAAGAATAAAGGCATGACATATGGTTCCTTTTTAAAATGAGCTTTAAAAAACAGGAATCAACCAAATGAACAAACCCCTATACTTATTAAAATAACTAGAAATTTATCAAATACATAACCAGGTAAAAACACCCAGAAAAAAAAAACAACAGGAGCACCAAGAAGAGAAGGGGATAACTATTTACCTCCCTCAGTTTCGTAATGACCCACAAATTCATGAATGATTCAAAGGAGACTGAGCAGAAACACCACAAACACTGCCTGAGGATAAGCAGTTTGTTAGGGAACATCTGCCCCAGGGACAGGAGGGTAGCTGAGCTCTGACAGCTGGAAGAGACCAAATTGTGACACAAGGATGTCAGTTCTGTGGCTTGCTTCTTGAAGTGGAAGTGAGCAATCCCAGCAGAGCAGACAGAAATACTGTCTTCTAACATGCTTGTGACGTGCTGCAGTCTGACAATTCAGACTTCACCACCAGAACAGAGTTAACTTTGTCCACTCTTATTGGGAAGAGGGTAAAATCACCAGACTGTTTGTGACAGTTCCAGACATGTGAGTATGTATAGTGTCTGTGTCATGTTCAAACCCTTCAGCAAATCAAAAGCTGATAATACATTATTTGTACTTACCTATAATGACACCCACCACAATAGGTAGCAAAATAAGAACATATAAATATATGTGTGATGATGTTGGTTTGACTTCATGCTCAAAATTTCCTAATTTGACCTGAAGAAAAGCAATGGCTGTGTTAATAGAGGACAGGCATTCAATCAGTGCTTAAAATGACATTTAACGTATTTAAAGAAAAGTATTTAAGGCACATAAAGACAATGGGAGATTATTGGGAGGACAGTAGAGGCTCAGCAAAATGCATATGAACCAACATTTACTTAACTTTTACTGTATTTCATGTTTAAGCAGGGTAACAGAGCAATGATGAAAAAATTTGGAGGTCCTTATGTACCATGAAATTTTGTCATGCTCTTGCTGCAATCTAGAGCCCTCAGATGAAAGGCAAGATCTGCCTCCAGCTTGCCAAGGGGCTCATGCACTCAGTCACTGGTAAACATTTTGGCACTTGACAACAATGAAGGCATGTGTTTGCACTCACAGTGTTACTCTGCTGAGCAGAAAAGTAAGATAAGACTCATAATAGGAATGAGGGAAGTAGAATTTTTCATAGACACCTGGCCTACATCCTACTTCCCTATTTGCAACTTCTTTATGTTGTAGGATTCCTACAGTGTGTTCCTGAAGGTCACTAAGAAAAAATGCAACATATGATACATGAACATGTTACAAGTACAACATCCCCAACAGTGGGCTTTTCAAAGGCAGGACAGGCATTAATTCTTAGGGAAACATGAAAGTGCTGAAGTCTGCCAAATGCCAAACTGAGGCATTCACCACTGATAATTATGGCAGAAGAAATTTCACAAAGGAGGATCTGAAAGAGGACTACAAAAGCACATAAATAAAGGGTGGCTAAAACTATAAACAGGCTAGACATAAAAATATGTTCTGACATATAAAAAGAATACCACCAAGTGCCAGGGATAGAAATGAGCTTGAGATAATTGAAAAGGAGGGTTGAGTTGAAATTATTTTGGGTTACAGCAGGGAAGGCAGAGATCTGGTGATTGCAATCAGTGGCTTGTCACAGGAGGTGAGCAACCAGGGCAGCTGCAGACTGCCAACTGGATACTCACATCACAGCTATACAGACACAAGCAAGCAAAAAAACCCCACAGGGCTGGAAGGACACAGCCTTTGTATTTCCGGGGCTACAAAGAACAGAAAACAAAGCAGATCTATTTCCTTCATCAAATGTTACTTTTTCCTCTGATGTCTCTATGTTTTCACAGTTCCTATGCAAAGTTCTTTTGGTCTGTGCCTTCCTAGGATCCTATTAGCCTTTTCCAAGGCTCAAATACATTAGTGACTAAATACATCATCCATCCTGTGACTAATACATCTACTTTTCTAGACTTGTCATGTTCAACTGAAGACTTCCTAAAGCAGAAATTTCTGTTACTCATCCTTGTTTATTGAAAACCGAGATAAAGCATTCACTTAATTTTCTGCTCATATTTCAATTATCTTTATTCTTCACCATAACCTTATCTAGTATTTCTTCACTTATCTTTTATCTTGCTTATGAATCACAGACTATATAAAGTACACCTGAATTAATCCAATTCCTATTCCTAAAATAATTTCATTTTTCTGCATGACATTATAAAACCTTCTCTGGACTGGTAATGCCTCTGAGCTTTATGTCATCAGCAAGTGTTATTACCGCATACCTTATTTTTGTGTTCAAGTCAGCGGTGATATTAAAGAATATCTATATGAACATCAGCATTGCCCAGAGTCAGCTCTCCACACACAGCATCCAGTTTTTCTAACCACTGGCACCCTCATAATCACCACATTAAATAGTTTACTGAATGACTTCCAGGTACATGTGATCTATCGCTTTTTTGTTGTTGAGGAAATCGCTCATCTTAGGAAATAAAAATATCTAGCATGATCTGCTTTCATTAAAAAGGATTTGACAATTATCCCATTTTCCACTTACCTCCAGGTCTTTCATGAGTAATTCAGAATACATTATAAAGTTTTACACAGAGCTAGGATTAAATCAGCAAGCCTCCATTTGCCAGGGGTTTGGGGTTTTTTCCAATTTCAAATACTGTTTTTTTATTTGCTGCTCTTCAGTCATACATTACATCCCCTGACTGCAGCTTTATTTAAAATCTTTCCTACTAAGCCTACATTGTCATGTGTCAGTTCTCCCTCAGTGCTACAATGGGAATGATCCTGTTCCTGCTGTCTTCAGCCCTTTGATCTGAATCTTGCTTCTGTCACAAGAATGGCATTTTCTACTCTGACACCTTCATGCAGACTGATCATTCTGTCTTTGAACCCACACCCAATATCTTCTTTCTTCTGGAAAACTAAGGCAAGAGATACATTTATTCTTGAGCCAAACTTATCTTTTATACCCATCTTATCCTTTTTTTCAGTGGCCCTACTTCTTCTATTATGATCTATTCATAAGGTTTAAAAAACATCTGAGGATTTGCTACTCTGATATTTTTCTTATGTTGGAAAAAAAAAATTTGAGGTACTAGAAGTGCCATGTTACATGATAACTATTGCATTTGATTTGCTTTAGTAAAGTGATGACCTTTCTATAACAGTCACTTCTATGAAGTTTGCAGGATGAGCATGTGATACAGCAGGGCAACACCGATTTTTAAATGCAACACCAAACTCAGAAAGGCTTTTCCATGCCGTAACTGGCTCAGATGGCAGGATCCACAGATGGGTGGATCAGTTAAAAGTGATAAAAAATCAAGAATAGCTTTGTTAATCTTTACTATGAGCCATATGCCTTGAAGTCAATAGAGTTATTTCAGTTTTATACCACCACACACTGCAGTAAGAGTCTGACATAATTTTTCTCCTTCACAAATGGTAATCATAGCATTTAAAAAAATTAATATCTTTATCTTATTCACAGAACAAGTATCTTAAGCTGCAACTCAGCTTTGACATCCATGCTAATGTCCTTATATTTGGGCCTGGCTTTGAGCCACATGCTCAAAGCATTTTAGCCTTCACTGTGCACACTGAATTTCACCCCCTTTTTCACCCAGAAATGCCTTCTATCTCAGTGGTGATCCCTTAGACAGATCCTTACTTACTTTAGTATGAAAAAGTGACTGGGAAAACACAATCCTTTTCCTCATGGCCACAGTGGAGAATCAGATCTTACTTACATCTTAGATCTGCTTACAGATCTAAGATGAGGGGCTCTCCTGGAGACAGTGATGCTGTTCCAGTGATGTCTGTTCTGCAGGTAAGAGGTGTGACAAGCTGCTGGTCTCCTGGAGCTCAGCAGCAGCGAGTCCAGCTGGGACTGCAAAGCTCGGACTCTGACACCACCCCAGCAACCAGACAGAAAATTAACTCAGTTCTGCCAGCGGTACCTAAGCCAGGCAGGCACGCTTCGACATGAGGAACAAAACTGTACTACCAAATACCATGACAGCATTAATGACACATTTTACTACACTTGTACAAACATTCAAACAATGCTAAATTGCAACAAAAGGGACTTGTACTTACAAAAACTTTCACTGTGGAAAAGTCAATCTTGTCGGTTCCTTCCCTTTTGAATTTGCACAGTATGGTGCTACGGTCTGGCTTTTTGGTAATATTTTGGACACTGAACCATATCTTTTTGGTCTGTGCACCAGTCATATATGACAGATAAACTTCTACCTCTGTTTTAGAAATATTCAAGTTATCATTTTCTTTCTGGAGGGAAAGAATTGAAAACAAACATCAGTCACTAAATACAGTAAGAAAAAAAAAAGTTATCTCCAAACACTATTTTAAATTGGGTACTGTAGTTTATTATTTTGAAACTTACATATATTTTTAATTCCAGATCAGGATCCAGTTCAGTGTGCAGCTGGTAGTTAATGAACACTGGGTCTGGGTGATAGTGTAATTTGACACATGGTATAAAGGTAGTATCCACTTTTAACATCATATCAACAACTTTACCCTCTGTTGCATGGCTCAGGCTTGGTGTTAAGTAATGATACTCAGATGCATTTCCAGGACACCTAGAGACCTAGAAATGCAATAGCAAAGCTCTAACAGTCATTAAATACTCAACAGTGGGTACAATTACAAACAGAGGCACTCAAACTCATTTTAATATTTTCCTGACTTCACACAGATACCTGCTAAGCCTCTTCTCTGACATCAGGGCTGCATGCAGTGCACCTGGAAAAATTTCTGTGTTGAGCAAATGTCTACCTTTAAGTGAATTTGTCACACACTCTGCACGCTGCTTTAAGGCTGATTGCTCACTGCTAAGGTAACTATTTCCTGCAATGAGACAGGAATTGTGACAATGGAGTTTCCTTGTTTCCCCTCAATACAGGTGACAAGCTCTTATCACAAGGTGGTAAGACAAGCTCTACAGCACTCCTAGGCATTTGCTCTTTCTAACTTAACTCCTGAGAGAGGGGGTTGCTACAATCATCGTAGCATTGGGCCATTGTTTACTCCACTGGATGATGCTGCTGTGTTCTGGTCTCTGTGTTGCAAGGGTCAGCAAAGTGCTTGCCTCCTCACAACCTTGGAGAAAGGGTTTCATCCCAACACCAGCTCCAGTCTCCTGCCCCTCACTGAGGCAGTGACACCATTTGGGCTTTCAGCACAGAGCCAAAGGGAAGTATAGCACTCCCTCCTCCGACACACCCATGTGTGGATACTAAGGAGACTCAAAAAGGACACATTTGGAGCAAGTCCTTAGACCACAAACAAAAGCTCAGGGAATTATGCAGGAGAGCAGCTGACGTGTATTTGTGATTCTGTACTAAGAATGTGTATAACTGTAATCCTCTAAGTGGTCTTATTTATTTCAGCAGGGTGACTGACAAGTCCCTGGCAAGTGGTTGGAAAATACTGAGGTCTCCTCAAATCTTAGGAACAAAACCAAATGCTAACCTAGACGTCAAGAGACCTCTATTTGGTATTGCAAAGGAGATAAGACTTACTGTGAGATTTGATCTCTGGTCATCTGAAATAATCACACTGTCCACCACATTAAAATTTCTACCAGTTGTAGTAATTTTGCGACCACCACTGCAAAAGCCAAAGCAAAACAAAACAAAAACAAACATGGGGAGAAAGGGAGGTTAATGTTATCTCTTTTCCCACAAACATGTCCTGCATTAATCCTTCAGTTGTGAATAAACTACTCAAGTGCATTTTGCTTTGGTAGCAGACAACATAATGAAGTCAAACTGCAGAAAAAGATAATTTGAGCTATGCACTGTACTTCCTCTCTTTCTTTATAAAATAATGGTAGATACTTTTGCTACCCCAAAACAACATGACTTAATTGCTTCCACACGTATACCCCTTTTTTTCAGGGACTCTCCAACTTTTTTTCTATTTATGCAGCCCAAGAACTAGACCATGATTAAATATTCTGCCTTGAAGAAAGAGCATCATGGTGTTTCACTGCCCCAGCCTGTGCTTATTCTTGCCTTCTTCCGGACCAGCCCATCATGCCAGGCACCTCACAGGAAACATTCTCGGTGGTGTTCAGACTATCTGTCTCAGCACACAATGGTGCTTGTGTCTGAGGGCTCTGGCTCACAATTTATGCTGTACAAAGTTGGAGTGGCTTAAGGTATTATTAATTTCCAGCTGCCTGAGCTGCCTCTCACCTGGAGATGAGGGCACGCATCCTGGCTGCTCAGTTGCTGCAGCTGTCAGCCCAACCCATTACCTCAAATCCTCACTCGACAAGATATCAGATTCAGAATGTGAGAACAGGTAAAAACTGTGAAAGCAGAGGGAGAGGTGGAAAGCTGTGCCAGAGAATATCCTTTAAATCATCCTGTAAGTCTTTCACCAGATCTGTGAGTCTCCTGCAGAACACAGCAAAGGCTTGAAAAGGGCTCTTTTGGCTTTAGGGAATCATATTGTAAAGCAAGTCTGTGTACATCAGTGCAATGATGATTATTTTCACTTCACTTCCAAACCACTGATACTTTATACTGTTTCACAGATGAATGCTGTATTAGCATCAAGAAATCAAACTTAATTTGAGTTAGAATTTATGCATGTTATCCGTATTTTGGGTTTAGGCTTAGTACGGATAGGCTACTTTTGACTTCTGTAAAGGAGACCTGAGGTGGGCAGAAGAAGTCTACAGAATCCATCTTGCAGCTACTATAACCCTATCTGTTAAATCACTTCACAGGCTTAAATTCATCCAACACAACAGGTTACAGCAGTCTTCAAAACTTGCTTCAGCTGCAGTCTGGCCAAGGAAGAAGGCTCATATTGGCTCAGTGCAACTACATTTGGGTAAGTACATAAAAACTATAGAAAGACAAACTTACCTGATCCAAGAGGTATTTGGTGTAATTCTAGAACATGATGGCAGTGAAACGTAATGCAGGGTCATTGGTGGTGAACATTTTTTCCCATTAGCCTGGATACATATACTTTTGGCCTCTTTACGTGTTGGTGGGAGAGCAAATGTCATTTGTGTATCATTTAGCACATTTCTAACTTTAATGCTGGAGAAGAAAGAAAACAAACACTGAGACACAGATGCCACTCATTGGTGTTACTACACGAAGCCTATAGCCTACAGCAAGTGGCAAGGAGAAAAGAGAACTGAATCTCTGTCTGAGCTGCCAGATGGAGGTGGAAAGAGAGCAGGGAGCTGAAGAAATAAAGTAGGGCATCGTTTGAATGAAGTTGCTATGTGACACAATAATCACAGGAAACAGTATAGATAATCAGCCCTGGGATGAGGCTATGTAATGCAATGTGTGACTGTGCTGTTTACTGCGTACTTCATGCTACCACCATGGTCCATGAGCCAGTCAAGAATAACAATCTTCATTTTCCTTTGATTTCTTCTTTTTCTTTCTCTCTTTCCTCACATTTTTTCACTCCTTCCTCTTTCTCTCTACTTCCTGTCTTACCCTCCCTCTCTCCTTTTTTTTTCTGTGGTCCCCTGAAAACTTACGGTTGAAGCAAAAACTGAACACTACCTTTTCAAGTGCTAGCTATATAAAATGGGCTTCCTAATCACAGGCAGCCATTGCAGCTGCACCTGAAAATAACTGATTCAGAATAAGAATGCCTAATTATCTAGGGGTTTACACTGTGTAATCATCAACAGAAAAATTGGAGCTGTACTAGAGATTTCCTTCCCTGGCATGGTGTCTGTGCTTTACAATCAGAATCCTAGAATATATTAGGAATATTTTGAAGCAGAGGAGATTCAAACAAAAGCTGAGGTTTTCCTGTGACCTAACTTCTTGATGCCTGCTAGAAGGCACAGAGAGCCACAGATACAAAACTGTCCTACTGCTGCTGAGAGAATTGACAACTCATCCATCCCTTGTGTTGTACTCAGACACCAAATTCATTTCCATCCTTTGGTAATTTAAAGTGGAAGTATAAGTAAAGAAGTCCAGAGCATCCCCTGCTCTGCTGAGGAGAGGTACATGACAACTGTTCACACAGCCATATTGCTAGAGCAAAATGGATATTATTTTCACCACGCAAGGTAAATAGTGTTACTTTTTGGTTTGACTCACACGTCTGGTTTACAGCCAGTGATTCCAGTCAGTATCAGTTTTATGCCTGATGCACGTGTAAAGTTTTCTCCTTTGACTGTTATTTCACTTTTGCCTAATGTAGAAATCCACAAAGGCTCAATGGATTGAATGCTGATATGCTATTAGGAAAGAAAGCAAAACAAGATCTGGTTATGAAAAGGCTGGGCAGATAAGCAACAGCTGTAAAAACAACCACCACTCAGGAATGCAGATTTTATGGCATTGGGATACATTTTTATTATTAATTTCAGATCCTGTTAAACTTAATCCCGGGAAGTACTGTCAATCACAACTTCATTACAAGCCAACTATTTTTACCTACGTATTTTATATTTCAATTTAACTAATAACGGAGTTGCCCAAAGCAATCACAGTCCTTTAGTAGTAGGTAGCATAAAAACCCAGCTTGAAATGATACGTTTCATGTGACCCCTGAAGAATTAAAAAACAAGGCAAGACAAAACCCATGGTGCTGTCACTATGAGAGATCAGATGAACAAATGAAGGCATCTTTCGTGACCTGAAAAGGGGATGCAGGGTCAAATCCTCGAATGAAAATTTGAGAAAGCGCCCCAGAATTAGCTTTACTAGAAAGTCTTTTCAAAGTCATACATAGAACTAAAGGTACAAAACAACTGCAGGGGAGTCCTTTGGTATCTCATTTTTACGCTAAGAAGTTCTCCAGCATTTAAAAATAACTCTAGTTTGCTGTGATGTTGTCAGTCTTGCAGAAAAACTGTGCTTTTCTTTGTCTATATTTACTTAGTCTAACTTACTTAACACTACTGAGCAAGAAGAGGTATTTTTTCCCTACTGTATTCACTTGATATTTTTGATGGCATCTCATGTTTAACCAGTTTTGCTGCTTCCCCAGTTTTACAATCGCACAGACGGCTTCCTCTCTGTCTTTCAGACAACAAACTGAAACATTCAAAAGAACAGGAAAATATGCATGTGAAACCACAAACTGTTTGGGACCTTCTCAGGCAAACCTTTTAGCTCAGTTTTAGACTAGTTTAAATTGAGCTTTTAGAGCACTGTGATTATCCTGGTTTTTTGCTGTGCACCTGCGGACACATTCACTGGGAAGTTCAGTCTTCCTGATCCTGTTAAGGATGCTGGTGCAAAGCCTCTAGGAAAGTCCATCCCACAGGTTTTTCTCACCATTAATCATTTCATGTACCCAAAACAGCGCTGATAAGGACTTTGGGCTGGTAGCCTGAGGGGACCACCAGGGTCACAGCACTTTGACCATTTCAAAAAGGTCTCGGCACATTGTTCCCACATGCTATAGTTCACTGGATGCCAGAGCACTCCAGAGCAAATGAGGGATCTGTCACCACTGATTGAAAGCTGCAACTCGTGCCTTAGGAAAAGGCCAGAGAGTGCAAAGGCTGGGGCCAGGGGGCCTGCAAAAGGGCCACCAAGATGACCTCTCGTATTGATAATAGAGGAAGGCAAAGAAAATCCCTCACAAACAGCCTGAGGGGGAAAATTCACTCCCACAATAATCTGGAAATCAGTTTAATTCTTGAGACCGGACAACTGAAGCAAAAATCAAAGCCAGCAAACCACTATTGCTTTTCTTCACCTGCATCCTCTCCTTCTGCTTGTGTCCAACCTCCAGTGCACCAAGGACAGCCAATATCCTCACACAAATCCAGAAGCCAAATACCACAGAAAGGAGGAAAACACAGCTTTGGGTTCTCCCTGGTAACCATCAGGGAGCCCTGAAGCACCAGAACCCCACAGTATCACATAAACACGTGGAGATCCCCCATACAGCACCAGGGCTGTGAACCCTGGTGAGAGAAATGCCAGGCACCCATTGCTCAGGGGTGCAGCAGGGCTCCCACTGGTCTCTTTGCCAGGCACCAAACACCACAGAGTGCTTCAGATTACCTGCCTTGCTTCCTTTCTTAGCCCATGAAGAAATCATGGAAAGGATTGTTCACTCAGAAAGTTTCAGCCCCCTCTGAAACCATGCCTTCCCTGAGGTTACACAGCACAGACTCCCTCGTGGCATCCTGCCCTGGCCTCATGGAGTCAGTGCAGTCACAGCACTGAGGTAAGATGACCTCAAGAGTCTGATTCCCACCCAACTTGACCGCCATAATCTGCCTCAGCAGCAAAAGAAACCAATAATTTCCTCACCAAAGGCAGGAAGGACCTAATGTGTCCTCCCTGGGGTCTGCAGTGCTTGTTTCCCCAGTGCCAGCCAGCCACTGACCTTCCAGTTGCTACATGGTAGGGGGAGCAATGCCCAGGGCAAGAGCGGCCAGAGCAGAGAGGCAGAAGGATATTTATAAAAATCACTAGTTGTGAGGCATGTGATGAAAGTGTAAACATGCAAAGAGACATACAGGAAGCGAGCACCAGGTCCTCAGGTAATGTAAATCAGCACAGCCCTGTCAGCTTCAATAGAGTTCCATATTTCTGAGCTGCAGCCTCCTCCCGCCTCCCCTGGACAGCCCTAACATTTCCCTGGGGCTTTGTGATCCGTGCCAGCACATCCTCAGAGGTGTGGTTAGCATGGCTGCAGGTCTCAGAAAGACTAGCCCAGGTTAAGAGGTGTCTGCCACCCTGGGGAGTCCCTCTCTGGCACAGCCCCTCCTGCACAGGGCCTGAAGAACTGGATCAGGGAACTGGCCTAGACGAAAAATAACCTGCTGCAAGATAACAGTGATTTCCAGCCAAATCAGTTCCCTAGCCAAGTGTACTCAATCCAACCACTCCAGCTGCTGCTCCGGCAGGGGAGGGGGAAGGTGCACGCATAGAAACCAGCAGCTGGAGTCAGGAGAAGGGCTGGGGCTGGCACTGAAAAAAGTATACTAATCTAAATGCTCAGCTGGGGTTGTGGGAAAACACAAATCCTCTTTCTCTACTCTCCAGTATGTTCTCCTTATAGCGCAAGCAGTCAAAGGAGAGCAGGATTTCAAATGCAATTTCAAGCTCTCTGAATGGATCAATCACTTCTAAATAAACATCTGCCTTTGCACTGCCTCGGGTGCTTTCACTGCCTTGTCCATCACTGTCTTTCCAAGATAAGGCATGTGGAAGAAAGCCATCTCCTAGGCAATTCCAACTATTTACCAATGTCAAATTAATGCACTTGGAAGCAGAGCAAAGAAGAATTTTTTCTGTTCTTTCACCAGACATAATGCTTTAAATGCAGATCGAATCCAGAATATTAATGCTCAGAAGCACAAGTATTACAATCCCACACGTCTCCGTGAAAAACAAGATGTGTTTTATGATTTTGTTTAAGAAACATCAGCTGAGGAGCTGAATTTAAGAGGTAATCCCTGTCTTGAGAGGTAGAAGTTTGAGTAGTTCTAAAGAAACACTTAGAGATAAGAACACAGTCACTATTTATAACAACGAAGCATCACTCACAGAAAAGCTGAAACCAAAAAGTGTAGGCAGCAAATCTCTATGTACTTACTCATCAGTCAATTTTCTCTCCACTACTCATTTCTTTTCTAACACCTGCATGTCATAAGCAACCACTGATAAAAAGATCACTGAGTTTTATGAGAAAACAAAACCATTTTGATTTCATAAAGAATGAAGGGATAATCTTGTGGTTAAAGGGCTGACCTATGATGAGAAGGTTAAAGGGCTGGCTGATGAGACAAATAATTTAGACTGTATGCACACATACAGTCTATATGAATTCTGTAGAGAATTCAGCAGGTATTTTGGCAGGACTAGTGAACTTCTTCCTTCCCAATGATCCAGCTTGTGTGGATCCATCTCCAGTTTTGTCTACAGCCTGGAAACAAGGAAAATTTTTCTGAAAGTGTGAACCAGAGATTTACTAACACCCATGGATTTCAGTTCCTGGACTCATCCTGTAGCCACTTCTCTGTTATGCAGAAACTTGGTGGCACATCCTCCCCTTCCTTCTGCTCCCCTGGCAGCTGTTTCAGGAGAAGCTGTGATCTGGCTGCATAAAATGAGGAAGAGGTTTGAGATTCTGAAGCTTAGTTTCCCAGAGTTGTCTGTGACAGCAGAACTGAAACGTGCTTTTATATCTAGGTAAGATTTTAAGCCTGAAATGTTCTCCTTTTTTGTTGTTGTTGTTGGTCAGCTCACGTGTTCCAGCCCTCTGCATGATGGCTCCCGTGGAGTGACTAAATCCAGCACACAGGGACTTTGGCATTTAAAGCAATCTTGTAAACACTGCATCTACAGGTAGGCACAGGACAATTGCAGTGTTCACTGTCTCAATGCCTGCATCTGAAACACAAGTCTTTGCTGATACCTTTTAACACCAGCAGAACACTAAGGAAAAATAGTATCAGTCCAAATACTTACTTTGTGAACGACTGCCTACTCATCCATATCTCTATTTTTTCTGCAAAGTCCTCCCATTTTAAATAATTTTCTCCCTCAGAGAGCCTTAATAATTCTGATCTTAAAACGCTAACTAACCTCTGTTTTCCGCACAGTGGTGATCCCCTTGGAAACAGTTGCACTGCAATCATCCTGGAAAAAAATAAGAATTTCTCCATGTCAATATAAAAAAGAGACAGATTGCTGCTCAGATGTAAAAAATACAAGAAAAAGCCATCACAGGGGATTCCAGTTTTCCCCAACAAACTTCACCTGGCAGGTGGTGACAGGAGAGACGTGTATCCATTTGCAGCTGGCACACTCACCCTTGTGTATACACCGTGAGCAGCTGGTAACACAGAAACAGAGTTTTTGTAAGACACGGGAACTCAATCCAGATTCAGCCATGAATGTCAAATTTCAAGTGACAGAAAAAAGCATAAACCCAAGGGAAAAACCAAGCAAACATGTAATGAAATGGGTAAAAGTCTGTTTACCCTCCAAGCCTACTGTTCTGCTGTACTTATTCTGAGAAGAAATTTAGTATGAAATACAATCCGCATTGAGATGCTGAGAGTCATTAATTTCAAAAAAAGCAGGAAGCAGAGGAAACACTTTGTGTTACATTTTACTGTGATTTACAGTACATGAGTGGCCAGGTAGTACTTTTTAACCATAAAAGGGAAGAAACCCATCACTGATTTTTTTCCAGCTTTTCTGAATCTCTGTTCTATGCGTACAGTGCTAGGAAGTATTGCCAGCGTGCTATTGCCTTCATCTACCAAAAAATATGCTTGTTGGAAGACTAGTTTGTCCCTGTCTAGCTCTGCAATGCTTCTACCAATACGGAAGAGAGCCAAGAGTAGCACAGTCCCTCCCCAAACGTGCTGAGAAATGCTCTGATTTAGAGAAAGACAGATCCTTCCCTGTGCTCCTTCAGGGACAGGGAAGTGATGTGCCACTTCCCAAAAAGAAAGAGTTTTATTTCATCCCAGGTGCTTCTGAATTAGCCTTTTTGCATAGGGGAGGAGAATTCTGAATGGGAACACTGCAGTTACCTACAGCATATCTTAGCCAGATCTTTCTAAATATTAACAACCACCTATCATAAAGTGTTAGGCCACGTACTGGGCATGAATGCTTCCTCTGCCAGCTCTCAACAAAGAGTATGAAAAATAATGTCTAAAGAAGAATAGGTATTCATTATTCCTATTAGCAGATTAGATGTTACTTTCTGGTTTAATTATATTCATGTTACCTGTGGACCATATTTAAATTGCATCTGGGTCTAATTTAAAACAGCTTCACAAAGTGATTTTAAAGAATCTCTTGACTGCTCTAATCTAGGCCTTATACTGAGTACCAGGGGCCCACCTTTTACCCAAGGACAAAAAGAATTTTAATGTCATTGTGACATCCTTTATTATCTCTTCAGGCACTTGTCATAAATTCAGTCATTGTAATGACTCTCCTACAGTTAGTTTCCATGGTCCTATTAAATAAGAGAGTCATCAGAAGAAGTAGCTTTTTAAGGGAAAAAAAAATAAAAGAGAAGGAGGAGGAAGTGGGCCAAGAAAACAGATCTGACTATCTTTAGTGACATGTAGTTCCTCGACAAATACAAAAAAAAAAAAGAATGATGAATGACTTTAGTTACTTTCCCCCCCCCACACACACCAACCCCACAATGAACTTTAACAAGAATCAGGCTCTTACTTTTTCAACTGAAATGTTTGTGTGATATTCCAAGAGCTTGAGGACAGTGATGCTTCGAGAACTAGACAATCTGGAAAAATGCACATGTTAGGTATATGCTGGATATTACAAGAAATAACTGTTTAAAAATAGTTTGAGTTGAAATCTCGAAGTAGCTGTTCTCTACTTGGTATGCACCTTCTCTCATACATTCACTCACACTTCTGACTGATAAAAATAGCCAGATTTTGTCCTTCCACAGCACTCCCCAGCTGAGTTATACCAATGCTTTTTACACACATATTAATTAAGCTTGATGCCACCACCGTATGACAAATAAAAGTAATGTTATTGTCAGGATAGATAAGGAAATGCTACTGTGAAGCAGGGATATGAAATCATCTCTCAGAAAGCACACAGTGATATATGCTGTGGTATAAACCAGACCCTGAATTCAAGTCTTCTAACACACCAGACTGTTCTAATGCAAGAGATCCCACCATACCATACTTCTCTCTCTTTCTGTCTCACAGACTTGGTTTCAGAGTCTCCTTTTGTAATCTATGCAGTAGCAATTTTCATCCTATTTAAATCTTTTATGATTGCATGAGTCAATTTGCCATTATTTCAGCTAGCAATTACTATACCAACAATTCACTGGCAGCTGTGGTATGAAAGAGTATCTTCTCTTATGAGCAGAATACCACATCGAACAGTAGAATTAGACATATACCACTTAAGCCATGGTCTCTTTCATCTGTGTGCCTGCAGATGTGTAGTCTGTGAAATGAATGGCTGCCTGAGATCAAATGAAACTCGTGTTTGGAGACTTTCCTGACTTCTCTGTGCTAGAAAGTAGCTAGCTTTTTAATCCAGAAAAGTTACACAGATTTTAAGTATATCTATCTTGCACAGGTAGAGAAAGCTTTGTCTTTATCACAGGCTGGCTTGTTCAGATGAAAGCCAGTTTTGCCTACAAGTGCATTGTTAATGTAGGTATCTCCTACCTCCACATGGCAGCATGGGTGTTCACTGCAAAGGTCATCTGAACTGCTTGTTAGAAACAGCCCTTGGGACCACTCATGTTCAAACACCTTACTAAATGGATAGCAGAGTTTGACTTTAATGACATTTTTATGCTTAAAGATGTGGATGAGTACAGACAGACATTCTGAAATCCTTCATCAAACACCTATGTGCATCTCCAGAAATCTAGTTACCAGCTGAAATCTGATGCATTGACAATTGCCTAAGTCAATATATGAGAAAGATCTCAAGCCATGAGCTACAGAAAAAGTAAAATACTCCTAGTATTTTACTAGAAGTAGTAAGTAAAAGTAAGGAATTTATCTCCTTCTGGCAAAGCTTGTCTTTTCTTTTAAGCTTGTATAAATACCTGAAAACACTGTCAAATATGCTTTCCTGATTCTGTCTGTGTTGAAATTAATGGAACCTATTATTTTCTGTATGGTCCGGGCTGACCTTTCAAAATGCATTAGACTTCACTGAGTAGTGGGTACTTTCAAAATGTTTCTTCCAGAAAATGATACCTAAAGGAGTTTTGCAAGTGCATCCTCTTATGAAACGGAGGTCACTTTACAGGAGATACCACAAATAATCAATGTTACTTCACATCTGAATTACCCAGTAAGACATCTCAGCTCACAGGAGCACGTGAGTGGCAGTGATACTGGCAGGCACAAGCTAACCTCACAGCCTCCTGGTTAACACTGCCAAAGGGCTCATTTTTGGCACAAAGCACAGGCAAGGTGAGCTGGCTCCCATAACAACTGTTCTCTGAAAACCTGCTAATGGAATTAAGAGGAAGCTTTAGTCTGTGAAGACGGAGAACCAAACTATATAGTCCATAATTATAAGAAAACATGGCTTTTGGGACTGGGTCAATAAAGGACATTTCCTTCTTAAAAATCCACTAATAGTGTTTCCTAAAGACAGCTAAATAGATGAAAATACTCATGGATATCACTCCAGCTGTCATCTTCTAGTGACAGTCTTTCCTTCTCAATTCCCAGTACTGGACAGGAACCTGACACAACACTTCTGTGATGCTGGAGGAGTTTTTCCCATACAGCCTCCCGAGGTTCAAATGTTCCAAAGAACCTTCTCCAGGGGCAAGGGTGCCCGAGAGAGAGAGTTCTTTGTAGCACTGAGCTCTTCAGAACAACAGGTCCTTGAAAATACTTGGTAACATTTCATTCCTCCTCCTACACCACGGTTTTGTAAGACAATCATTTTTATGCACAGTATTCCATGTCCTTTGGGCTATATTAATGAGGAAGAGATAGAGGAATTTGTGTGAATTTTCTGTTTCCTCTTCAAGTCACCCAAGAACATGTGGGAATCCTTGTGTTTGCTATCTGTTCCTTAGTTTAGATTCAAACTCTCTTTCACATTCTAACATAAGCAACTTCAAGAAGTTGTAAGGCCAATCTCTGTTAAAAAAGCTTTGTGCTTCTATACAGACTCTTGAAGAAATGCAAGGGGGATGTTGCCCTACTGTTAGTTAAGTAACGCTGCACTGTGAAGGATTATGATCAGGTCCTTGACACCAAAACCTGGAGAACAGCTCAAAAATCCAGACATTCAGTAATTTACCACTTCATTCTAAAACTTGGAGCTGCCCATTAGATACACAAGAATTGCACATCCAATACAAACTGCTCAGGTATTTGAGAGCCATTGGTGAGCAAAGTGGTGTAAATATTATTGCAAAACGATTCAACCAATAATTCAGAAGGATGAATGAAATCAAGTCAAAAGGATGTACCCACCAAATTGCCCCTAAACCATCTATTTTTCTTCTAATCCTCTGCGCATTTTCTTACAGTGTCTAAGTTAGGTTGAAACAGTTAATTAAATGTTAAGATTATTTATTGTAAAGACATTAATAATTAGATTCTCCTCTTATTTATGCTAGTACAGTTTCTTGCAAAAACAAATTCTGTTTGCAGATTAGAGAAGAATTAAGATGGGTTAATTTGTCAAGGCAAAGCACTAGACCAATACTGCTTCAATTGCTCCAGCCAGCTTCATTGTCATTCCATTTATCTTAAGTTTCCTTAGACAGTTATTAATGGCACAATGTAAATAAATATTCTAATGCTAAAGCACTGCACTGCCACAGGGTCAACTGAAGAAGCTGCTTCCAGCCACAGGGTAATGTGTGTTACTACTTCTACAAAGGATTCCATATTAACAAAACTTTAATCACCACGAACAATGCGAGTATACTCAAATTACTCGAAAAAATATGAATTTTCTTCTGTGATATTTAATTAAAAGCATTACACACTTTCACACTCATTAGGCCCATATTTGTGCAATACTCCCCTTTATTAAAGGGCAGTGAATAAGCATTAAATACATGTAATAATAAAACATACCGTTATCAGTTATCATCAGAGTGGTTAGATTGCAGAAACAGGATGAATTTTTCAGCACTACGTTTTCATAAAATATTTCAAGAGCTGTTACAATTTTTATCATACAGAAAGTAAGGACTTTGCTTACATTTGCAGTCACAACAACCTATAAAACAATAAAAACAAGAATACAACAGGGAGGTTTTGTTATACTTGCTAAATAACCACCTTGTCTTTACAGAAAAAGACAAACTATGAAATGCACAAAACAAAAATTTTTGTGGTGAAAACAGACAATTCACTTTGTAAACTCTCAAAGGAGAGTGACTCTCCCAACTGAAGAAGTCATACAAAAATAGTTCTGAAAGTAACAGCATTGGTTGCTTCCAGAAATGAAATGGATCTCTATGGTATGTTAGCAAGCAGTCTTAAATAATTTTGGATTTTAAAACTAGAAATTTGCTGTGTTATATGCTGTTATATTTCTTTAAAAATACTTAAGTAAGAATCTTCACAGAGAGAGATCGTTTGCATCCATAACCAAAGAGCACTTAATTATGAAACAGAACTTATATTGTAATGAATTATCCTTTGTTTCTGGCTGAGAGTGCTTTACAAATATGATTACATTAGTGCATTCAATCAGGAAATCAGAAACAATAGCGTGCAGATTAAGTGGCCAGTCACAATAGTTGATAATCAAATATTCAAGGCTGCGTGTGCTGTGAACAGATACAGAGTAAAGACTAGTATCAAGCACTTAAGAATTTGTGTTAGCATATGTGCCCCAGTGAATGTTTTCTAACTTGTTACAAAGCTCAGAACTTCCATACTGCACTTGATATACAGTTACAGGATATATTAAAATAGCTGATACAGTGATACAATGGAAATATTGCCTGAGTTAGCATAGTGAATATTTGAATTTTTGACTTAACATCATGAGGATGTTCATAGGATTCTTCAGGATACTTTTCACAGGAGAGGAGGAGAACACCTATCTAATTCACACATTCAGCTTACTGAGATTTTAAAGATATTTGCCAGTTGTTGGGGTAAGAGGAACTAATATATGGAACATGGTGACAAAAGAAGACAAGCTGCAATAAGCAACAAAATTATGTACTTTAAGTCACAATAAACAAACACACATAAAACTAAGTGTACATACCTGATATTTGGCAGGGAAACTTAGCAGGATTTTCAGATCTTTATCAGGTGCATGTGAAATGTTATACCAACCATTTATGCTGTTTGAATGTGTACAATTTTCTTTTAATGTGCACCTAAAAGTATACATAAAATTATACTAGCCTCCTTATCATGCCTTTGACTTCAGACACTGTACTTCAACTTATTTAAAGTTACTGATTTTTTACAGGAACACTATTGATTTTTATTTTTTTTTTACAGGAATATGGTTATAACTGCAAAAAGCTTCAGGAAAACAATCAGCAAAATCTTCTGCTTATCAAAACTAATTACAATGCATTGATATATGCTCGAGGGTTTTGGTTAAGTCAATGGGACTCAAGCAAATAGGAGATGCTTGGCCAGTAACAGTGGAAGTGGTAGCCTGGGATGGAATTCATCATCCCCAAATTGGCTGCTTCATTGTACAGCTCTAGATCTGATCCCCCTGCTGCCCCCCAGTTCCCCCCTATACTCTTTGGGGAGAAATATGTTCTTAAGAGTACAACGCACCTACCCTGCTTTAGACATTCATACAAAAATCAAATGAACCACACTGTGGAAACTGCTTATTCTCTCCAGAGGATATAAGAAGGGATGGGAGTGAAGCTCAAATGTAAAGCTATACTACAAATGTGCATAGTTGATGAGATATATCCTCTTCCCTAACCTCCTTTGTCACCCACTGAATGATAATCCTTCCCTTTTTTTGACTTTAGTCAGTGCATTTAGTTAAAAACACCAGATTTGAAGAGGTTCAAAATAGATTTCTCTATCTTCAAGCACAAAATTCATTTCAGAATTAGGACAGCTCAAGGTAAATACAAATGTTAGAGATGCCAAATTGTAGGAAACAAACTGTGCAACAAAAAATTAAGGAAGTATGAGGAAATGCTAGGATACAGAAGTACTACAAAGACTACACATATTAAAAACACGTTATAAGAGAAAGACAACACAGGCATACAAATTAGATGGACAATCAATGAGTTTGAAAGGTGAATCCTTAAAATACTGTCTGCTGTCAACAGTTAATGAACAATTCATGGTTTAACTCCAAGTAATTTCATACAGTTAGCAATTAAAGACAAGTAAGTGCTAACTGAATATATCTTAATATCTTAATACTGATTGAATATTTATAAATAAATATAACGTTTAATTGTTTTAATTCTACTTTTCTACTAAATGTAGAATCACATATAGCTTCAATACTGTGAACAGTGAGATCTGCCTTAATGAACCATTCCTTCGCTAAAAACTGGAAATGAGTTCACAGTTGCAAAGTATGGGCCTTTTTAACGAAGAGCTCACTGTAAAATTTCACAAACAATGTATTTTCTCTCCAGAATGAACAACATATTCAACAAAAATATACACCACACTCTGAAATGCCCAAAATAACACCACAAATCTTAGGGACCATAAAGTCTTCTCTGCAGATCAAGATGTTGGCAATTGGAATGCAGTTAAACACAAGGTCACTTCCTTTGTGGTCTAACTCAGGAAACTGAGTTCCTGCTGCACAAGAACCTGGTGGGGCTTTGCATCTCAATACATTCAGATGCTGATTCTGTAACAAATTAGGACTATATATGCCTGATGGACTTCAAACTGCCCGAGCTAGGGCAAGTATCAGTCTCATTTATAACTCTCTTCACCCTGCTGAGATCACAAAGGCTCATTAGCACCACACTTTTAGAGCCAGAGAAGATGGGATCAACAGATCACAGATGTGCATAAACCACATTCTCAGATATGTATGGGTAGGTAATTCTCACTGGTAATGAGGAAGGACAAAAGATAAAGACATTCTACAGTTTCTGACAGGGTGAGGATTATAATGGTAAAGACGCAAGGAAACACAGTTGCAGTACTTGGCAATAAGTAAGTGTATGAATGTCAGTGATGCGAAATACTAAAATATTTTTATATTCAAAATATTTTTAAAATATTAAAAATTTGAAATATTAAATCAAAATATTAAAAAATAAAACTGTTCATCAAGATGAATATTTACAACTGTCCCAGGAAGAAGCTACTTGCTTTCTTAGACTGCCTGAGGAACACAAGCAGTGAACCTGTTTCCCTCATTTGCAATGAAGAATCTGAGCATTTAATAGCAAAACCAGTAATGGCACCAGAACCCAGGGTCATGCTTATCTTTATGTGAGGGAAAAATGCATCTTTTGTTGCTCTAAGAGCTGACCTTTAACACTCTAACAGTGTGCTGCGGAGAACAGTCATTTTCATAGGAAGCAGTCACATCTGATGCCCCTCAGCATAAATTCTCAAAATTGCCCTGCAAAGGCCAAGAGCAAAATAATTCCACTCACCTAAAGATAAAATTATTCTGTAATACCCCTATTTTTAGAAAATTTATATTGATTTCAAGTGATTTGAATGAATATAACAGATAAATATTATTTGTAAACCACATGATTCTGAAAATTAACATACAGACTCAGACAACTAAGTCTGGCTTTCCTGGAAAGGTGAACTGGACCTTATACAAGTATGAAGGTATAAGGTATGAAACCCTTGGATCAGATTTCAGACTGTAAAGATATGTGCAGAGAGAAAAGAGTCAAGGTTTTTTTTTTATATATTTCACAGCAAACTAGTTCTTTTATACTACTAAAGATTTCTCTACACAATTGGAACTGAGTTCCTCTTATTTCACTATAACACAATACTTATGCATACTGGTTCATCTGTACTTAAGTCTCTGCTTCACTAATCTTTGTTAACTACAGATCCTAACATACTTGCCTTCTCTATCCTGCTAAAGCATATTGATTTCCTCATGGAATGAGAACACACTTTCATTCATGTTGTGAAAATTGTGGCTTCGTTCTTTCTCCAACGTACCAACCACTGAATGAAGTCCACAGATGTCCTACACATTGACTACATTCAAGAGTAACTCTGCTCATGTTAGATAATATATTGTGTTGTTTCCATGTGGAAAATGCATGTAAAACATCAAAACCTTGTACTGGAATTGTATTTCAGCATAATTTAGGTAAATCTGATTCATCTACAGAAAATCTATAAACTTTAGGAGAAATCAACACAATGCTATGACTAATTGGTTTGAATGATGGCAAGTGAAAAGGAGAATTAATATATTTGTCCCTATAGAAGAAAGAGTAGAAATAGGAACAGTAGAAACATTTTATTTCATTTTGTTTTTACTTGCAATGAGATGCACACATTTTTTCATTAAAGGACTGGATTTTAATTCACGCTGTCCTTAAGATGAAGCACTAACATTGCTAGTAAATTTTATGTAAAACTGGAGTGTGTGTTTTATTTTACAGGAAAATTATTTCCTTGTAAAAGCAGAAAATGTATCACTGATCTCAAAATTATTATGGAATATATTGCTGTAGTGGACATATATGGACTTTGACTAAAATACTGGCTAAAAATGTCTTCTTCTTCTCCTAAACTTTCACTCAGAGGTGTCTCTTCACAAAGCCAAATATTTAATGACATTAAGTATTTAACAGTAAAAAATTATGTGGGTGTTGAACAGGACTCATACTACTTCATCTTTTCTCCAAAAGAGTACATTATTTCTGTTTCAATCAAATGGAAAGTTTTGGTGATTCCCCTCATAAGCAGGGGATTTACTGAGTAATAAGAGTTATTCACAATCTCTTTATAAGGTAATTAAAAGACTGAAAATCTTAGCACTGTAACATACAGTTTCTAAAAGGAAGCAAAAGAGAGTTTGAAGAAAACATTACAGAATAAATACCTACTCTCTTCCAATAACTACCTTTGCAAACACAAAGTGGCAGATCTTCAGCAAAATCACGCTAACACAAAATGGGTAAAAAACTAAAATGAGTTAGTATTAACCTTCTAAAAGAGACTACAAGTGGAATTTCTCAAAAATCCATCTTATAGGCACTTTAAGATTTTAATCGGAGGCAAATTAGCATAAAAGAAGATTTACACTGTTGACATCTGCTGATGATACACAGTTGGGAATGTTAACATGCACAGGAAGATAAGAATATCACACAGGAAAACTTGGATTACCTTGAAATGGAATGACATTTCAAAGCATAAAGTACAAGAACATGTACCTACAGCAATAAAAATCTCACAACCCATATGTGTTATAGACTGGAAACTCATCTGTTGGAAACACAACAAAGAAAGAAAAGGACCTGGGGGCATTATTTGATCATGGATGATTGTGGCCCATCAATGTGATGCTGTCATGAAAAAGACGTTTGTGATCCCAGAACACACTAAGGCACTTCCTGGACAGACTGATTAAACAATATTAAGCAAGACACAGCTGAAATCTCCTCTGGAACACTTTGACAGTCCTGGCCATCCTTATCTTAAAAGGATGCATAAATTTCACAGAAGGATTACTGGAGTGGAGGTAAGAAAGGAGTGTCTCATGTAAGAGGACCTTAATGAAGTTCCCTGTTTAAGCACACCAAAATGAAAGGAGAGAGAGAGATAGAGAGAGACTGCTTTCACAAAAACAGGTAAGAGGTAAGAAGAGCTAAGTGTGAGGGAGTGGGGGTGGGGAACTTATTTAGGCAAAGGTGATGTGAGCACCAGAGCAAAAAACTACAACCTATCCATAAACATACACATGATGAAAATGAGCAGACATACTTTTACCAGCAAAAAATGAGACTGCCAGGAAGCAGCTGCACAACCAGGGCAGGAAGGACAAAAAGCCTATCTAAATTTAGAATGGTACTTCGCAAGTTTTTAGTTTTACATTATGTGGTTGCTTGCAATTGCTAAGATTAGGTCTGACGACCCAGGAATTTCTGCAGTCCAGGCATCAGATGTTGAAATTAATTATTCAAATGTGGGAATGAAGTATTTAGGAAGAAAATCTCCTTTTGCCTAAACCAAAGTCAGTGGCTCCAAAAAAAGGAAATATCAATACTGAAGACAACTAAGCACTTTTCTCGTTCTCACATACAACATGCTCTCAGCTATTAAGAAGTTTCAAGAACAAGTATACAATTTTATTTCTCAGTCTGGAAAACAAAAGTATCTCTTCTAACAGCAAAATGATTTATTATTCTCTGCCCAACATATATTTTATGGGTAGATCTCAAAAATCTGAGGGTTACATAGCCTTTCAAAGGCACTGATTTCCCTTTCACATGACAAGAAAGTGTCTCACATTTATGGCTATGACTGATTCCACAAAAAATCAGTAGATACAATCTTGATGTTGAATAGCCCCAAGCCAGTCAAAATGTACACTGACTAATAATGCTCTGCTTCTATATGACAGTCTAAAATATTAAAAGATACCTTTGACTGAAAGAACACCACCCACAGTAGGGGTCCTTTGCAGATAAGCATTCTTGCTCAGAAGCAAATCTACCGCAATTTGCAACTGGTATTCTTCTCACCTGAAACCAAAGAATGCAGTAACACATTGAATTAATACAGCCTCCATAAACAGGGAATTTGAAGATTACCATTAAGAATCTGACAGCAACCAAGCACAATCCCTCTGGGGAAGTCTCCTTATGGATTCCCCTCTGCCAGAAGACCTTTGGATAGAAATATGCAGCCTATTTCGCACACACTGTATTTTGCCATCAGATAATGAAACACCTCTGACAGTAACAATTTGGTTCTACTACTCAAAGGCCAGCATGGGCAGATTAATGCAAGAAAGACTGATCAGCAGAGTGAATTATAGGTAATAATAGAAAGGAGGTATATTTTACAAATAATGCTCTGCTTAGCAGAACACCATTTTCCTCTCCTCAGAATGGAGATATTTAAATGATTGATGAAGGTGCATCCAAAAATGCATGCGCATAACAAAATGCATCTGTGTTTGCATCACCATGTCAGGTTACTGCATGTGCACACTAGAACAAACGCATGCAACTGCTTAGCATGCATGAAAATGCCATTTCAGTAAGTAAATGTAGATAATTGTGGCTATATTGTATGTATCTATACTTGTACATTCAGCTTGAATATCCTAGCCAGCCATTTTCAGAAAAGGAAAGGAGAAAGAAAAAGAGAAAGCTGATTACAAATACTGAATACAGATACAAATAATGTGATTAATAACAATGCGAATTAATGATCTTAGTAAGAAAAACTAATTCAAACCATATATTACAAATTTTCAAGAATTAGAAGTTCCTATCTTTTGTCAACAGAAACAAGAATACACTGCTTCCTGCAAAATGATATTTATTGTTTTTCCATCCATATATTATAAAATTCAATTTATCTGAAGGTGTGTGAGATAATCAATTCAGAAGCCAGTCATAATCCTAGATTATTACCAAGTTAAAGAAGACAATGTAGAAGCCTTATTTCAGCTCCAAGAGATGATCAGAGAAGTGCATTTATTCCTTGAAGCTGTTGTTCCTTTGTAACGACTTGGTCTTTTACCAAAGTTAAAGAAAATTCAAGTCTTACTTTGAATATCTATATATACTTTTGACTGAGATTTCAATTCCTTCTATATTTGTGATAGATGTTTTATATCAATCAGGGGTTCTCCTACCAATTTACCCCCGCTATGTAACAGCAGGCTAAAACACTATGTTCACTGCCAGAAAAGTGATTTTATTGTAAGTGATGGTAATTAAGTGCTGGGTGAAATCCTGTTCAGCTAAGATGGACAGCAAGCCCTTAAGCTTTCAATGCCATCTTTCCCACTGCTGGCGAGACAAAGGGATTTTCTGATTGCTGCTCAGTAGCCCTGCTGCAAGATGTGCTAAACAACTGCACCAGCTCCTGGGAGCCGCTCACTGCTTGACGTGCAGCTCCAACACATTTGCTCATGTGCAGCGGCTCTCAGCCTCTGCTGAACTCCTTGGCCTCACTATGCACACACATTGCTCACTTGTCCTTTTGCTTTATTCTTTTGAAGTCTATGCCTGACTGAAGACAATGGGAATTTTATCACTGATTACAGCTTTATCACTGATTTCATCAGAATTAAGGCTTCAAAGCCATCTTTCAAATTAAAAGATTTCTCCACTTTATAAACTCCTTAATTGACTGGCAAACCCTGACCTACCAACATCTGGATTGCTCTGCCTACAGAGTGTAGAAGTTTTTTTTGCTGTCTCTAAGCTTGACTCTGCATGATTTGCATTTTCCTGCCTCCAGGAAAAACAGAAACAAACACCCTCTTGGCAGAATGGCACAAAATAAGCATGGAATTAAGGGTATTACTGGATCGTAGCAACACTGGGCAGCACCATGACAGCAAAAGCTCTTCCAAGTTCTGCAGGAGTGCAGCCCAAACTTAGACAACATAACCAGATATTAGATGTAAAGTTGGTTATTGCAGGTTGCATATTAAAAGTCTAACTCTGACACAAACCAATGCTTCACTTATAAAGTGGCAGAAATCCTTAAAGCAGTGGTTTATATGAATTTATTATTTTATTAAGCATTGTACTTACCTTATTGGCAGAGGACAGATAGATGTAGTTGTTATTCACTGGATCAAGTCGCAGTTTGGGGAAAATGGAAGTTTCTTCCTCAATTTCATATAAAACTTCTGGACAATTAGATTTCATATCTTCATTAAGAATAGCCTAAAACATGTGTAATTAAATTATTCCCATGCTCTTTTATTGATCAGTCAACATGTTAAACAAAAGTCTAATTTCAGTTACATCAAAGCTTCTGAGGTGAATTACTGTGCTATCATTCAATTCACCTACTGCACTGGTTCTCACACTGGAGAAGAATGAAGGAAAAGACCATAGGAACAGAATTTCAACAAAATCCATGCCAGACACATTTAGCACTGAATTTGGCACTGGTTTAGCATATGAAACATGCCTTCCACCAAGTCTGTTACTGATTGATTCAGAAACTGAATGTGGAAGAAATGCCTATATCCCAAAATCACAACTTTTTACTTCTTTCAATGGAGAAGAAAGTATTAGCCTCCAGAAAACAAACTAACATTCAGACACCCATAAAGTAAAAAGGAACTTACATAAATTTCTTTGTGGCTTCTCTAAATATACAACTGTGATGATATTTCTTTTTCTTACCTTGACCAACTCTACTGTTTTCCACCACTCTTTGCACAGAATTCAAGGGAACTAGAGACCCCAGAAACTTAATTTTGCAAGTCAATAAGCACACCAACATTTGTTTTTCATGGCTAAAGAAGGGAGATGGGTTCACTGTCTCCACTGTGTTAAGCAGACATGGAAGACTTGAAGTTCATTTTTCATTATCAAAAGCAAAATGAAATCAAATGGACAAAGCTTTTCAAGGTCTCTACTCTATTTCTCTCCAAATGTCTGCTTAATAAAGACAAAGAGTGAAAGTCATCCTTTGCAGTGTAGACAGGATATGAACATTCTTGCAAAACCCTGAAAAAATTAAAGCATAAAAGACATTTGAGTGGATGGTTGAAATGTTTGATAATGAGGTAAGATGACTTTCAAGCAATGGATTTAAGTTAGTGTACGTCAACTATTCAGAAGCTACGGTAAAATGAATCTTGACTTTTCTCTCTAATGGACAGATTTTCATATCACATAGGCAAACAAACACACAAACAAGCACACTTCCAAAATTTAACAATATTTAATACTTCTACTGAAAAATCAAAGCAAGGAGGGAAACAAGGTAAAATAACTGAGAACTCCACAGTCTGTAAATTAATACTGTGGGCATTAGTGTTTTAATGAAATGTTTACTTGAATTTTAGCAGGGTACATAACTGCTTTTGAAAGTTATCTTGCTCTCCAAAAGACCATATAGCAGTTATTTCACAAACAAAAAAACAGAGATTCAGGGGATCATATTTGTTTATAATACACTGAATAAACCAGGAAATATTTACCCACTTGAACACAGCAGCAGCTGGTGGAGAAGGGAAGAACTGCCACACTCAGCTTACCTTCAGTAACTGTCCATCATCTGTTCCCAAAAAGAGAACTATACGATTCAAAACAACTGTGCCATAAACAGCCACTAATCCAGAGTGAATCAAGGTAGGCAATTTCTTGATTGATCGTGCCTCCTAAAAATCAGATATAAGAAAAACATATTAAAAAATCACTCACCTATACTCCAAAGCTTTGAGGAAAAGAAGAATCATTGGAAAGATTCTCAGAGAACCCAACTTTAGACAAGACTTTAAGTAGCATTTCAATTCCGGCACAGTTTCAGAGCAACACATTATTGGAAAATACACACAAAACTAGTTTTTCATATATGACAACTGGTCATATCTGTAACAAATATTATATCTGCTGCAGTTAAATCACTGACTTCAGTGGGATGCATACTCAGCATAGCAGCAGTAAGTTACTTTGCGATAGGATTTCTCTTTTTTGGGACACAAGTCCTGGGGTTATTCTGAATTTCCAGTTTTTCTCAATGAATCCATGTTTTGCCATCACCTGAAGGCCAGATACACTCAGCAACCACTTTCAAAGGAACGTAAATATTCTGGAGAAAGTAGACACTTCAAACAAACTGTGTCTGTGTGTATAAAAATGCAAACCTTCATCTTCCTTGACAGCAGAGGAAGTACAGACTTGTGTATTACATAAACATAAAAACAAGATAAAGCAATATAAAGCTCATGTCATGGAGAACATAAATGCAGCAGTGTAATCAACATGTTACCCTCAATTCTCCATCCCACCTGGAGGAAATTAAGTGGCAAACATATGTAAGCAGCTCACAAAAAAAAACATCATGCAGGAAATCCCTGTATCTTGTGGAATGAAAAACCAAGCCAAATAACTCTGATTGTAGATGACTGAGTGTTGAAAGGAAATCTATATGTGTGAGAATAGGACCATCTACCAGGGGATCTCCCTAGAAGCCCATGTGTCTCCTCAGTAAGCAGCAACTCAGGTTTGAAGTCCTCTAATTGCTCCAAGTCAATCTCTGTGGTAGACATTGCCAAAGGTGTGATCCCACCTGCTCTCCAAAGGGGTCCAACCCCAGCCAACCTTTACTTCACCCTCCCTGTATAATGCTTTCCAGTCAGCTTACTTAAAGTTAGATGTGCCTAGAAAATGCTCTGTAAATCTACCTACATCTTCATTTGAGTCATGCTCCTCATCACATGAACATGTGGCTGCACATACACCAGTGCTGGCACAAAGGAGTGGCAGGCATGGAGAGGTAGGAGACAAGAGCTCAGGTAAGACCAAGAACAAGCTCTGTAGGTTAGCTTACAAAATCCAGAATTTCAACCTCAAGGATGGATTCCTAACCCTACAGGAACCCTCTGAGTGCAAGAGCCTATTTCACTTTAATGCACAAAACAAAGCGTGGAATGGACCATCAAAACTGACATTTAGAAGAAAGGTGAAGGCATTTCTTAAACTTATGAAGCAAATCCCTAACACAGTAATGGCTGAATTCAACTCTCTTGCATGCTATGATGCTGGCTTAACCCCCAAAAGTCTTTCCAGTAGAAATATTTTTTTTTTCCTGAACTGCAATCCTAAGTCAATTAAAATGTTCTTCAGTCATCTGAATCATTTTAATTAGCTTGAAAGAACAGCCACTTAGAATAAAAGAAGACTTGATTAACTTTCATATTTAAAGTCGCTATTTCTTTTTTCATGCAGCAGGAAGACACAAGGAACTGTCATGCACTTGTACAGAACTTCAGTAAAACTCATTTGGCCATGAGAATCCAGTGCCCTGGAGGTCTGTGTTAGATAGGGAAGTGAGGCAGGGTGTGATTGCAAGCATTTTAAGGTGGAAAAAGTTAACTCACTTTATTTATAGATCAGAAGGTAACAAAACTCCAGAACTACTGCACGCAATGAATCTTCACTCGGGTCAGTGAGTGGAGCTTCCACACTTTCATTTCTACCAAAATTAGGACGTTTTTCTGCAGTGCACCATGTAGTAGTGTAAGAGAGACAAACTACCCTGGGTTCCTTGCAGACTCTGTACAACAAGATCACAGAAAAGAGAACTCACCCGGTTTCTGAAAAGCTTTGCTGCCAGATTTTATTTTGACCCACATACTAATAAAATAACCAGTGTCATATCAGTGCATCCTCCTCATCTGACTGAAGAACCAATACTGACAAGTGTGGAAGTCTCCTCCCCTCCCTCTGCTTGCTAGAGGGAGGGTCAACACGACATTGAGCTAATACAGAAAAGAACAAGGGAAATTCAGATGGTGGACAGCCACAAAAAAATTGCCTTCTCTTTTTTGCAACCTATTTCTCCAGTTTGCCCATTTCCTCCAGGGTGCAGCTGCTGCTTTCACCCCTCTGTCTCCCCTTTTCCACACCCATTTATTGTTTTAACAAGACCTTTTACCTCTTTCTACTGTGACTAATGGGGTTACAGCACTGTAGAACCTTCCCAAGCTACTCCTTTCACAGCTAAATCCATTCTTAAAAATGCACTTACAGCCTAAACTTCCTTTATACTTGAAAAGTTATTCATCTCCACGGTCATCTGTTTGCCTATCCTGTAACATTTTCAGGTGCATACAAAAGCAAGAAAAGCAAAAGGAAAGATAATATCACTCTGTAAGACCTCCCCTTTTTTAATTCTTCAGTTCCATCCTCTGTTCTATTCTGTAGTCTCTCTACAGTCTATAGCTGTTTGGTTATTCGCATGGAAGGTATTTATACTAGTTTTCTATTTGGCACTTCATTTTCAGATGTATCTCCATATGACTCCAGTTGTAGCAACCATATTCACACTTCTGTCTTGATTTCCTCCTGATTATTTTACATTGTGTGCCTCAGAGGAAAGGGCAGCATTTTTAGCTCATGCAGCACTCATCATATGCAGCTGTCCAAAACGTAAAAGTAAAGGGTTTGAGCATCCGAGTGAAAGAACAGATGCAGCTAAACGAAAGGACACAAGATTTGTAAATAGTATATAGCAATAGTCAATACTGAAACAATAGATACTTTTCCTATGGGGAAAGAACTTTTGGAACCTCATCCTTCTTTCTTAACTTCACCATCCTTTAACCACCTTCATAAGCATTTACTATATCAGAGGGTAACAAATATTGGGGCATGCAGTGAGCCTTTATTAGGGCTAAGGGATCAGGAGATGAAACACTCCAAAATTTTATTTCCAGGAAGGTTTTTGATTTGTGCATTGCCCAGGAGTGTTAGGTGGACAAGCATGTCCATCCTGCAGCCTGCAAAAAATCAAGGATGACCAGGAATCAGTCTTCAGTGAGACCTTGCAGAGGCAAATCCTGAGGCTCATGATGCAAGGGAGGAAGAATAGTCAGAGGCTATGGTTGAGTGAGATGCTGATGGAGACTCCTGAGATGGGGAAGCTAGAAACCTGTGACTGCTTGCAGCAGCAGAAATAGTCCTACTCTGCCCTCAGATCTAAGTTCACAGAAGTGGTAAAGTGTCCTAATAACCAGTGAGGGAGAACAAGCTCCATCAAGGAAGGCTTTGAAACCAGCTGAGCTTGAACAGCATATTAGCAGAGAGCAAAAGGAAGTGGTGGGTGACCGTGAGGGATGAAGGCACACACTTGCTAAACAGTCATGTTACAACAGGCTGGGGCTTTTTTTAGGGGACCCTACCCATTGCAGAAAGACTGTAGTAATTTTCCATTCCTTGGACCACTACTCATTCTTGCACCTCCACATGAACACCAAAAAAATGGCCTAGTATGGACCAGGTCTACAAAGCTCTGGGGGCAAAGTGAATAAGATGAGACCCCAGGCTATGTTAACCTCTGGGGTCAGTCAAGAGTGATGCTCTTCTGGATCTGTTACTCAAAAACAAGGAAGAATTGAAGATGTGATAATCTGAGCAGCGAGCTGAAGCCCAGGCTTCAGTGTGTTCAGGGAAATGGCCAGTGGGATCCCCTGAGAGTCAGCTTTGAAGAGAAATAGAGCTCAAATAAGCTGGCAGGTCTTTCAGGACAATCTCTGTCAAGCACAAAATTCAGGAAAACAAGCAGACACATCACGAGATGGCCTCTAGCTAAAAAGGGAAGTCATGATTGAACTACACTGCAGAACAACATCACAAATGAGGAGGAAGCAGGACTAAGGAGGAAATCTCTGGACACACAGGAATGGTGGAAATGAGCTTGGAAAATCCAAGCTCACCTAGTTTTGTAACTGGCAAGGTATGGTATGGACAACAAGAACAGCTTCCACTACCACATGGATGATAAAAGAATTAACAATAAAATGCACCCCAGCTGCTGAATAGCTCAGGAGATTTACCAACAGTTGATGCAGACATGGCTCTGGACTTCACCAGCAACATCTTGTGGTCCTTTGTACACAGAGAGATCAAGGAGGAGAGAAACTACGAGTACTGGGAGAGGATTAAGCAAGAGATCTCTTAAGAAATCTTAGCTTTTACAAGTTTTAGGGAGGACAGATGGGATCTGTAGGAAGATGCTGAGAGATTGTTGAAGCTGAAAGGTTATTCTCTCCTGTTTCAAAAGGTGTAGAGATCAGGTAAAATCTCCAACTGAATAAAGACAAATACTGCACTGATATTAAGAAAAAACAAGATTTTTTTTTTTCAGGGTACTACACATTAGTTGGTCTCACTTTTTTCCCTGGGACAATCATGGAGAAAATCCTCTTTGAAACCATTTCTGGTCACAAGAAGATGAACATGGTGACTGAGAAATGCCAGCATAAATTTGCCAAGGATAAATCATGCCTGACCAACCTAAAGTACTTATAAGACTTGTAGATGTGGTGCTTAGGGACATGGTTTTGTGGTGGATGATCTTACAGGTCTTTTCCAAAACTGGGTTGCTTCAGCCTACAGAAGAGACAATTTCAGAGAGACCAATAAAACAAAGCCAGGCTCTTAGCCCAAGTGTATGTAAGGCAACAAGAGATAATGACACAAACTGAAACACTGCAGGTTTCTAGTGAACAGGAGATGAAAAAGCATCACTGTGAGGGCAATCAAGCAGAACAGGTTGTCCAGAGAGGTTGTGCAGTCCCCAGCCCTGGAGTGTGAGAGTTGACAAGTCTTCAGTGGTTTACTTCCTACACTAAACAGGGATGAACTGAAAACTCATTGTAACAAGATAGAAATATTCACTTCAAAAACATTAACTCTAGAAACCCATCAAACATCAGATGCAACACTAGCAGTCTGTAATACTCAGGAGATTAACTTTACTACTATAAAATTAATTACAGGATCAATTTTGATACAAAATTATATTTACAAGTCTGTAAATCTTTCTTTAAATAAAAGACCGTGAATCACTCTGGAATGAGTTACCACACAAATTCAAATGTCGTTCCTGCAAATTAAAGGCCGTAATTAAACTGATGTGACTCTGTTGACTTCGAAATCTCATTTCAGTAGAGCTTACACCAGCTAGGATTTGTGTTAAGATTCCAAACTATGTTTGACAAATTAAGGGACACATACTAACCCTCATATATATCAACCATTGAAAAATGAAAAAGTTCCAAGATCAGACTGTTACAAGTCTTTACTTGCATTACATAATCGATGAAAATCCAACCCAGATGGCTTATCTTTTAGTAACTATCACAACTACTTAACCTTTTCATATAATAGAATAAACACCTTAATATAAACTACAGCAATTCTCTTTCTTACAAATATATGCCTAACAATTTTTGGGGGATTTTCTACCTGAAAAATTGTGAATCCTTGAATCTTCCTGAATCCTTTTCTTTCCATGCAATTTTTTTAACGACAAAACCAATTTCCACATTTGTCATTATCATGCTTAGGCAATACTCTACATTTCTCTCCTGTTGATGTTCTCCAATTGGAACACTTTTCCTACTCATCTACTTGGCTGTGACTCACAACATCCTGGCTTGTCTGTGAGAGACCTGAGGTCCTTTTAGGTCCCGCTCTGTCACAGAACAACAGAAGAAAAGCCATTCTTAAAGTCCACTAGCTCCCACAGCAAGTTTGTGACAAATTCCAACATTCCTCCTGTGTTTGTAAGTAACCAGTCAGGTTTCTGAAAAGAAATTGAGACTTGACAAATTCCCATTTACTAACTAAGGAAATTGTGTAGAAGATACACTTATGTATATGTAGGCTATGCTAGTGAGTCCAGTAACACACACACCCTGATAGTGCATGTAAGGAGATATATTCAAAACTAAGATACATGTGGATCAAATAAAAAAAAAAGCTGAATATAAAACTGTAAAATGTTCAGAGTAGTTTCATCTAAAATACCATTTGCCTCTTGCTAGATAGGGATCCTGTCTCTGGGAATCAAGTGGTGCCAATGTCCTGAATAAACACATCCAAGTAGGACAATCTTTGTGCACTCTACTGCACAAAACAAAAATGGACTTACCTACTTCTCATACGGAGAAATTCAATAGAATTTGTAGCAGTCACATACGTTTTGATAAAGTTGGTAAGCAAGGATCTTAAAAATTACTAGTTTCTAATAACAGACTCTAATCCAGCATTAAAACTTAATGCAAATGAGAACTCTGGCCTAAAAGGCAAAGCGAAGCTAAAGAGATTACACACCTACAGTGAGTTCCAACAGGATGCAGAGCAATTTGGTTCCAATCCAGTGAAGTACCCAAGTACATGCTTTACTTTAAATGCATGGGCATGAAGATGATGAAAATGCTTATATATGCCTAATGTTGAATATGTCATTAAGTGCTTTACTGGGTTAGGGCCAGAAAGCTCAGTACCTTACAGGAATGAGTTCAAAGTACACCATTTAGCAACGGCATAACAGGAAATTCAGGACCACAAATACCCTGGCCTAAGCCCTTCTTGCAGTGTCCTGTTGAGAAATGCAATGCGAGTGGGGAGGGGTAAGAGGATGTCTTGCCTAAAGGTAATCAGAATAGTAACAGAAGTCTAAAGGATTACAAGATCAGAAAGAAAACAAACTTCCACTACTCCTTAATGTATATGCTTACTATAAATTGTATTCCTGCAGTGAGAAAACTCCCTGTATTTACAATTCCTACATAAGCTGATAGTCCGTGTCTGGGATCCACATACCTCATCACATCACACCTGAGCTCCTGCATTCAAGTGTACCCAGCAGAGAAGACTAAGACCCACAGCACCCTCCAACTCCCTTCCAGCCAGAGCCACTGCTAGGGTTTCACACACTGCTGCAAGCTGTACACTGATGGACGTGCCACACTCCACCTTCCTGTCAGCTCCGAAGCCCATGTGTTTCTGAGTCCAAGAACAGCATATTCCACGATTGCAGGGACTCCCATACTTTGGTGAGAGACGGTAGAAGGATCTGGTCTAAAACAACCCAGAAGCAGCAACATATGGGCCTGTCATCTCCAAACTTACTCTGCAACAGCCTAGCCTAACCTTCTGTAGCATAAAAAAAAATTAAAGCTGAACTACATGCATTTATTTCTATGTTTATACACCATAAGCACATATAATTAGCTTAATAAAGAGAGCTAATTAGCCATGTAATGTTATAGGTCATATTACTTCAGAGGACCCACACGTCCTGCTATCTCACAAAACATTAAAATACCACTTTTCTCTCAGTGGTAAACTGCACTTCTCATGCCAAAATATTACAATCAATAACATCATCATAGTTTGGGACGTAAGGCTAAATAAGAAATCCTTTTAAAGATTGTTACAGTTGAGATTCTTCAACATTGTATCCAAATGTGATCTAAATTTCCAGGAGGGATGAGCTTCTTGGGACATGAAAGTAACACTGGAGTCACAGGAGTCTGATCTGAATTAGACCAATTACGAAACAAGTGGATCATTGATTTTTCATATTCAGGCCCTGAGAGGCAACAGGGACAGGGAATCGCCCTGTCTGCAGAAATATGTGCCTCACCTTACCTTCATCATGTCACTCTACGAGATCCATGAGGTTTTTCTGAAATTTCTTGCATGAGATTTTGTAAAGTGTTTAGAAGGGATCTACTGCCCAGGGAACTTTCTTCTTCTGTTTTGTTTAGTAGGCTCAGAAAGCACCTTCACTAAGAAACTTCACAAGTAATTAGGAACAAACAATACAAACTAAAAATTCCAACAAGCGAATAGGTATTTTGGGATCAGAATGAGACTTGAAATTCATTCAGGTTTGCCTTGTGGGAGCACAGAAATCACACAGTAAACAGTAAGCTAGCACTGGAAATCAAGGGATTGGCTCTGGCTCCATAGTGAGTTTCACTATTCAGCACAGTTGTCTCACCCACATATGGGGTTCTCATTCACAACCACGTCCTCGAACACTGGCAATAGTCTCACAGCTTAGTAGGGAGATGAGCAGACTGAATCACACGTGCCCTCTGGTAGTCTGTTTGGAAAAATCTCAGCACTGCACTCCACTGTGAGCTAGATTTGGAAAGGCAAAGAGTGACAGCACTTCTTTCAAGGAATTTTGAAGAAACTCCTATTGTAACAGCTCAAGGATTCAGAAGTTTATCTGCAAAGACCCCAGATGGTGTGGGAACTGCAAAAGACTTGTGGTTTGCTATATGATCCCCTATGGCTCTCCTTGATACTTTTCAGTGGTCCTTTAGCCACAGCTCTGGAAAGTTTCTAACTTAAAAGCATGGATAGGCCTTTCAAAAGCACCTTCTTCATGTGAATGACATCTTTACCTCCCTGAATATAATTTTTAGGTAATTACTACTGAGGCCAGAGCAAAGCCAGTAGCCTTGCCTATCCCACTGTCCATGCACTCAGCTCACCCTGAAGAGGAGGAAGGAGCTGAAGAGTGTTACTGGTGTAGGTGACATGGGGAACTCCATGGGACCCCACTGTGTGAAAATGTAACCACTGCAACAACAAAGAGATAACACCTATTGTTGTCTGCTGCACACAAGGATTTGGGGAGGTGGCTGTGAGAGCCCTCCCAAGCAAGGCCAGTCCTGAGAGGCTTGGAAAATACCTAACACAGAACAAGCAACCACAGATAACTAGTGAGTGACAAGGATAACAGTGCACACAGCCCAGTGCACAGAGCCAGTTTGATGGGCTTTTTTTCATTTCTGATGTAGCTGCAATGACATGAGATGTGAATGCACAGAATAAGATAGGAGATGCTTTATCTAGGCTGTATGGAAAATAAAATGAAATATGACTAATCCTAAGCTGAAAAGGACACGCTGAGGGAGAAACCTAAGACTCAGGTCTGACCCAGGATGCCCTCAGGTGCTCCCTCAGATGCGTCTTTCCCAACAGGTAGGTGGGAAGTATACCAAAATCTGGTAAAGGATCAGCTTTTTAGAAAGAGAACGAGCTGGAGAAATCACTAGAGCTGACCAGGGCTGATGTGCAAAGCCTGATGCGGCTCTGAAGTTTCTCGCTAACTTCATGTGCCTCCAGGTCAGGGACACCCCGTGAGTCATGCACAGAGACATCAGCCACAACAATAACAGTGTCAACAAGGGCGTGCAGGATGAAAGCTTAGCAAACGATGCCCGGACTTACACAGCTCTTCCCGTTCATATTGAAGTGCGTGGATGCACAGGCTTGCTCCTTCATCTCCTCCATCCCAAAGATGCAGACGGCAGTGCTGTTCCACGCCTTGGCGTTGTGGCTGTGGCGGAAAACACCCACCCACCAGCCCCGCTCACCCTGGCGAACAAGGCTGGAGGAAATAATGAGGCTCCTGCACCCGCAGTCCAAATAGACGTGCCCTCGCAAAGTAAGGCCACCCTCTGAAGGCCGCAGCTGGCGCAGGACAGCCATGCTGGGTGGCTCCGTGTTATTGCCCAACCTGGCCTTCAGCGTGTAGTAGGGAAAGAAAAGGTGATCCCCCCACTGGAGCGCGTCAACAAAGTGCAAAGGTTCCTCCTTGCGCTTGATGATGCCCAGCTCCTCCTTGGACTTGAGGTTGACCATGCTGCGCACCGTGATGACGGTCTCCTTGTCCGACTTCGAGGGCTCGCAGTGCAGGTGGTTCGTGTCAGCGCTGGTCGAGTAGGTGGCCGCCACGGCCAGGTACCAGGCGCCGGCCTGCTGGAAAACGACGCCGGCGGTGGAGCCGTCGGGCAGGCAACTGACCACCTCGCTTTGGTTCAAGCGCTGCCGGTAGGACGGCTGCTCCCACACCTGGCAGGCGCCGCCATCCTGGGTCCAGCCGGTCAGCAGGACGCCCAGCCCGCCGGCCTCCTCGTAGTACAGCAGCAGGTTGCTGCGCATGCCGGGGGGCTCCCCGCAGCCCTGCCCCGCCGCCGGCACCACGCGGAGCCGGGGCTGCAGCTCGGGCCGCAGCTCGTACAGGCAGCTGCCGCCCGCCACCAGCACGGCGCCGCGGCTCACCTCGATGTTGTCGATGGGGGCCCCCGGCAGCTCGAAGCTCTGGGGTCCGGCGGCGCCCGCCAGCGCCGCCAGCAGGGGCAGCGCCCAGCGGAGGGCGGGCGGCGGCGCCGCCATGGGCGCGGGCTCGGCTCGGCGCCGCGGGGCGCCTCAGGCGGCGGCGGGCGGCGGGCGCTGCTGCGCCATGCTGCGCGGAGGGGCCGGGCGCGCTGCCGCCGCCGCCGCCGCTGCTCCCTGCGCCGCGGCCGGGCTGCGCGGGCGGGGAGTTCCTCTTTCGGGGCGGGGAGGAGGGGGTGCCTGCACGGGAGAGGTGGGCTGGGCTCCTCCGGGAGGGCTGCCGAGCCACCTCGCCGCCGTGCGCCGCCGCTCGCCCTCCGCCCCCCGGCCCCGCCGGCCCGCCTTGCCGCGGACGGTGGGCGGCGGCGGCGGCGCCGCGGGAGCCCTGCTCGGCCGCCGGGCTGCCGGGGGCCGGGGGCGGCCGCCTCGCAGCGGCGTGGCGGGACGCGGAGGGGAGCGAGCCCCGCCTCGCCCGGCGGCGCTCAGCACCCGCACCCGCTCGGGGACCCCTCCGGGCAGCGGAGCAGGGGAACCCCCCCGGGCAGGGCGGCCCCCGTGCACTCGCCCTGCCTCGCTCCCGGCCCGGCTGAAGCCCCCCGCGGGCAGCGGGCGAGCAGCGGTGAAGGTGCTAAGCGGGGACAGCCGGTGGCGCGGTCCGCCGCCGGGTGCCGGGTGTGGGCGTGGGTCTGACTCTGCTGGGCACCGGCAGCGCCCGCTGCGAGCCTGGAAACCCGTCTTGTTCCCGTTCACATGCACCGCAGAACGGCCCTGCTAAACAGCACCCCGTCAACCAGTCCCCCGATGCCACCTTGAGCGGGAAGGTGGGGGGATCAGAGATCCCTGTTAAGATCTGTCTTGCCTGAGGTAGAACAAAGGCTCTCGGCATTCTCCGAGTCCTGCAGGGCACACGAAAAATCCTTTCTAGCTGTGCTGCTGAGAGATGGACGCCCATCCATCCTTGGGGGCAGGATGGACCACGTTGAATGGCGTAACTGATTTACTTCATTTTCCACTCTGTCACTGCTGGCTGAGGTGCAACACAATGTGAAGTATAGGTATATAAGTATAGGCATGCTGAGTTCATGGTAAATTATTGTTTTGCTGAATTTTAAATAAAAAATGAAAAGCAGCAAAGATGCCTTTCTGTATTCTCTTTTGGGTGCCTCTGAAATCTCTGGGTGAGGATGGGCGTAGGGCCCATTGCCTTGCTGAAAAGAGGATGTCATGTTCAGCACCGAGAAGTCATCTGACCCTTCAAGACACCGCTTTTGTCTTGAAGTAGCTTGATAGCAGGAAAAAGTGGGACTGTAAAATTTAGAACAAAAGTAACTTCTGTATGAATCAGTCAAGTGCAACTTTTTCAAGTAGGAAGTGCAACAAAGTTAACAAATTTTGATTATCTTTCTTCATTACAGTACCCAGCCACAGTTATTATGCAAAAATTGATGGTCAGCAAAACTATTCAATAATTTTGCAGTAAAAAGGTGTCTAGGACAAATATTCCCATGAAATCCAGAGCTCTCCACAGCCCATCTGCTTATCTCTTGTATAGTGACTCCAAAACGCATCCAAAATCTGCAAAACGTAGGAGAGGATGTAAAAGGGAATCATTGCACAATTTTTCTTCTTGCCAGATGCAAAGAGATGCTCTATGTGCTAACACTGCCTGCAGCTACCCATGGAGGATTGAACTTCGACTCAACATGTAGGCAAAGTAAATCCTCATGCCCATATCACAAATATAGATTGTGCACAGAAATGTTGTTTACACATCTTTGCAAAGGAGGCTGAACATGTCATACTGGAGTGCATTACACACTATCTTGCCTTCTAGTTTATTTTCAGTTCAAATATAAAACTGTAAGTGATTTTCTTGCTCAAAACTGATGAGGCTAAGCAGCAAAGCATATCAGCATCCTAACTACAAGACATGTCTTATTCTGACCACAGAACATGTCCAGCAACAGGGTGTCTTCTGCAAACACCCCTCCTTTTGCAAAATCACCGAGCTCTGCATGTATTGAAGACACCTGTTTTTCTCAGGCTTTATGCCACATGTACTTCACTGAATGACTGGTTTGTTTAAATGAGTGAGGCTTGTTCTAGTCTTAGAGAACAGCAACCACTCCCTAGGCCTGCAGACTCCTCAGACTGCCAAAACGGCCAAAAAGCAGTGCTCTGCTTCAATTTTTGTGCTGGGAGGACTGAACTGAATACCGTGGCTGTCACATGAAAACAGTCCAGCTACGTGGGCTAGCAGTTCTACTGGGATGGGATGGGATGGGATGGGATGGGATGGGATGGGATGGGATGGGATGGGATGGGATGGATAGCAGGTCATACCCCTTCTGCCCAGGGCCAGCCATCAGAGCACAGTTCTGCAGACTGTTCCCTGCCTGTCACTTTTCTATTTCTGATTTTTCCTCTTTCCAGCGAAGCAGTAGCTTGGACCAGAGCCTCATCTTGCAACATTTAATTCTGCACACACTTTTGAGAGCCAACTTTGCACTGAGAGTTAGCACATGGAGTTTTGCTCATGAGTGACCCAATTCTTGAAGTGGCAAAGTAGTCCCAATTCCTTTCAAAACCCCTGAAGTAAATAGGAGTTTCTATCTTCAACACATTCTTCTAGATTCTTCTGTCTATCTGGATACTGGAAAAGTTGAGCTTCTATTGGTGTTATGGAAATAGAAAGGGAGGCTACAGGTTTATTTGGTACTGCTTCAGAATGTCATATTTGTTATTAACACAGCAGACCAGAAAGCAGCATAATCAGTTCATGACTGAACTGATGCTCATGTTGGAACTAGATGATCTTCCAAGATACCTGCCAACCTAAACTGTTCTTTGATACCTCTATAAAGTCTAAACAGACAATGGCAAATCATTTCACTGTATTCCCTTGGCTGTCAGTTCCATAATTGGTGTTTTTATCCTGTTGTTGTAGTGTGTTTTATTTTTCAGGCACTGAAGGGAGGGCAAACAAGGTAGCCTGCCTGTTAATGTTAGGCTTTACAAAGCATTGCTGTCTAACTCTGGCACCCCAACCAAAACTTATAAAAAAACAGGAAAGCAAACTGAGCTTCCTTTGCTATCGTAAGCAACATTTATTTATTTCAGCATGTCATGTTAGATCTGGAGTTAGAATGTGAATCACAGCAGGACTTGTAAATCTACAATTTAAAGAGGTCTCATTTAGATCTTCAACAGTGTTAGGCAGAACACATCCTAAATTAACTTAAGATTGCTTTTCCACTCCAGTTCATGCTTCCCTCCTACTTACTTCTCATCTGCATGCTAAATTTTTCTGAATTTATGAATCCACAGACAATCTTACAAAATATTACTAGTAAATGAGATTTATTTTTTATGCTTAATTTATTTAGCTTCACTTTGATATTTCCCCTGTTTTGAAGTTTCAAGACCACTTAAGCTTTTATTTGTTTTGTTTATTAAATCCATGTGGTTACTTTAGCTTAGTTCTGAAATTTTTTTTGCAAAGGGTAAATAACCTTTCATTTACAAAGTAATAATAGGTAGCATTAATGTTAACAGGCATTTAGCTTTGGTGTAATACTTGAAATAATTGCTTTTCTCATTATATAGTTAAGACAATTTTCTACTGCAACTGCATGTTGACAAAATAGAAAGGAAATACTGGGCAGTTTTTCAAAAAGCTTTTCTAAGTAGGATTCCTTTCCTGACAGAGGCATTTGAATACTGAAACTGGGTTTTCAGATTTGGATTTTAGTTCTGCTTTTCAGTCTTGTTTCTTTTTGTTTAGATTTTTTTGGTTTATATTTTTGTTTAATCTAAAAGCTACTGACCATTTTTCATTTTTTGTTTGCCTTCACAATGAGGAAATGGCAGATTCAAGAACAGGACTATGCTGTTACAACTCTTTGGGGATCTGTATAGGATGCTATCAGCTGCAGCCAGCAGTGATATGTCCCACTAATGCATTTGATCCACTTGCCCAGGGAGATGCTCCTTTGTGATGAAAATGCTAGAGCTTTACACAGCTCTTGGGCATCTCTGACACAGCAAAAGGCTCTAGATGCTGGCTAATGCTTCCCTTCATGGGAGCAGCATGTTATAACTGTATTGGGTTTGTGTGGCTGGGTTTTGGTGTTGGGCAAGAGGGGGCTACAGGGGTGGCTCCTGTGAGAAGTGGCCACCAGCTTTGTCCATGTCCAGCAGAGCCAATGCCAGTCACCTCCAGAACAGATCAGCTGCTGGCCAAGGCTGAGCCAATCAGGAATGATACTAACACCTTTGGGATGACATATTAAAGAAGAAGGAAAAAAACCCTTATTGTACAGATGTAGTTGTACTCAGAGTAGAGCAGAGTGAGAATACGTGTGAGGAACAGCTCTGCAGACACCAAGATCAGTGCAAAAGGAGGGGCAGGAGGTTCTCCAGGCACCAGAGCTGAGATTCCCCTGCAGCTTATGATGCACACCATGGTGAAGCTGCTGTGCCCCTGCAACCCATGGAGGGCCATGGGGATGCAGAGATCCACCTGCAGCCTTGGAGGAGCTTTTGGGTTACTTTTAAAAGTTACCCAAGCTCTTGACCTGACTGTGTGTTCAGTCAGAGATAATAATCATGCATGGAGGGGCCTAAGACCTACAGCAAGGTGTGAAGCAAGAGCAATTGATGTGGCCCTTTCTGTGTGAGCGAAAATACAAATCAGAAACTTCTGCATTGAGTCAGTTCCTCAACCTTAGACAAACACACCAAGGAGAAATTTAATCTGCAGCATCTATCTGTGACAGTAGATGAAGAAACTGATCAAGAATCTGTTCTAAACTCCTCTTTGTTTTTCCCCT